TACCATAAACTATTTTTTAAATTTATTTCTGTAGTGTCCAATGTTCTGTCTTTTATGTGTTTTTTTAAAGAAGTAACTTAACTTAAACTTAAAGGAAATTTTAGATTTTTCCACCAAGTAGTGGAACCTTTAAATTAGTTTCTTATATTAGTGTTCTATTGTAGCATAGCTCTGAAGATGGCTTTGTAAGCCGAAAGGGCTTAGCGAGGAAATAAACGTTAACACGCTTCAAAAATACTTTTCTTTTCCATTCTTTGATTTAATCTTAATTTTAGTGTATTTTATAAAAAGTCTGATAATTTTTTTGTTTCAGGTACGTTTGTTACTTATACTAACTTCCCTTTCTGGTAAGATTTTCAACAATCTATCTTCTGTATTTATTATATTTATTTATTATAAATGAATTAAATATTTCAGTTTTGTAACACCGTGTTTATTTAATTTTCATTTTTTTTTTATTTGCAACATCACTGAAAATATTCAATTAATAATCGCTTTCTCCTGCAATGAATAATTATAAAGTTTAATATTTAGAAATAGGAGACAACTCATTGGACTTATCCAAAAATGTATAGCTAATATCAAATAGATGAAAGTGATGAATGTACGGAACCAATTTCTGTAATACCTTTAATTGTTAAATTTTGCGACATCGGTGTCATCATTTAGCACTATATTATGATGTAAGTCATAATGGTTTTTAATGAATTTAATTTAGGTTTAACGACTTATAACAAATTATTCATTTAACTACTGAATGCGTTGTTTATTATACCTGCCTCATTTTAAAAGGAAACTTCCGGATTATCGTCATAGTTTGTCTGACCCGTAAAAGTGTCTGTAAGACACTAAAACAGAAAATTTTTTATACATTATACAGGATGTGTTAATAATAATAATTTCTCAGTAATATCTTTGAAGACATTTAAAATGTATCATGCAAATCGTAGATGCATATAAAGTTGCCTTTCTATATACTGCTACAGTAGACTCCTTCTTAACCTTAGCTTAATAACTTAGTAGATATATCGGTATCAGAGCCTGGCCGGTTGACTAAATGGCCGGTTAATCCAATGTGCAGGCATTTTCATGAGAAAATCAAGAACATATATACATACATACATACATATATCAAACACATGTTCAGGAATGTGTATATTAATAAACATCACGGAATATACAGTTGAAAAATACTATTTATTTCTATGCACATATACATATAGATATTTGAATATTTTACAAACTTGTTTTAAAAAATCGGTAACTTTCTTCTGTTTCTTGACATTAAGTGAATTTTTAAAAGCTATATTTCTCCATTTTTTTTAAATCAAGACGTCTATTGAAGATGGCCCAGGTTGTTGTTGAATACACTTCAATGCCACCTCCATTGCAACCCTCGCTTTGGTGTGGTCGACCTTTTTCTCTTCGTCAATATCATCATCATCAATCTCCTCATTTTCATAGAGCTCTTTATTTGTTGCTAGTGTAATTATTTCGTCGTTTGTCAAAAATTCGTTTTAAAGTTCATGGTCACAGTTCATCCATTCTTCAATATCTTCGGCCTTTAATTGGATATTTTCGGATAACGTTTGGAGATCTTGAAGAAGGGTAGTAGATATTCTTCGTGTGATTGTTGAAACTCAACAAGTTCCTCAATGTTGGCCCAAAGTTTTCGCCAAGACTTAACGAAAGTAGAAGCAGGAATTTCTTGGAAGGTGGAAGCTAACATGTAAATTATGTCCTTTAAGTTAATTTTTTTGATGATATCAATAAGTAACATTTAGATCTTCACTTTCTGAGCATTGTTAAATTTCAGACAATAATTTACATCTGTATCGTCTTTGCAAGCTTTCAATCACCCCTTGATCCATCGGTTGCACCCAGCTTGTCACATTAGGAGGAAGAAAGATAATTTTTATGTTATCTATCTCACATGTTAAGTTTCCAAGATAAATTGGAGCATTATCCAGAAGTAGGACTGCTTTAGTGGGAAAATTTACGCTCTTAAGATACCGCGTTACTCTCGAAACAAATTCACGCTCAAACCATTCTTTGAATAGATCAGCGCTCATCCATGCTGATTTTTATGATCTGTAGAATACGGAGAAAGACGATGGATGTAAATTTTTAAATGCACGCGATTTAGTGGATTTACCAACAACGAAAAGATAAATTTTGTGTGTTCCTGCTGTATTTTAATTTTCGCACAAAACGAATTCAATCCTCCTCGAAAGCAAAAACAGAACTGACAATCGGTAGTCTGAATCGAAAAAGAAATGCGTGACTTTTATGGTTCTGCTCTTTTAGTCTTATTGTCATCATCATCATTAACCTATATGCGTCCACTTCTGAACATAGGTCTCCTCTTTCCAGCTGTCTCTGTCTTGTGCGGCTTGCATCCAGTTATTGCTAACACGCTTCAGATCATCGGTCCATCTAATTGGTGGGCATCTTCTGCTTCGTATTGTTTCTTGTCTTGGTCTCCACTCGACAATACGTTTTGTCTATCGATTGCCTGATAATCTGGCGAATTGTCCTGCCTAATTCCATTTTAGTGACGCGATTTTTTCGATGACGTCTGTTGTTTTTGGTCTACGACGTATTTCTTTGCTTAGGATTCGGTCTTTCAGAGAGACACCCAATATCTGGCGCTCCATAGCCCTCTGAGTCACGCGAATCTTATTCTATCTTTTTTTGTGAGTGTTAATTTTTCCGCTCCATAAGTGAGTACAGGTAACACACATTGGTCAAAGATTTTTCTTTTGAGGAATATGGGTAGATCCGATTTAAATACATAGTTTAATTTTCCAAACGCTGCCCAGGCTAATCCTATACGACGTGGGATCTCACATCTGGTTATTTCTTCTTCTTTTTCAAGTGCCCTGTCCGTTGCGAATGTTGGCTATTAACATGGCAATTCGGATCTTGCTTGCGGCGCTTCTGAATAGTTCGACCGATGTGAGCCCGAACCACTTCCGTAGATTTTGGAGCCACGAGTGTCTTCTCCTGCCTGGCCCTCGCTTACTGTCTCTTTTTCCCTGGACAATCAATTGCAGTAGACGGTACTTATCGTGTCTCAATATGTGGTCTAGATATTAAAGCTTTCTTTGTTTAATTGTATTCACGATTTCTTTCTCCTTTCCGATTCTTTGGATTACCTCTATGTTGGTGACATGTTCGGTCCAGGATATACGAAGAATGCGTCGGTACACCCACATTTCGAATGATTTTAGTTTTTTCGTGAGCGTCTCTGTCAGCGTATCTGTAAAAATGTAGCATTTAACTAGATGTAGTTTTAGGCTAAGAGACAAATCCTTGCTTATGAGGAGCTTTTTCATATTGCTAAATGTTGCTCCAGCTCGTTCTATTCTCACCTTAATTTCTGTGGCCTGTTCCAATTTTGCATTTACGTTAGTGCCAAGGTACACATAAGATTCTACATGGTCAATGAATATGTTACTTATCCGTAATTGTCGAGCAGCTTGTTGCTTTTTGCTTATCAGCATCCACTCTGTCTTCCTAAAGTAAGGCTCAGGCCGTATTCCTCACTAACTGAATAAACTGGTTATTTCTGCCCAACCCAATTTCATGCCTTACGTACTTATATGATGTAGTCTGCACAATATCCCTTCCATCAATAATCAGTTAGCACCAGATTAGTCATTATTTGCGTCTCGTTCATATTAATCTTTAGTCCGACCTCCAAGGAGTGATATAATTTTTCAAACAATATTATTGCATCATCCATACGATCGGCCATAATTATGATGTCATCTGCAAATTTCAAATGACTGAACTTCTCTCCATTTATGTTAATACCATGCTCGTTCAGATGTGTCTTCCCACAACTATGTTTTACAAGCGTGAATAGCTTTGGAGGGACAGTGTCTCCTTGCTGTACTCCTCGCTGTATACAAAATTTATCTGATTCTTGTTCAGATAATCTTACGCTATATGTGGCATTTTGGTAGATATATTTGATTATATTAGTGTAGCGATGGTCTATTCAGCATTCTGTCAATGCTTTTAACATTTTCTGATGGCTTATGGTATTGAATGCTTTCTCCTAGTCGACAGATATCAGTGCCAACGGTATATTGTATTCTGCAGACTTCTCTATCAGGATCTTTATCACTAGTGGTCGTTAGTACTGTTTCCCGATCTAAATCCAGCTTGTTCTCTTGGCTGATATAAGTCTAATTTAGCGTCCAGTCTTTTTTTGATAATTTTTCTGAAAAGTTTACATAAGTGTGAAAGCAAACCGATAGGACGGTAGTTTTTTATATATGTTATGTCTACTTGCTGGTGTAATAAAATAATGACTGCATTGTTCCACTGAGAATTCTTGGCCAAAGCCTGGAAAATTTTTTTCCACCTAGTTTAATCGTTTCAATCACTACTCCGTCATCGCCAGAGGATTTAATATTTTTCATTTCTAAAAGTGTCATTTTAGTTTCTCTCTGTTTTGTGATTTTGGGCAGGGGCTGATCTTGCCTTTCGTCGAAGCTCTCATACATTTCGCGAAAAAGAATTCAACAACCTCAAGGATTTTGGTTCGATCAGTATTAAAGTTCCCATCTTGGTTTTTTATTTTGTACATATTTTTGTTGTCTATGTTGTTCGTATTTCGCCTCAAAACTTTTTAACTTTTGTTTTCTTGAATTATTTTAGTTATTTCTCTTGTATTGTTTTCGTATTGACCGGTGGATATCTTTATTTAATTTCTTCATTGTTGTGTAGTTGGAGCCGTATTTTTTCGTCAGCTGCCTTCTTTTAAATACCTATTAGCTTTTTGGTATTTTGGCTTAGATTAGATAATATTAAAATAAACTTACTTATGAATTTGTCAAGAAGAGGGCATAATTAACAAACAATACAGGATTCTGTAATATTTCACCGTTTATTGATTGACACTTAAACTTGGTATAATGTCAAAGTGACTGACGACTTTTCTGGTTTTGTGAGTAGGTTTTTAATAAAAATTATCAGTTGTCCTCGATATGGAAGGCATTTATGGATTAGTGCAATATGATCTAACACCATTTAGAGGTCCATTAGCCAATGCATTTCTAGTGTTATTAAACGCCTTATTTTTCAAAATCAAGCTTATAGGCGTGCATGATGTATACCCAAAGGATCATAGTGAATTTTTATTAGAAGTAAGTTTTATGTATTTATTTTTTAAATGTTTCCACGAAGTCAACGAGCGTTACAATTTTAAACATTTTTTGATATACTAACACGATTTCTTCATATTTAAAGCCGATGAATTAGTTATCTATGCTTAAAATCAGCAAAAGGTCTTCATTGGGTGATCTTCAGCAAGAAAACCAAATAATGCAGATACCAAATTAATACAGAATCTGATTTTAAAGTATCACTACAAACAAAAGCAGAAATCAAAGCTGTAGTAAATTACATAGCAAAAATAAATTATTAACGTTTTTTTGAGGAATGTAGCACCTATAGAAAAACAAAACTGATCACTAATAAAAAAATAGCTAAAAAAGAAAACTCAGACGGATATGATAGTGCATGAGATATACTTCTAATCGGAAAATTTCCGGCAAAGCTTCTCGAAGAAAAAGGAATGAATACTTAAGAATATCTTACAAGTACACCAGATGCAGACAAATAGTTCTGAAAATTGACCAAAATCTTCATTTGTTAACAAGGAACACTTTGTAGAATGTCTGGAGCAAGTCTTTCAACATATTCCGGTGCAAAACTTTGGGAACCAGTAGCAGAGATCATTGGAATTCTTGAAGCTCTACATGAAATGTCTCAAATATAAAAACTCTTGCATACGAAGGGTTGCAAGAGATAATCGTCTTCATCATTCGCTTGTATACGAGCTTCAGAGTAACATAAATGAGACAACCAGAAGTAATTTTAATCCGTCTGAGTTTCCAGGAATTGAGTCATTAAGGAACTTTCAAAAAAAGGAATCGTTTTAGGAACAACAACAGTTAATGCATTAATAGGACTAGAATATTTCTTGACCTAAATAAATCTGGCTAACTTAGACTTACTTAACCTGGAAAATCTCGAAATAAAGTAACTTCATACAAATTCATTAACTAGTCCTCTAGAAATACATAGAAAAGTGCTTATTACCTGATTGGACCCCATAAAAAGAAAACTATTTGATTCCTGAACACCAATTTGCCTTCAGAAAGGAGCATTTCATAATCAAATAGATACATAGAAAAGTATATAAATAAATAATACCAAATAATAAATAAAATATATGAACAGAAAAGTTACTGCACGAGTGCTGTTTTAGATGGGAATCAAGCCTTTAATATTGTCTGGTGAGATGATCTACTCTTTTTGTTAAAAAAGTCAGTCTACATTGCATACTGTATATTATATCATAGTATTCTACATTAAGAATTTTGCTGTGTGGTGTGGACAGCTAAGAACAATAACAATAAAAATTACATTGATAAAGGTCCTTGGTCTTCTTTATTTTATGCACACAGCTGACCTTCTAACCAGCAACAAAACAACCATACTTCCTTTGCAGATGATAAAGTGATTATGGCAAAACACAAAGACCAAGTAATAATAGTAGCGAGACTATTTCAATTACATCTCACGGAAATACAGGACTGAACACGAAAATGGAGAATTTAGGTAACTACAATTATATAAGTGCAGGTATCTTTACCAAATACAGAGGAACAGACCCTTCTGTTAACGCTTAAAGTTAAATGTGCCTCAATCTGATAGTGCCAAGTATTTGAAGATGCATCTGGACAAAGGGCTAATCTGAAAAACACATCTCATCACTAATATAACCAAACACATCGCAAGATATATCTTCACCAATATGCACTTCCGATATGCAACTGTAAGGTACATCCTTAAACTCAAACATACAAATACTTAAACATCTCCAGCCGAAGTTCATCATCACAGTCATTAACATCTTAGTAGATGTGTTGTGGTTCATAATTGGGCTTCAGCAGCTCGGACAGTTTGATTGATAATATTTCTCCACTGGTCGCGGTCATCAGTTATATGTATTGCCTCAGTATACTGTTTATTGAGAAGCTTTTTAGTAATGTCCGCCCATCGCTGTGGAGATCTTCCGCGTTGGCGTTGAGTCTGAGGCCTTCCTTGGACCACCAACCGCTCCATTTTGTGATCACTTCGATGGATATGGCCAAAGAACTTTAAAATTCTAGAGTAAACGGTACTGGAGAGACGCTGATCCGGTTTAATTTCATCCAGAACCGAGATATTTGTACGGCGAGCCGTCCATGGAATTCGAAGTAGGCGTCTCCATGTCCACATTTCAAAGGCGTCTATACGTCGTCGATCTGATTCTTTGACTGTCCATGTCTCGCATGCATAGTAAAATATGGAAAAGACCAGAGTTGAAACGAGTCTCTTTTTGTTTGTCATAGTAATGTGACGATCACGCCAGACCCCGTTTAGTTCACTCATTGCTGCTCTTGCTAGTTGAATGCGTCTTCTAATTTCGGATTCACAACTGCCTGTGTTGTTAACTAGAGCTCCAAGATATATCATAGATGAGACTACCTCGCATCCCGCAATAGTTTGGGTTTCAGGAAACTGTTGTTGGCGATCAATAACCATGATTTTGGTTTTGTTGTAGTTAACCATGAGTCCAAATTTAGCACTTTCTACCTCGAGTTTTTTTAATAATTTAGTAATTTCTTCTGGAGTAGAGGCTAGAAGTGTAGTGTCGTCTGCGAAACGCAAGTTAGATATCTTAACACCACCTAGGTTTACTCCTCCCTCCCAACCATCCAAAACTCTGCGCATTATGAACTCCGAATAGATGTTAAATAATAAGGGAGATAAAACGCATCCTTGGCGTACTCCCTTCTCCAAAGTGCATTTGTCAGACAGGTATCCGTCCATTCGAATATATGCCAGGTTATCTTGATACAGTTTGCTAATAAGGTGAGTCAAGTGTTTAGGTACACCCATTGTCGTCAATATGTTCCATAGTTTGTCCCATCTAACATTATCAAAGGCCTTTGTATAATCGACGAAACATATAAATATCGGGATCTGGTATTCTCTGGCTTTTTCTATGATGTTTCGTACATTAAGGATTTGTTCTCTAGTACCTCTGCCCTTTACAAATCCAGCCTGCTCAGGTGCTATTTGCCAACTTATGAAATTTTCTAGATGCCGTTGCAGTATGTAGAGGATCACCTTACTGGCGTGTGATATTAGAGCTAATAGCCTGTAGTTGTTACAATTATTTGTTGAACCTTTCTTATGAAGAGGTATGATTATGGTCTTTCTCCAATCCTCAGGCCAGACGCCTGTGTGCCATATTTCATTGCACAATCGATGTAATATTTTCACTCCACATTCCGGAAGATGCTTCAAGACGTCTGCAGTAATGAGATCATATCCTGCTGCTTTGTTTAACTTAAGTCTTTTTAAAGCGAATTCCACCTCGGAAAAAAGTATGTCAGGTTCAGACTCAAAACTAGTGTGGTGTGTCTCTGTTGAAGGAGAATGGAAAGTGGAGGTCTGGCAGTCAGGTACAAACGGGGCGTCCGCTGGCATCTGGTCCGTATTGGCGTATAAAGACTTACAATACGCCCTCCAAACATCAATAACCTTGTCACCTAGCCGAAGTTACTAGGTACTATAACAAATGCACCTTGTTTCATATAAAACAGTTAAAAGTTAGTGCACGCAGTACCCGATAATTAGAAAAATTGGAAGGCCACCCAAACCATCTTGCACCAAACTTGCAATACAATAGTTTTTATTAACTCAGAAACTGAAGGGGTACAACCCATTATAGCTTCGTTATAGGTTCTAACTCTTCAGTAAGAAGATTTTAGCATTAATTGTATCATAAATCCTCAAACAGAGTAATGAAGATTGGTATCACTAGCTAATAAATTTAACCTATTACATACATTTTTTGTACAAACTACCAACAAATTATAAAGAAAAAAAAATACATACATACAGTTACATACTTTTTACAAAATTATTTGTAGGATTATGATGACGTATTCGATTTCGTTATCGTTGGCGCTGGATCTGCCGGGTGCTCATTAGCAAACAGGCTCACTGAAGATGGCAAATGGAGTGTTCTTTTGCTAGAAGCTGGAGATTACCCTTCGGTAACAACAACAGTACGTAGTTTTACTTGATCCATAATCTTCTCCAGTACTTCCCGGCTACGTACATAATAAAAACCAATAAATAAGTTTCTAAACGTTTTAGGTACCAGCTTTCCATAAAACTCTTGTTGGTTCTGCTGAAGACTGGAGCTTTCGTCTGGAAAAAGACGAGCATGCGTGTAATTCCTTTGAAAATCAAGTTTGTACTATTAGCAGAGGAAAAGTCTTGGGTGGAACGAGTTCAATAAATGATCTAATTTACACTAGAGGAGCTACATTTGATTATGATAAAGGCGATTATCCAGCATGGGGATCCAATATAAGCTACGCTATCTTAACAAAGTATGTACTACCTAAGCTCTGACGTCACAATGGGCAGAGGTTTTAAAAATCTTTCCAAACATTTCTAATTTGTGTGTATTTGTCCAATAATAAGTTGGAAATATTGATTTTTTTTTATTTGAATAATAAATAAGAACTTTTGGTTATGAACATTCATTCTATGCCATCGGTATTATTTGTTTTTCCTGAATTTGTGAGGTAAGAATATCAAAAGATTAAGATATTTACTAGGAATGTTCATATTTTGATGAGCTCAGGCTCATTTCTTCAGGAATGTCTAGTGTGTCTTCCATGGCTTATTGCTGGTTGAACTGAGTTCTGTTTTCAGAATAAGCTGCTTAAGTACTGTCTTACTCAGGTGAGAATAGGATATCTTTGAAGGTTCCTTCCCCCTTCCACGGTTTTAAATCTTTGACATGCGCTGTTACCTGTTTCCGTTTGCTACTATTCGACAATTTCAGTTTTACTATTACCGGTGATATAACTGATGCTACTGTGTATGATGAGTAGATGAGATGAAATCGAAAAATCCATAAACGACATGAAAATAAATAAAGCGGCTGGTGAGGACAAAATACTGGCCGAACTGCTAAAAGAAGGAGGATACACGATAAAAAAAAATGCTAAAAATACTGTTCAACAAATATCTGTTTAAAGGTAAAATTCCTAAACAATGGAGAAATGCCAACACAATCTTAATACATAAGAAAGGAGACCGAACAGACCTAAACAATTACCGTCCTATTTCCCTTTTGTCACAACTATATAAAACCTTCACAAGAATAATATACAACCGACTAACCTATAAACTTGATAACTACCAACCAGTGGAATAGGCGGGATTCAGGAAAGGATACAGCACAATCGACCATCTACATGCGCTTAAAATCTTAATTGGGAAAACCAATGAATACAACCTTCCTCTGTACTTAGCATTCGTAGATTATGAAAAGGCTTTCGACAGCATTGAACACTGGGCGGCTGAAGAAGCTCTGGTCAATAGTAGCATAGATTCAAGATACCGACAATTGATATATGATATATACCAAAACGCAACCATGACCGTAATTCTGGATGATATACTCCTGATCTCCTCGGAATGACAAGATTTGGAATTAATGTTGAATGAACTTCATGAAAAATCACTGCAAAAAGGTCTAAAAATTAACTTCAACAAAACAAAAGTAATGACACACACGGAAGACCAAGAGGCAATAAAAATACAAACAGAAAAAATAGAACAGATAAATGAGTAGATCTATCTAGGACAAGCAATCAGAGCTAACAGAGAAAATCAAACAGCCGAAATATGAAGACGAGTAAGAATGGGATGGGCAGCGTTCGGCAATCTTTCTTACGTTCTATAAAAACTAAAAATCCCTCTATACTTACTAAGCAAGGTATATAACTCCTGTATAATACCGGTGCTCACCTACGGAGCACAGACATGGACATTTACACAGGTCAATTTGGATAGGATAAGGAAGGCATAAAGAGCGATGGAGAGACAAATGTTGGGTATATCACTTAAAGATAGAAAACGTAACCAGTGGATCAGGACCAGAACAAAGACAGTAGACGCGATAGAACAAGCAGCAAAACTGAAATGGAAATGGGCTGGACACAATAAACGTCTCCAAGACGGAAGATGGAATAATGCCATCGGAAAGCGGCGTCCATACAATGCAAAGAGATCAAGAGGCAGACCACAGATGAGGTGAAAAGACGACATCAGGAAACAAGGAGGTCCCACATGGCAGAGAACAGCTCAAGATAGGGAAAGATGGAGAGAATGGGGGGAGACCTATATCCAACAATGGAAGGATAGAAAATAGGTTAAAAAAAACTGTGTATGGACCTGAATATTTTGGCGCCAGCTTGCTGGTGAAAGCCTCATTTGCCGAGGATAGATGGTGTTCCTTTTCATAGCCTGATCTCCTGGGTGTGACTTCATCTAGACTTCAAAAACATGTTCCATGTGTAGTTTTGCCAGGTCCCTTAATGCTTCCAATTTATTTAAGTTTTCCACGTACTCATATATATCTTGGCATTTGGCTGCATCTGTTGCGTCTAAATATCTTCCGAAATTAAGAAGCGCAGGTGAAAATCCTGTCGAATCATTTTTTGACGAGTTTATGGCGTAACAAAAGTCTGGTATAAATTTGTCTTACTCTTTATCCTCCACGTTCGTAGCTATCATTGTTTTCAGTACCTTATTAGTTTTTTTTACTGGATTGCATTGTGGCGAATAGGTGTTGTAAGGACGTGATTTATGTTGTATGCTTTTAGGAATATTTTAAAATTGCGTCTTGTGAATTTAGAAACGTTATCCGAGATTACTTATCGGATAACGTGACTACGAAGCGCTGACGGTACCGAGGCGATGCAAATCGTTACAAAATGGGACAAATCGAAGAATCCATGTTAGACAATAAGACATCGGAGTGCCATCGAAAGGAGAGAAAAAACGCCGTACCTTGCACAACATGGCTCAAATGCAGGACATACTATAAACCTGAAAATTTTATCTTTAGGTGAATATAAATTAGCCTTTTTTTCATTTATTAATTCATGCTTTATTTAAAGCGACGATACTAGCCAACATTGAAATTAGAAGAAAACGTCAAATCAGAGAATTAATAGAAATAGAAAAAAATCCCAGCAGTCTAAACCTAAGAGATGATGCTTAAAGGCTTCCAATAACATGGAAAACGGTATTTGAAGAAGACCAAAATAAATCAGGCAACAGGACAAACGAGTATGACCTCTCCTATCTATACATGTACAGGACCAAGCACAAGAGGTGCCGCCAAGAAGCGCGTCAAGATACTGTTTATAAGTAACCGTTTCAACCGAGATATTTATATAAAATTATTTTAAGGAAATTTCTAAGCAGGTTGTTTTACTGGATTGTAAAGGGAATATTAATTAATATATTATCTCTATTTTACTTCACCCCTTATTGTTTTTATTTTCATTAATAATTGTATTAGCTTGCTCATATCCATAATTTTAACGTTTTATGTGTGCTTCCCATTTCCGATTTCCCATTTACTTTACACAATTTAAAATTTTAATACTTTAATTCACAAGACTAGAAAAATATGAAGAACCCGGCGATTTTTATGGCCGTGAAGGTCTTATACATTTGGAATATTCAAACTTCACGGACACACCAAAAGAGTTGCTCACCATGACATATGAGTCGCTTGGCTACAATCGGATGCTGCCTAATCGTAACATCGGTTTCGAAGAGCATCTAGTCACGAGATATCGTGGGGAACGATTTAACATGGCCAGGAATTTTTTAACGCCAATAAAGAACCGTCCGAATTTTTATTTTTCCAAGAATTCGGAAGTTTTTGCTGTTGGGCTTACAGGTGTGTATATAAAACATTTTTTTCATTTAATACAAAAAACCGCAAACGCCTGACATTACTTACTTGATTAAATTTTATTCTTCTTCTTCTTGTACCACTCCTATCGGAGATGGGAAACCATCAAGGCTATCCTAACGTTGTTTACAGCTGACCTAAAGAGTTCATTAGTGGTATAGCCAAACCTCTCTCAAATTACGCAACCATGACATTCTTCTTCGGCCTGGATTCCGTTTTCTTTCTATTTTTCCTTGCATTATATTTTGAAGTAATGCGTATTTATGTCCTCTCATCAGGTGACCCAAATATTCGAGTTTTCTTCATTTGATCGTTGACAAAATTTCTGGGTCTTTTCCTATGCTTCGTATTGCCAAGTTTGTGACTCTTTCAACCCAACTTATCTTCAGCATTCTACGGTAGACGTTGGTAAATATTTTTTATGTTGTTCTGTTTGAGAGTCCAGGCCTCTACACCGTATAATAGCGTGTTAAATAAGTAGCCCCTTAGCATTATTAATTGTAGAGGGATGCTTATATCTCTGTTGCAGAAGAATTTCCTCATCTTTATGAATATAGCCGTGGCAATTTGGATACGTCTTTTTATTTCACTGTTTTGGTGTCTAGTTTCGTTTATTGAAGTCCCAAAGTATTTGCAACTTGATACTTTTTTAATTTGAATGCCGTTTGTACTAATATGTGCTGGTTGTGTCATGTTTTTACTAAAGACCATATGCTTGGCTTTTTTGATATTGATATTTATGTCATAATTGTTGCAGGCAATATTTATATTTGTTACTAATCGTTGTAATTCTTCTACTATTCTTGCAACTAGTACAGTGTCGTCTGCGTATCGAATATTATTTACAACCTCTCCATTGATTACGATTCCTTCGTTTGCTTGCAAGATGCAGATGCTTTCACTTTTATTTATTTAGCGTATGACAATTTGATACACAACATTATCACATATATGTTACAATCTAACATCTAATGTATTAATATATTCAATCGACGCTGGTGTTGCAGAGGCGAAGTCTAGGGGATCTCCATAATACTTCCTCCAAGGGCATTCGGCAATCATATGCTGGATGGTCTGTTTCTCGGCGCCGCAGTCGCACTCAGCAGAGGTTCTCATCCTCCATTTATAAAGGGAATCTGCGCAGACTCCATGACCCGTTCTTATCCTGTTAAGAGTTGACCATGATTTTCGGGGGAGGTCAAAACCTGGTGGAGTTTCTGTGATGCATGGTGTGTTTCTCATTATTAGGTTCGGTCTGTCGCTCTGCATGTTCTTCCACTGGGAGTTCATTTGAAAATTGTTGGAACTCAAGTTTATTGCACCTCTAGTCGGAGGTTTCTGGAGCGCAATCGATGTGAATTAGCGTCGGCGACATATGTGTGTATAGGTAATTGCGGGTTGTTAAGCAGCTTTTGGAATTCTCTAAGCAGAGCATGCTGACGACGAAGATTAGGTGGAGGTATATGGCTCAGTAGTGGAAGCCACTCCACAGGTGTGGACTTGATCTTTCCAGATATGAGACGCATGGCGACATTGAGCTGGGTATCTATAATTTTTGTGTGAACGCTATTCAGCCAAACAGGAGAGCAGTATTCAGCTGCGGTGTATACGAGTCCAAGGGCTGAACACCGAAGTGTACCTGCTGATGAGCCCCATGTAGTCCCGCAAAGCGTCTGTATGATGTTGTTACGGGTTCTCAGCTTTGCTGCGGTGTTCTCAAGATGTTTCTTAAAAGAGAGTGTTTCACTATAAATGCTTTCACTATAAACATTAAATAGCAGCGGTGACAAAATGCATCCCTGTCGTACTCCTCTACGTATTTCTATTGCTTGTGATATCTCATTTTCTATTCTGATGTTAGCTTTCTGATTCCAATATAGATTGAGAATTGTTTGCAGATCTTTATTGTCTATGTCCTTTCTTTCAATAGTGACTCTTAGCTTATCATGGCGCACTATGTCAAACGCTTTTTCAAAATCGATAAAACATACATGTACTTCCTCATTAATGTCTAGGTATATTTGTGTAAGAACATTCAAACCGAAGAGAGCTCCTCGAGTGTCGAGTACCTAGTCCTTTTCTGAACCCCATCTGTGCATCACTAATACCTGAATCCAACTTTTGATAAACTCGGTTGTGGATGACTTTTAGAAATATCTTTAGTAGATGGCTCATTAAAGATATTGTTTGTTGTTCTGCGTTGGACATTCTTTTGCGTTGGATTTCTTTGGCAGTGTAACGAATGTACACAACAGCCACTCTTGAGGTATAGTACCAGTTTTGTATATTGTGTTAAATAAGTGCAATATTATACCTATTGAGTCATCATTCAAGAACTTTAGCAATTTAGTAGGAGCTTCATCAGGTCCATTTGTTACAACAATGTTATTTCTGTTGTCCTCAAACAATTCTGTTATATTTTCTTTCATAGTTTTCTATTTCTACACATTGTTTTTCAATCCATAATTCTTTGAATTGAAAAAGACTGTAAGACTTGTACACACTTCTAAATAGGTCTAACTGGTAAGCAGGTTTTGTATGTTTTCAATAAAATTGATAGTGTGTAAAATAATTTTTTAATTAAGCTTAGTATACTTTCGACATAATAAATGTCATCATCAGAGCTATCGTCAATTAGGCAATAAATACTTCATAGAAGGAAAATTGTGGACAAACAACATATTTAAAACAAAGATCGGGCTCTCTAGGCCACAGATCTTGGGTCTAACCCTTATACATATGTATAACATCAAACATATTTACATCAAAAATTTTTATGTGAATTATACATATGTATAAGGGTTAGACCCAAGATCTGTGGCCTACAGTAATAATATGTAAATCTTTACATAAACGATTTAAAGAAACTCCCCAAGTTCTAGGATTATATTTGAATCTAAAAAAATTAAACATGGTCGTATTATTCCAGAACCTGTTGACAAACGAGCAATTGGTGTTAATGCTTCAATCAGAGGTGAAAATCTGTTCATCAAAGCCAAAAAAGAAGTTATTTTAACTGCAGGTGCTATAAATAATGCTAAAATATTGTTACTTAGTGGCATCGGACCTAGAGACTATTTAGAATCAAAGGGCATTAAACCGTATGTAGATATTAAAAGTAAGTATTGATGTATTTATTGTGGTTCATTCTAGAATGAATCGATCCATCATATTCTCTTCTTATCACTATTCTATAGTCATTTATGTTGTTTATTTACAACAGTATTATTCACAGTTTTATGTCTTGCATAATATATTCTTAGCTTTTTATTCTTTTTTGGCTTTGCTCATCTTTGTTTTTTTAGATAGAGGTAGTGCAAACGTCCCTGACCGCGGAGCTGCGCGAAGGCGAAGTCAAAATTCACGTAAAGGCAGAAAGGTTCTATTGTAAGTGGAATTATACAGTGCATAGCATAATGCGTTTCGCATGGAAGTGGGGAGTAAACCAAATTTTGTCTACTGCGCCGTGGTCAGGAGTGTTTGCACCATATCTATCAATATTTCCCGTTTATACGTGTATTTGACTTATCTTGTCGTATATTTTTTTACTTAATGATGCCCATGCTGTCTATTATTATTTTATAACTACACTCTACAGAGTGGCCAAAAGTCTGAAAACGGCCAATTATCTCGTAAATTGCTAGTCATAATTGTACAAAATTTAAGGTACACCTATTTTGGGATACGGAGATTTCATATTTGATATTTGCAATGTTGCCAGATTTGCCATTTCTCTTATATTATTAGTAACTTTGGTTTTTCAAATTCAACACCCTGTATATTTAGTCATTATTGGAATCTCCTATTCAATACGAGTTCAACCATATTTAACACTGATGATTTTATTTAGTCTGAAAGGTCTTAAATACATAAAACATAAGTCTGGCAACGCCTAATTGTCTCAATAAATTTTTTAATACTATTTTCAACTACAATAAAACGTAACAATTGATAGATTACAATATTTTTTAACTTGGTTAAACTATGGTAACTATTTTTATAATGGTTACTTCATTAAGTGTTCAAGATGTGCTCCATTTGTGAGTTGACTGTACCCTAATCTATGGTAGAATGCGTCTATAGGCAATGGATTTTGACAAGATCTATGACCTTGTAAATAACAGGTAAAATTGTGTACTGCTTCGGAATTACTTATAGCTCTTGTCAAAATCCATTACCCCTACCACATATCTCCATGATTGTATAGAAATTATTCGAGATTCATCGATAGTTCGTTGCCTTAGCTCTGCAAGGGTTGATGGTTTAGTTTTGAAAACTGAATTTTTCAAGTATCCTCAAAAAAAATAATCTTTAGGATTAAATCAGGTGAACGTGGAAGCCATTCAATTCTACCTCGTCTACCAATCCATCGTCCGGGAAATATCTCATCTGAATAACGCCAAATATTTACACCAAAATGAGCTGGGGCTCCATCTTGCTGAAACCACATCTAATTAAAATTGATCCCAAATAAGATTATCAGTGTAGGTACAATTTCATTTGTAAGTAACATTTCGTAACTATCAGATTTTAAATTTCCTTCGATAAAAAATGGCCCAATTAACTGAGTACCTACTACGCCTGACCATACATTTAATTTTTGTGGTCTTTGAGTATGGTTTTCATGCTTACAGTGTGGATTTACGTCACTCCAGTACCTTAAATTGTGTCGATTGACACTCACACGCAGTGTAAAGGTTGTTTCATCGGAAAAACTTATTCTGATAACGAAATTTTCATCATTTTCAATTTTATCCAGCATTACCTCAGTAAACTCTAATCTACGATCAAAGTCATCTACTTAGTTCTTGCAATAAGTTAATTCTGTATGGTTTAAATTTATTCTTACGTAATAAACGTAAGACTGAAGAATGACCTACATCATGTACTTGTAGAACCCTGCCTAAGGATGTATGTGGATCTTCAACAAAACTTTGCATTATATCTAAAGTTTTGTTGTCATTTATAACTCTTTTCGGTCTACCTGATCGGTTTTTTTTACTTCTCCAGATTGCTCAAATCGTTTAGGAGAACGGTTTGGGAAAGTATCATTAAACAAGTTGGCTACTTCACAATAAGATATTTTTCTGTCACCGTACCCTCTCATCATTAGAATAACAATTCGTTCTTTTTCGTTAAGAGCCATTTTAGAGAAGCAATTTATCTTGCAGAACTTTTCGAAACACAACTACCTACTGTTAGTTTTAGTTAATAATGTAAATGGTGAACAAATGTTAAAAGCACAGCATTCTATATTTAAATATTTAAATTGATTAAAATCTACGTATTTTGCACTGTTTTATGTATTTAAGACCTTCCAGACTTTACAAAATCATAAGTGTTACATATGGTTGAACTCGTATTGAATAGGAGATGCCAATAATGACTGAATATATAGGGTGATGAATTTGAAAAACCAAAGTTACTAATAGTATAAGAGAAACGGTAAATCCTGCAACATAGCAAATATCAAATATGTAATTTCCGTATCCCAAAATAGGTGTATCTTAAATTTTGTACAATTATGACCAGCAATTTACGAGATAATTGGTCGTTTCCAGACTTTCGGGCCACTCTGTATATACGGGCATGCTGCGTACCTGTAATATCATAATACCTGATTAGGATCAGAGGATATTGGACTTTCTCCTGAGCCATGAGTATTTCTTTCTCCCAATTCGTCTATCTTTCCGTTGAGTATTACGTTTCCCAATTATTCAAGATTTAATTCTTCAATACTCTTTTTTATCATTTTCATTAAGTCACCTTGGCTTTAACATATTCCATTTATTTTCGACAGGATCCGGCACAAAGGATGATCAGTTTTTAAAAAAATTACAAAATTTCTAATAAAAAAATGAATTATTGTCGGATTAAAATGAAATAGCATTTATAACAATTGTGGAAAATCACATCAGTCATGTGGTAACCGTTTTTGACGATGCATTGCTGAAGGCGTTCTTGAAAGTTCGCGTAGACTCTGTCCAACATTTTTGTCTCAATTTGGATTACTTCCACGCGAATTGCGTCACTCAAATCGTTTAGAGGTTGGGGTGTGTACTCGTATACACGAGGCTTGAGGTATCCCCATAGTAAATAATCGTAGATTGATAAATCTGGGGACCGCGGAGACCAATGAACATCACCAAACCTGGTAAAAAGGCTTCCACAGAAAAGAGGGTGAATAACGTTCATCATGGATCTGGTTGTATGGACCGTCGCCTCATCCTGTTAGAACCACAAACGTCAGAATGGAACTCACCGTCGCGTCGTGGTAATTAAGGTGAAGAGATGATACAGAAATGGTAGAGATGTAATATCCTTCATAAAAATAGGTAGGCTATGGATCATGGACGTATAAACATAGATGGACACAGCAATAAGATACCTTTAACACACAATGTTTTGAAGCTTCGATAAATGTGATGCTTCCGCGATGAGCATAAGCGTGCTTGAATTTTTACTCGCGGGTAATTATTCAGATTTTAAAAATTGGAAGTAGTAATAATGTATAAAAACACGTTCAAAGAATTTAAAAAAAAAAAACGAGAGTTTAACTATTAACAAATCACGTCTTTATAGAAAAATTAAAATACAATTTTATTTGCTTTAAAATTAATACAATTAAATATAGTTGAATTCAAGTTAATTTATTAATAGTATCAAAATAATGCTACAATAAAAAATCTTTATGTTTTCTCCTTAATTTGCTACCCAAATAGTTCGATCGTCAATATTATTTGGAAACCTACATAGAAAAATAAATGAGTTGTATTCATTTCACTAATTTATTTGTATCCATGAGAAATATTAAATTAAAAAGGTACTAAACAGATCTTTTTTAATCAGATGATGCCTACTTACAATTTATAAATGTCTACAATTTTAATGAACTCATATCTTATTCAATACATTAATGAACATGAATAAACCCAATGGTACGCCTATTAAAATTTAAACAAACACGCTTCCTCATTTCCTCATCTTAAATAATGTAAATTGTATGTACTTACAAATGAAATGAGAGATCGGGATGTAAATATTTCGTTTATTTTATTTCACTTTTCACAAATATCACTCAAAAATACAGCCAAAATATCGAAAAATAACTTTTTCCTCATTTACTCTAAAAAGTAAACAAACATGGAACAGCATTTGAAGTTTGACGTAGATCCATAAGACAGAGAAATGTAAACAACCGTTGCCATTTATAAATAGTTTTTAGTGCTTCACATATAAAATAATTGATTGATATCTATTATACGCTATTATTAAATGATAATGCACACTATGTGCACACTTGATATTTTGATTACAATTAAATATATTAATCGAACCAATAAATTATTATTTTGGTTTGATAGCACCTGTAGAGTATAAAATACGGAGTAATATTTCAGCGACTCGCGAATAAGAAATTTTAAAACAAAACGTGACAACAGCTGAAGGTGCTGAGAATGTGACCTATTCAAATAATTTTGACTTCACAATTTTATGTAAATAACTGAGTCCATCTGTGTTTATTACGTCCATGGGCTGGACATGTGTCAAGAGCAAATGAAAATTACCCACCCAGACGAACTCTATTATCGGTCCCAGTGGGAAATAGGAGTAGAGGCAGACCACGAATGAGATGGAGGGACGGTGTGGACGAGGACGCAAGGAAAATCGGCGCGGCAAATTGGCAACGGTTGGCGATGAACAGAAACGACTGGCGAAATAGACTGGGGAAGGTCAAGGCTCTAGAGCTGTAGCACCACTGATGATGATGATGATGATGATGATGATGATGATGATACAGACAGAAATATTTGTGAAATTATTTCAGATTCTTAAATATAGTTATAGATGTTTGTTAAATCTGAGATATTTTCATCATATAGAAGTTTGGGCCAGTTTGATGATATGCCCAGGAAGGGGATGTCTAGCTTGTCCATTTCTAGCCGGATATTTACTAATTTAGTATCTTTAAATATAGTCGTTATCTTCCACCTATCTTGTGGATTATTATGGCACACATTTTTCGTGTATTGATGATCTGGATGGCCCCGTGGTCTATTTGTAATCTCTCTTTCTTGCGTAATGTTGGATTCTAGGTCCATTTATTAAATTTGCATTAGGATTCGTTATTTCTGGTAGAAAGTTGTACTAGGAATATTTAAAAGGACCTTTAATGTAGTAGGTGATGTTAAAATTTAAGTACTAGAGGAATATATTGATTTCTTTACCGCGCCATTCCCCTTTACTTCTTGTTTCTCATTTATACTTACTTATCATTTTTTAATTTTATCTCTTATTACACTTCCCATTTTCCTAAGCGTTATCAGTTTTACAATTTAGGAGTACAGCCAACTAAGTTTTTGGCTTTTGTTATATAAGTTTTATTGGTACTAAAGCTGTTGACATAATATATTTATTTAGCAATTTATTATAATTTTTCATTTTTTACCTGCAATACACTCTTTTGCATCTCTACAACACTCCATGTGAACCTACCGCTAAGAAGCAGTACTTTGGGTTACGTTATCTAATGACACCTGGTGGGTTCCTTTCAAACATGATTTGATTTTTGGAAATATATCGCAATCGAAAGTCGCATTATACTAAATCTGGCAAAAAGATAAGGTGCTCCAAGACTGTGCCCTGGTTGTAGTTAAATAGTCCATGAGCCGGAGCGTTGTCTGATAGAGGGTATAGGAGTTCTGTTTCCACATTCCGGACCTCTTTTTCTGAATTTTTGGTCGGAGTCTTCGTAAAACCTCTAAATAGTAATATCGACTAACTGTCTAATCTTGTGATACCAATTTAATCTTGATTACTTCCCAGATATCGAAGAAAATAGTCAACGTCGCCTCGGATTCGGCTTATTCATTGGCATTTTTATTGTCGAGAGTGTTTGGAGCCTTCCACTGCATGGACGTATGTAGTGGAATATGGTCATATTGAAACATCTATGTTTCGTCATAAGTTATGACCCTTGACAAAAAATATGAGTTGTTTCTGATGCATTACAGGATGTCACGACGAATGTCTTTATGATATATCTTCTGTTCCGCCGTTAAGAGTCTGGGTACAAGCTTAGCAGATACTTTCCTCATGTTTCGGTCTTGATGCAAAATTTGTTCCCAGTTTATTTATTATTGTCCAAATGTTCAGCAACGGACATAATGCTTAATCGACGGTCTTTCCGAACCAATTCGGTTCACTTTTTGAACGTTCAAATCACTTTTTAAAGTCCTAGGCTTCCCGGAACGCTCGTCATCACTTATCACCGTTAACCCTTTGCAAAGTTTCATAGTTTTTGGACGCGGACTTTTCAAGTTTTAACAAACTTTATATAACTTTAAATTCACTTTTTGCTCAATTTTTTTACCCCGGACTTTTTGACGTAAGACATTTTTGCGACCTTGTAAATTCGTTATTGTTCTTTTTCTTCCTAACTGCCTAACAGTCAGAGACAGACTTTCATTATACCTGGTAATACTGCGGAGTTATAGTTTTTTACTTGTACTTTACACCATTTCCCTATTTCATTTTATCCTACTCTAAGGTTACACATACCTTCAATCTTATCATATGTTCAATCTAACATCAATAAAAGAGTCCGTTATTTTATCGTCTTTTTCATTTGCTTTCTTATATTATTATCGACGTTTTGACGTATTTTACATGATTTTCAGATGTAGGAAAAAATCTTCACTTTCATTTGGTAGTACCCTTATACGTTGCCTTGGATCCCTGCTGCAATACATGCAATCGAGAATTTTCTACAGAAGACGACCTTGTCAGAGATACCTTCAATTATATCCTCTACAGGCAAGGTAATTTTAGCCACACAAGTCTCAACGAATTCACTGCCTATGTGGCTCCAAACTTAGAAAAAGCCTATGTCCCAACAGTAGCTATTAGTCACCAGTACTTTAAAATTAACGACAGATATTTAGAGCCTTGGATAGACAGTATAAAATACGATCCAAAAATTATACAGTCCTTGGTGAAGCACAACAAAGAAAGGGCTATTATTGTATTCCTTGTGAAGCTTCTTCATCCTAAGTCAAGGGGAGAGCTGTATTTAAACGATACGTATCATATGGGAAACCCCACAATTATTCCGAAATTTATGTCTGATCCTGCTAATGAAGATTACAGGGTGCTTTTATCAGGTAATGTATCCAAAACAAGTACAAAATAACCATACTACGTCAACATTCAAACACAAGCTACGCATTGGAGCTGATGCAGTTTCACTTTACCGTGTAAAGTAAGAGACGAGCAGGTGGGTGTGGATGTAACTCTCCTCTAGTTTTTAGTAGTTTTATCGACAATGTCTAGTTGGGTTTTATTTTTCTATTATGTTTTTGTCTCTTTGCTGTATTTTTAAGCTATATCTGTACACAATATCAATCGAGCATCTAGCTGAATAGTAAATTACGTACGTTGCTTCTTAAGTTCTGAGGCCGACATATAAAAACAACCAATTTTTTGAAACATATTCTAGCTCATCAAGGTTGTTTGATGCGACATGACAAGCTTTTATATGGATCTTTTTAAGTAGACCCAAAATATATTTAATTAGATTTTGGTTTAGACTAACTGCCGGCCAATCTAGAACTTAAATATTCCATTATTAATAATCTCTAAGAATTAGACCAAACGGCACCACATTTTCATTAAGAATCCGCCGTATGTATAAATAAGCTATCAGGGATCTCCTACAAAACTCTACTATGATGTCTTCACTTAAATCATAATCTAGGCTCTTTCAAAATTTCTAGATGCTCGTATGTTACATTGATCAAACACCATATCCAGAAAGTAAAAAATCGTGGTTCATATCCACACAAATATCAGTCAGTCATTCTTCGCATGCTCCTTGGTGACTCCTCTCCTATCTAGGATGGCGGCAATTTCATCGTCCCAGGTCTTCGTGGGTCTGCCCCTAAATCTTTTCAAGGTTCTTCTCGCTTCCCACACTTGTTTCACTTGGCTTTTTTATCCATCCTTACCATGTGGCCGTACCATCTCAGTTGGGCTTCTTCGATTTTCTTCTCTATTGACTGGACTTTAAGGCGTTCTCTTATTTCATTGTTCCGTATCCTGTCCATTCTGGTCACCCCTAGTACTCTTCTTAGATACTTCATTGATATACTTTGCAGTTTACTTTTTAGTCTGGTGGTGAGCGTCCAGCTTTCACATCCAAATGTTAGATATGTACAAAAACTGTGTTGTAGATAGCTATCTTTGCTTTTTCGGATACTTCTTTTTTCGATAGGAATGTGCTCTTAATTGCGTGGTATATCCGGGAAGCGTTTGCTATTCGATTATTTATCTCTGCTTCTTGTGTACCCCTACTCTCTAGTTGCACTCCCAGGTATTTGAAGGTTTCTACTTGTTCTAAAGTATAGTTATTGATTTTAATGTTTGTATGTTGGTCTGTTTTCCCACATACCATCACTTTGGTTTTACTTTCATTAATTCTCAGATTGCGTTTCTCAAGTTTATCTTTCCATATTTGGAGGTTTCTCTTAAGTGCCTCCTCGTTTCTTCCAAATACGACGAGGTCATCTGCAAATGCGCACTCCGCAATCTGTATCATTTCCAGGTTTCTATGTCCAACAAATAATCTCGATGTTTCTTCTCTAGTTTCCTTCATTACATCATCTAGTACAATATTGAACAGGATGGGGCCTAGTACACCTCCTTGTCGTAAGCCATCATTGACTCTAAACTCTTCTGATTCCATATTATCTGTTCTTACCCTGTTTCTTGTGTTCTTGTATAGGCTCATAATAGCTTTTCTTTGTTTGCCGTCTACTTCTCTGTTTCATAGGCTTTTGTCTATTTCAGTTCGCGGGGTTCTATCAAATGCTTTTTCGAGGTCTATGAAGGCTTGGTATAGTTCCGTACTTGTATTTCGTGCATTTTGTATTAGATGCTTGAGTGTAAAAATATGGTCATGGATGCTTCTTCCCTTCCTGAAACCGCTCTGTGACTGCTCCAGCTTATGTTCTACTTCTTGTAGTAGTCTTTTCTCCAGTTACTCGTTCGTAAACTTTGGAAGGGATACTCAGGAGAGTTATACCTCTGTAGTTGCTGCATTCTCGTCTGTCACCTTTTTTGAAAATGGGTAGAATAACGCCCACTTGCCAGTCTTTTGGGATCTTGTTCTCATTCCATGCTTTATTGCAAACTTTTCTAAGCATTTCATTTCCATTTTCTCTCATATTTTTTAGCATTTCCGCAGTTATCTTATCATAGCCAGCTGCCTTTTCTCTTTTGAGCCTGAGTATTATTTCTCTTATTTCTTCTATTGTTATTTCGTTTTGGTTTGGGTTCTTAGATGTGTTTTCTTCAGTGTTGTCTATTCCATTATTATAGTCTTTTTGAGTCAGAAGGTCTTCGAAATATTCTCTCCACCTGTTCATAATACTTTCGTTCGCGCAGAGGATGTGGCCATCTTTGTTTTTAATTTGTTTTGGTGTTTGTTGTCTGTTCTCTGTTCTTAGGCTTCTCAGAGTTTTGTAAAATAGTTTTTGATTAGTGTGGTAGTCTTTCTCCAGCTTATTCCCAAAATCCTCCCAGCTCTTCTTTTTTGCTTCAATCACCATATCTTTTACTTTTGCCCTCTGTTGCTTATATTTTTGATAGCTTTCTGCATTCTGGTTCCCTAGATATTTTTTCCACGCTAGCTTCTTGGATTTGACCTCTTCTTTTATTTCATTACTCCACCAATTCGTACATTGTCTGTTTTTATTGATTTTAGCTATTCCGCAGATTTGCTTGTCCCCATCTAGGAGAGATTCTTTAAGTTTTTGCCAAGTTTCTTCTAAGTCATAGTTCTGGTTTAAGTGCTTTTGTAGACTATTGTTCACATAGCTTTAGTATTTCTGTGCTATTTTCTTATCTGCTAACTTGTTTGACCTAATAACTGCGTTGGTGAGGTTTCTTGGGGTTCTGTCTCTTTTTCTTGGTACTTTCTGCGTGCGTTTTGTTCCACACCGATACTAGTTCGGGATACTACCAGATAATGGTCGCTATATATTTCTGTTCCCCTTCTGACTCTGACATCTTTGATACACTGTCTTAAGGGTCTGTTTACCAATACATAGTCAATAATGGACTTTTCTCCTCTACTCTTGACTTCTCTGGTATATTTGTGCACATCTTTGTGTTGAAAAAAGGAATTCATAATTATCAGGTCATTCTCTCTACAAAAGTCTATAATTCGTTGACCATTATTGTTTCTTACTTGTTCTCCGTGTTGTCCTAGTACATCCGAGGATTCTTGGTCTTTTACGCCTACTCTACCATTGAGATCGCCAATTATTATTATGTTACCTTCTGCGCTATCTATGATCTCTGTCGCCTTTTCCCAAAAAATGTCCTTGGTATTGTAGAAAGTATCTATAAGATTTCCTAATTATATATATATATATATATATATATATATATATATATATATATATATATACAGTAGACTTACTGTATAACGAGAACTGAAATTGCAGACTAATTAACTCGTTATAAGCCGACCTCATAAATACTGTGCGTACATATGAATATGTAGTTTTCTAAAACATTAACTTCCTATAGTGAAGCTATTCGGAGCAATATAACATGCTAAATATTGTTTGAATGCCGTTTTTTGAAAAAAAGTTGTTTACTTTTATTATGAATAACATACGTTAAAGCAAAAAATCCGTATTCTGTAAATCTGTATAAAGCGTATTTTCAAGGATAACATTAACTATTCCTTCTGCAATTGGAACAAGTCTGCATTTTAGACTGCTTTAAATTGTCCAGTATCATTCTATCTATCATATTTTCTAAAGACATGAAACAGTTGTATGCTTCTTCATTTGCGTCTTGTCTTAGGATAAAGTTTCTTACAATGTTTAAAGCACTTTCCACATCTTGTCTATTAGGACCATCTTATTATATTGAAAAGTTATATCTAAACCCATACACGGACACTTGTAAATCATAAATTGTAAATTTCCGACAACACAATATCGGTCGATATATTAAACAGAAGAAGTTTATTGCGGACAGCAGTTAAAAAGGGTATTTATTTATAGCCACGGCCGGGCCAAAAACGTAAAAAAACACGTTTTCGATGTTATTTTTTCTCGTTATAACCAAATTTGCCTCGCTATAGAGGGTTATACACGGGGACATCACGGGAAACCTCGTAATAACCGTGTTAGTTATAGAGGCAGTATACTGTATTAGGATAGTATTCTTCTGCAAAATGTTTGTCTATCTATTTTGCAAGGATCTCTTTGGTTAATAAGGAAGAGGTCTTTCACCCTCTACGTCAGAAGAGAATCTGTCCATTTTACACTGATGATATTCATTCTCCAGTACGTGTAGCGTAGCAGTCAGTGTTTGATCCATCGAGCAAAAAGATAAAAGAGGGAATCTAATCGTTATGAAAAGGAGACCAAAAAAGTGGCCTCTGATGGCGGGCATATCCGGAAATGCAAAGGCGCTAAATTTAAATTTTCCAACACTTGTTAACATTAGCTGTAAAATATTTTTCAGACAAGAAAGTTTTAATTAAATATTAACGATAATAGTTTAAAAAGTGACACAATTGGTAAAAAACTTCAATATAAATAAAATTTCATGTGACAGTTGGGACAAACAATAACATAACCAAACTAAATTTGACTTCTTAAACAAGGAAAGAGACTATCTTTCCTTGTTTAAAGTGGCCTCTCAAGATAGCACTTCCTGTCTAACAATATTTTTGTCCCCACTACCTTTACATTCCCTCTTTTATCTTTTTGCTCGATGGTTTGATCGCTGGCTGATGAAAGTGGAAAGTATTTTGGAGACATTAGTTGGACTTTTCGATTTGAATCTGAATCAGCTCGAGCGACTGACGATTTAGAGATACCAAAATAACAGTTATATCGTTCTGTAGATTCCGATTCAGACGTGCAAAGTTTTACTAATTTGTGCTCCAACGCCATAATCTCTAATAATGGCTTATTTCATTAAAGCAGTAGCTTTAGTAGTAGTATAGCAGTATATAGTGCTACTTATTATCTTATTAGGTTTTGATTTCGTGACGAATTTGACCGACTCGATGAGAGAAGAACAGGCAGAATTTTTGGACCTGAACATTCCCAACTGTAGAAACTATAGATTTTGCACACCTGCATACGTCAAATGCTACATTCAAAATATGGCTTATCCTAATAATGATGTTACAAGTAGCACTTTTATGGGACCTGAATGTGACGAGACAGCTGTTGTTAAAGAAGATTTGGAAGTACATGGAGTGAGGTAGTGCTTTAATAAGTTTTCAATAAGTAACAATACAGAAAATTGACTGATATATTTTTTTGGAAAAAGATTACAATAAGTTTAAAAAATTAGAGGTAAATAAATTATTTTGATAGCCTAGCTTTATCTTCCCCGCACGTATTCAGCTAAGTAGGTATCGTTATTATATCACAATATATACCTTAAATTCTAATCTTTTTGTGGTTCCGATTGGTAATTCTAAAATTATGATAAAATAGTAAATGATGTATCCTCGATGTTGGTTCTTTTCGATTGTAAGCAGATGTACATTCTCTTAATAAGTTTGGTACACAATTAACTTCATTTATTAAAATTTTGATCTTCTTTCCACCCGTTTTTTTCAAGACAAATGATCGTAACATTGATCGAAATTGGAGTTTCATTTAATTTTGTTTTTTGTATGTACAAGGTATTTTCTACACACAACCCTTTGTTTTGTTTTGTTCGGTTTAATTTGATTTTATATTTTTTTTTATACAAACCGAGATGACGGGACACTTAATTTAAAAGGTCTCCTAATCGCCTTTGCAACGATGTATTATTCGAATTAACCATTCGGGTTAACCAAAATATTTTCTTTCTACTCACCTGGGGTAAATCCGTTTTGTATTCGTATCTGACATAATTCGAATACTGACAAACAGATTAGAAGCAAAACTCGATTTCTATCGATCAGAAGAACAGGCAGGATTTCGAGCGGGACACGGAACAAACGACCATTTGCAATGCCTTAAAACTCTAGTTGAAAAGTCTATCGAATAGAACAGACCCTTTGCTCTTATCTTTGTCGACTTCCACAAAGCATTTGACACAGTCGAAACAGTTGCTTTCTTAAAAACACTATCAGAATGCAGAATAGACCACAGGTATGCAAATAGTATTCAAAATATATACGAAATTGGCAGAGGGGTGCGGCAGGGAGATACCTTGTCGCCAAAACTATTTATAACAGTTATGGAGTACGCATTTAAACGGCTAGAGTGGGAATCAAAGGGTATTAGCATCGATGGAAAGATATTCAATCATCTCAGATATGCCGATGATAATGTTCTCATAACAGACAACTTAGGAGAAGCCAGAGTTATGCTACAACAACTACAGCAAGTAACCCAGAAAGTCGGTTTAAAAATAAACTATGGAAAAACAAAAATGATGACCAATCTCATCCCCAATGAGCTAATAGAAATCGAAAAGTCGCCCATAGAACTTGTGGAAAAATATGTGTATTTGGGTCACGAAATAAGGTTAACGCGATGTAACCAAACATGCGAGCTACTCAGAAGAATAAGTCTGGGTTGGTCTGCATTTGGAAAAATGAGAGACGTATTTAAAACAAATATACCGATCCATTTAAAAAGAAAAGCTTTTAACCAGTGCGTTCTACCAGTCCTCACATACGGAGCAGAAACCTTAACTCTCACAAAAACATCAGCCGAAAAATTGAGAAGGACACAACGAAAGATGGAGAGATCAATACTTGGAATAAGCTTAAGAAATAGAATAAGAAACGAGGAAGTTCGTAGACGAACCGGAGTAGAAGACATTATCGAACATATTACAAGGAAAAAATGGAGATGGGCAGGATATGTTGCAAGAATGAAAGACGACAGTTGGACAAAAAGTTGCTTGAGTGGAGATCACGGGCTGACAAGCGAAGCCGAGGAAGACCCCAACGCGATGGACCGACGACCTCAACAGAATCGTGACCAATTGGATAGCAGAGGCGCAGAACAGAAGCAGATGGAAAAGTCTAGAGGAGGCCTATGTTCAAAAATGGACAACTCAGGGCTGATTGATGATGATCATGATGATGATGTTGAATCAAAATTATGTACTTCTTCTTGATTGGCTTTACAACTCGGGGTGAGTCTTCGCCACATCCACTCTAGTCCCAATCTTGCGCTTCTATTTCCCATTGTTGTATCCCAATCCTAGATAAATCAGCTTGAACATTATCCTTCAATCTTTTTTCTGGGACGGCCTACTGATCTTTACTGTCTGGTCTATCAAAAACACTGTCTTTAGCACTCTGTCTTCCTCTGATCTTACCACATGACCTGCCCATCTTATACGGTTACCTTTGATGTGTCTGACAATTTTTTCAGTACAACAATTCAGCACTGCATCGTCTTCTCCACTATCCTTGCACTTCATCTCTTTGGGGTCCAAATATCATTCCAAGAACCTTCCTTTCAAATACTAGCAGCTTAATTATTTCTCGCTGATGTAGAGTCCATGTACATCAGTCGAAAATTATGTACATAGTTAAGTTAAATGGACTTACAGTAAATGCTCATTTACTGAACTAAATTACACCAAGAACTGCCACTGCCAATAACACAAATTTGTGATTTTTGCTGGTTCCGAAAAAAGAAATACATTGATTGATAATGTAACCAACGAACTACCCTTCAGAAATGGTGGGTGTCAATGGGTAGCAATATATCTACCTTTGAAAGTGGGGAGACAATGTATAACAATAAATCTCGCAACTTTCTTTGGGAGCTAATTATTAGTCCTCGTCTAGCTCAGTCTCTCAGGTGTGAGAACGTCTTATCTTAGAAGTAACTCGGAAAAATGAATTTGGCTGGGACCAATGAAATAAGATATTAACTAATCATATTTATTTACCGGATGGCTCCGAAATATCCGAAAATGATATCAAGAGACCACCGCTAATTTATTTAGAACCGCCGTAAACAAAGTTATTATTGCCAAGATGATCGCCAACGTTCGATAATCGGAAAGGTACTGAAAGGAGAATATTTATTATACCTAAAAGATATAACACAAATTTTAATATTAAATTAAAATCAAAGTAAGTCTTGCTTACAGCCTTATACGAATTTTAAAATGATACTTATGGCTTCATGTGGTTGACAGGAGAATTTGCTGAGAATTTCCTGTATGATGCACCATGAGGTTTTGGAAAGTTCCACTGAACAAGGTGAAAATATAAAAAAAAATTGGCGAAAAAAATGAAACAATAAACCTTGAGTTAGGGACTGCATACGTTTTATATTTTCTTGCCATAGAAAAAACAATTGTTTAAAGAAAATAGCTGTTGGCAATGATAATTAAATGAATATAATTATTATTAAAATACTTATTATGAAAATGAGTATATTACGAAAACTATCAAGACGACGCAATCGAACACAAAATTAACAGCCGGGTACTATAACAACAATGATAAACACTGATTGCAAAAAACTGTTCGCATGTTTTTAAATAACATTTTTGCCGATTCATCACTTACCGGCTATGCCTGATGATATCCAGATAATTTAATTTTTAGTAATCAATAAAAGATGATAAGTATGGATTTGATGGTAATACGATCTTCGCCGTCGTAACACATAAGGGTATTTAGATAACATGAATCATTTTTTAACGATGTGTGTGGATTTAAGAAATTGATGCTGGTTAAAGCTTTACGCTAAGCGCACACCCATCGAATTTGGACTGTCGATAAAAGTTCGACCGAATAAATTCCTTTGGTGGCGTGAAGAAACAAATGTGAGCGGACACCGATGTCGTGTGATAATCGCATCGAGCAAAAAGACAGAAGAGGGAATGTAAAGGTAGTGGGAGCAAAAATATTGTTAGACAGCATGATACTATAATATAAAGATATGATCGCAAAGTGTTTCAAATTCGTTCGATTCTGCGCATGACGTCAAGGGGTGACGATAAATGGCGCCAATTGAAAACAACGGATAACATGCAGACTGGAATCTTACGGATTATTTATGTTAAATTTCTTTTTACGAGACGTAGTGATAAAATAATGGATGTAAACTTTTGTGAATTATGGATTTATTAAAGATAAACTATTTATAGGCTAATGTGAACTTTAAATAGTGGCGTTTTTATTAAAATTATTATGTCACACCAACTATGACATGAATAAAACCTTATTAACACTAAATTTTAACATTTTTTCTTATTAAAAAGATTTTTCGGATCTACAGTCCAGTCTTTGAAAGAAGGATCTGATTTCTTATTTCCGTTAGAAGTTTGGTCATTACATCTGCAACTTGTTTTTCAGTGAAAATTTGTGTCAAGGTTTTTTAGTTTGATTACGATGTCTTAGGTTATATATTCATAATTCTGCGAGATTATTTCATCATCGATCTCATTTTTTTCTAATTGAAAAATGTCTATATAATCAGTCATTTTTAAATATATAAAAATTCTGGGATACATATAGAGGTATTATCCAGATCCTATAGATGCAATTGAACTGATTTCTGACAATTAAAAAATATTTTGAAAAATGGTACTATATTTTCTCCCTCATAACTAATCAAATAACCTTTGATTGAATTTTGGTCCATTTTCTTTCTTATTTGCACTGTAGCTTGTGCATAACAGGTTATAGTTATGATTCTTGGGTGATTTATTCTAGGCCTATTACCTATCCATAGCTTATGGGGACTTATGACTAAATTTCAACATAAAATAAATACTTACTTCCTTTCCAAGATTTAATAGGTTTTTGGGTTAAATAAAAAATAGAAAACATTTTGTAAAACAGTTTATATTAGCTTTAAATAACAATATATTTATTATGTTCTATTTGCAAAATCGGAGAAATATTTGTAGTGGACGTCAAAACATATAAATGGTTGAAAGGTAAAAAACGAGTGAGGAGCACCTAAAAAAATTAGAAAATTCAAAAACTCGCCTTAAATGGAAAGTTGAGGACATACCTAAAGCAATAGTTGTTATCTATTCTGCCCGTCCAAGGCATAGTTCATTCATCAGCATTAGTTCATTATTGAAATGCAAACATATGACACTCATATTTTTCTTAATCTTACAGATTGCTTTTAAAAAAGGATACCCTTTTCCTACAGTTTCTTGCCTTCGATATTGGCTAAAAAAAAGTAAAAATTGCTCCTGGCATATTAAAAAATGTGTCCAGTTTAATGAAATTCTCTGACATGAGCTCATTAGATAAGGTTGCTAGATTAATTTAAATTGTTTACAAAAATTTTTCATATTTTAGGTTACTTATGTTGCTTTGCTATTTATACATATGATATTTTTTGCAAATATTTATTGGAAGCAACCTATTTTCTACAATTTTGACTTTCAACCTTTCAGCTTTCAAAAGAAAAATTGTTTGAACCTAAAAAACTTTATGTCGTTCGCATAACACTTTTATTGGTTGTTCACACTACAACCTGCTACAGCACACCTCATTTTGCACCAATATTTTTAAATCCAAAATAATAATAAAATAATTTTAGAGTGAAAAAAATTGTAAAAAGCTTAAAACCGTTACGATGTAAATGTAAACAGCTTAAACTAAATGTCGAGATCGTCACCTCTTGACGTCACTTGACGTTTAACAGGCCCGCCCACATCTGCGTGATATCATATCTTCGCTTGTATGTATCATGGTTAGACAGGAAGTGCCATCTTAAGAGGCCACATTAACCCTGGAAGATCACACCAATTTTTTTATCATATACCGCACATATGGGTATCAGATACCCAATGATTTTTTGTGAAGAAATTAAAAAAAAGTGAATATTTTCTGATTTCTAGAGACTGTCTATTCACTATTAAATACACAAGAATAATTAAATCAATAATTTTATTTTCTCTCTCCTATTTGTAGTAATATAAAAGAAAAAAATATTAAAAATATTTAAAAATAGTTAACAAACATTTTCTAAAAAGCCAGAAACATAATTCAAAATATTTTACCTTAATTTAATAACAAAAATGGTCTTTCTAACTAAAATCTAACAACTTTTGATTACAGAACTCATATTTATTCTTAGCCATGTATTTCAATTTCACTCATTTTGGTGTCTACATTCACAACAGCGTTTAGCTCTATGCTCCATGCAGTATGTTTTATGGCAAGCCTACCATGCAACCTTCGTTTTTCATCTTTTTCTTCGCAGAAATAACACCTAGTTTGCTTGACTTAACTTGTGGGATGTTGTGTGGGAAGGTCGACGAATGCCACACATTGTTTGCCTGAGTGATTTCTGTGAAAAAGATATTTAGAGTCACTCTCGCATTAGTGGTTCAATTAAAGCCATTCCCAAAGACTTCAGAAATTATTTATTATTAGATGCATTTTTCTTTCAATGGAAATTTGTGGGAGAAAATCACCATCGTCTGGATCCAAGTAACCTTGCAACATGTCTAACTGGTTCATGATTTGATTTCACTATCACTTTGTTCACTTTCATCAATATCGGTATTGTAGTTTTGTTCTTTGACATAATACTTCTCAGATTCGAAATCGATACCAAAGATATTTTGACCATCATTCTTGTTGTTTTCAGTTGCAAATAAATTTTCAACTTTCCATTTCAGCTTAAGTCAATTGACGACGTTTTGCCCAGTTTTTTTTTCCAACTGAATGAAGCCATTTCTCAAAAAAATCATTATAAAAAAATTAATAAATTTTCACAAACCTCACACATGGGTGCTACATACCCCAAAGAATATTCAATAAATTTTCATGATTAGAAATATTGCTTGAATGAGACAGCAACTACACATCCGTCCTTGGCAGACTACAGACTGAATTTACATTAAGCGGCATTACCATTGAAATGTGGTTGAGCATGCTACATTCAGTTAAGTATCTGGATGGGTATCTCACACCCAAGTGTGAGCTTCCAGGGTTAAACAAGGAAAGACAGTATTTCCTTGTTTAAGAAATCAAATTTAGTTGGGTTATGTTATTATTTGTCCCAACTGTCACATGAAATCTTATTTATAATGAAGTTTTTTAACAATTGTTTCACATTTTAGACCGTTATCGTTAATATTTAATTAAAACTTTCTCGTCTAAGACACATTCTGAAAACTATTTTATAGCTACTGAAGTGTCGGAAAATTTAAATTTGGCGCATTCGCATTTCCGAATATGTCGGCCATCAGAGGCCACTTTTTTGGTCTCCTTTTCATAACGATTAGATTCCCTCTTTTGTCTTTTTGCTCGATGGATGGTCGTTGTGGCGATCGATGAATGTCACTAAGTCACTGCATTCACGGCTGCCGTGGTCGTTCCAAGGCGTATAGTATCAAATGATTCCCATAAGAGTAAGGCAAGATTGGGTAATTACTAAATTCACAGAACGACAAAAGCACGAACAGAGACATAACGATAGAAATTCTGTCTAATATAATAATTCAATTCTAACAAAAATAACGAAATAACCACACTGCTATAATTGTGGAGTTTTCCAATATTTAGCAGTTTTAAAATCAGTTCTTAACAATGAATCACGCTCTCGATTTTCTTGAGTAGAGCAATTGATAATCATTCAAAAATTAAAATTGGCGTATTTTACGATTTTTTGGTTCATATGTTTCTGAAATAATGAATTTATTCTATATATTTACATCATATTATTACTATTGTACACTAGTGAGATACACAAAAGTTTTCCAAAACATGGCGATTACGTTATTCTTAATTATTTATTAACATTGTTGTATTAGATGCCTTAGAGTAGCAGATACCAGTACCATGAATAATATACCTATAGGAAACACTATAGCGACAGATGCAATTATTGGATTCAAGATGGGTGAGATTCTACAGGAGAAGTGGGACAAGGATTTTCAATCAGTCTACAAACCGCAGCCATATGATATGCCGTAAAAATAAAATCTACTTCAAACTAACTGTTTTTTTTTTTGTGTTTTATGTTTTAGCATAAGAACGTGTAGTGATTATCTTATTAATATTAATCTAACTCCATCCGTAGTATCGCAAGATTAATTAATTCTCCTACGTTAATTCTCCTACAAGAATTACTAAAACAACATCTACCATAATTGATTATATTGTCTCAGATTTCTCACCCCTTGATGTACGCTCTACAATTATTAATGCAGGACTATCTGATCATGAAGCAGTATGTACCAGGTTTAACACTCTTAACAAACAATCCTCGAAAACCCAACGCTTAGGTAGATTTTTTCCGCTCAGAACTTTCGTAAATTTTAAAATTTGTGCTTGACTTCTCGGTGGCTCTTTTCCTCTGTGGACCTGGACTATAATTTCAGTGATTTTTTAGATAGGCTTGTCTGTATTTTCAACAAGGCATTTCCTTTAATTACCATTTAGTCAAAACATCACAAACCCTGGACTACCAAAGGTATCCGCATATCAGCCGAGAATATGCGTTTACTACTGTACATCAAGAAATTTACTATAACTACGTTCCACGTTTAGAAAATAACATTGCGGAGATAGGGCCATGTATTTCTTATGGACGATAGCAACGCGGCGTTGCCACGACACACACAAGCACAATTTAGGGTTGTATAATATGTATTTTTGTTTCCACAAACATGAATTAAATTAATGTTTTTTAACGTAATTGACCAAAAGTGCCCATTCGAAACAAGAGATGAAAAGTAGGGAAAATGATTTTAATTAGATAAATAGTTTTTACAAAAGATAATTTTATTTTATCTTATTTTAATTATAGTAACGACAGTTTATTTGTTTTTCGGTGAGAATACGATATGCCATGAATCATAGAAATCACTAGAAAATATTGACCGCTTGGAATGCGTATATCTAATTACTAATTGCAACTTAAAATAATACGATGTGCGTATGTCAGCTATTTTATGTCGTTCTCTGACTACATAATGATAATAAGGCTTTTATTTAGTAGTTATTCTGACTTTACAGTTAAATATTAATTGAAAATGAAAATTCAAAAATTAAGCAAAGGGAATATCTTGGACATCCGAGCAAAAGAGAGTGTCTGAGAGTTTTGGCAACACTGATCTCCATAAGCGTAATGTTATTTTCTTAACTTGAAACAAAGAATACCAACGTCTTTGTCACGGAATATATCTCCAAGTACAGGGGAACCTATCTAATACTTATTAAAACAGCTAAAAAAATATACTATCAGAATCGTTTTGGGAAGACGCCTTCTACTTCTGCCTTCAACTTTCAAGATATTAGAAGTGGGAAACTATTTCCTAGAACCACTTAAGGGGGTAACTACAAAATGGTATTTCTAACTAAAAGGTAACACCTTTTGATTTTAGAACCCACATTCATTCTTAGCCAGGTATTTTATTTTTACTCATTTTGATGACCACTTTCACAACACAGTTTAGTTATATGCTCCATGCAGTTTGCTTTAAGGAAGCCGAGTATGCATGCTTCGTGTTGCTATATTTTCAGTTGAAGAAATAATACCCAGTTTGCTTTACTAAACCTGTGGGACAGTGTGTTGGAAGCTCTTAAACGTGAAGGATGCTGCAAGTCTTTTGCCTGGGTGATTTCTGTAAAGCAGGTATTTGAAGTCTCTTTCTAGTGGTCATTCCCAAAGATTTCATAAAAGATCTACTATGAGAATTCTTTGGAAATGGGGATTTGCCAGAGAAAATGAGACCATTTCATTTATACCACTTGCATCAAGGATGTTGAAAAAAAATCTTGGTATTAATGGTCTGGATTTTCGTGATGCAGTATAAGAATGGCATAGTTGGTCAAACGTATTTGACCTGCACGTCCTTTTGATTTATTATAGGCGTGCATAAGGTTTGGTTTTCTTTTAACAGCATTTCAAGAATTATCATGATGTAATGTTCACAGCAAAACAACAACTGTTTTGGGCTTTGGAGTGTATGAGAGGATAGTTTTATCTTCATCGAATGCGAATAATGATGTATCTACTTCTTTTTACGGAGAAAGGGAGCTATAATTTCTCGTTTATTTTTCTCAGTGTACCCAAGTTATTTAGTCTGAATTGCCTGATCATTTGATCAGTGTTATATTTCGGTTGGTTCCATGTATTGGTTCCGACAATTGTCGAACGTATAAAGCTGGCACTAACTAATTATCGTGTGTTTGGATTTTTTTAATATATGAAACAGCGTGAACTATGTAAAATCTTTTAGAGTCATCCATAATCATTATCTTTATTCCATATTTATCGGGCTTATTCAAATAAATTTTAAATTACCCCCTAAATAATGCGATCTGTTCATCGAGAGTACAAAATTCAAACGGGATATAGTACAGTTTATATAGTTGCTTATAAAGATTTTCCAAATAAATAAATCAATGGTAACAATTAATGGTAACGTCATATAACAAGTAGAAAGATATCAGTACTTGGGAACTTTGATCAATGGAATCAATAATCATACTGCAGAAATAAACAGGCGAATAGACATTACCAGATCAGCATTTATACGAATGAAGCCACTCCTAATGTGCAAAAATCTAAATTTGGAGATCGGACTAAGTACCTTTCGCTGTTATATATTTTCAGTATTATATGGAGCTGAGACTTAGACATTAATAAAATACAGTTTATAAAGAATAGAGGCTTTCGAATTCTGGTTATACCGCAGAGTATTAAAAATATCATGGACCGATAGAATTACAAACAAAAAAGTACTGGAGAGAGTTGGTAAAGAAACAGAACTAATCACCACTATACAAACCAGAAAACTGGAATACCTGGGCCACGTGATGAGAGGACCAAAATATGAAAATTTGAGACTCATAATACAGAGAAAGATTCAAGGAAAAAGATCTGTTGGCCGAAAGAAGAGCTCATAGTTAAAGAATCTACGTCATTGGCATCAATGCAGATCGATTGATTTGTTTTAGAGCAGCAAGTTCAAAAATAAAAATAGCCATTATGATTACCAACCTCTGTAGGGAGACGGTACTCTAAGAAGAAGAAAGATTTTCCATAATTCACGTATGGGTGCAAATTTATCCGCTGTTTTTCTTATTGCTCTTGTTTCTTTATCATGAAACCTACGGCGTACAGTTAAAACCTCTGCTGCGACATCGTACCTCGAAAAAATCCATTCCCAAATTGTACGGACCTACAATGAAAAAAATTAAATGAAAGCTTTTACTTTTGTTTTACTTGCTAATCTTGTGTAGCTTATCAATAGACGAAACAAGCTGTAGGTGAATATATTACATGATAAAGAACCATGTGATAAAGGTAACGTTACTTGGGAATACTTAACTACTCTCTTATGAAATCTGTTTAAAGATGAGGGCATAGCTATACTTACCAACGAAAGAAACCACGAAACCATCAGTCCTGGGCTAAACGGAGTTCCTGGTCATCTTAGTTCTTGTCAAATTTAATGATACAGTCAAAGATAAAATGCAACAGGCTCTAACTGTAGTAGCAGAGTAGACTTTAAATATAGAGCTTAACATAAGGCCTTAGGTCCAAACCAATAAAATTTATATTGATTAGTTCCTCTGACCTTGAATGGTACAAATTTTTATTGGAGTGAACTCTGAATGACAATATTTTTCAAAATAGAAGCGGTTTTGTTATTTCAATTCGTAGTAGCAAAAATATAATTGGTTGGTTTATCTTTAAAAAAATAACCATTTGGGACTAAAGATAACAATTTATTTAAATATTATTAACAAAAAAAGATTTAAAAGTTTTATAGTTCTTCATGGTTCTTTATCCAGTCTTCCTTAATCATCTCAGCAGCTTTTTGGCCGATCATCATCGAAGCTGCATGCGTATTAGCACTAACTATCTTCGGCATTATGCTAGCATCAGCAACCCTTAGCCTTTTTATTCCGTGCACCCTCAATCTGGGATCGACTACAGAGGTGCCGTCATCTTTCGGACCCATACTACAAGTACTAGTAGGATGATATACGTGTGCGCTAAGATACCGTATGGAACATCTCCAGTAGTCATCTGATCTAAATTCATACTTGTCGCAAGCAGGTAGATTCAGTTTTGCTATTTGTGGATGAAATTTTTTCACAGGCGATGTTTCTATTAATTTTTCCAAAAATCTGTCAAAATATTAGATGAATTATTTTTAGTACAAATAAAACAACGTTAAAACAAAATATGGGGACCTGGTCAGTAAAAGTCAGTTTGTGGCTGCAATTGTCAATTTTATCTTCTTTTGTTATAGTAAAAGTAAGTTGGGATTATTAGAACTGAGAAATTATATATATATATATATATATATAATATATATATATATATATATATATATATATATATATATACAGGTTGAGTCATCAGGAACTTTACATACTTCTACCATATGTAGAGTCCCTCAGGGAGCATATCATGTGGCCACTAAAAAATGTCAACTCCTCTTCTTTATTAATTAACAAGGTGATTTGTGTAATTGACCATTTATTTCATTTTACTGTAGTGTTTATACGGCTCATTTAATTTTTTTAATTTTTGCATGATACAGTACACTACTATCAAGCATTCGACTGGTATTAGCTAAACTAAAAAATTCCAGGACTGGCTTTGGAAAAATTAATTTAGGGATTCTTATTAAATATTACACCCTGTATATATATTTTTTTTAAATGCAATCAGTGATTTTTAAACTACATAAATAGCCAATGAAAACGACATATGCGACAATGTTGTCGCACTTTTATTTAATTTTTAGTGAACGATCAAATCTTACCAAAATCAGATATAAATAGAATCAATTGTTTTTCAATTTTAAATTTTTACTCATAGATCGTATTGGGGCATTATTTTCGATAAATAATAAATTAAATTGATTAAAAAGTCAAACCTCTTGTATGTGTTAGTTTTTGTTGATTGTAAATGATTAAAAATTTTATGTCAAATAATAATACATTGCATCAACTGTACTAAATAAAAATAAATCTAAAAAAGTTTAAAATGAAGGTTGGCGTTGACCGTTTGACGTTTCTTGATATTTTATACCCATTGTCATTATCAATTGTTATTTATGTGTACAAGAATACATATTTCTTCTGTCATATCTACGTTAAGTACATTGTGTTAGTTTTGTAGAGCTTTTGTTACTTTCGTTCAAAATGCCACATCAGTTTTCGTCCACAGAATATGCAGACATAATATTTGTTTATGGATTCTGTAATGGGAATGGTAGGGCTGCTAGTAGAGAATATCGCAGGAGATTTCCTAATCGTCGAACTCCCAGTCATCCAACATTTGGGTCAGTTTTTAATTATTTGCGAGAAAATGGCACTTTTCCTAGTGGAACAACAGAGCGACATGTAGATGAAGCGCAGGAAGATGACATTATGGACGCCGTTACTATGAACCCTACAATAAGCACTAGACAAGTAAGTCGAGAACTCAATGTTACTCAATCAAAAGTAAGTAGAGTCTTACAAAAAAATAATCTATACCCATATCACATTCAAATGGTTCAGCGACTACATTCTGGAGATGAGATCGATAGGTTGGAATTTTGTAGATGGATTAACAATAATCGACCAACGCTATACAGGACACTATTTACAGATGAAGCCCAATTTACCAGAGACGGGATAAATAATTCACGAAATTCACATGTGTGGGCAGAAGAAAATCCCCATGCTATTCGAGAACGTCGTTCTCAGTTAAGGTTTTCGGTTAACGTGTGGATTGGTGTCATAAATAACCAATTAGTATGTCCTCACTTTTTTGATGGTCCTTTAACAGGGTAGGTCTATTTGAACTTTCTACAAAATATTTTGCCGAATTTGCTTGCCAACGCGAACGTTGCTATCCGAGGGATGTATTTTCAGCATGATGGGTCACCCCCACACTTTTTACTGGCAGTGAGACAACATCTTAATAATGTTTATGGCAACAGGTGGATAGGACTTGCAGGTCCTATTTCGTAGCCTTCAAGATCCCCTGATTTCAATCCTGTTGATTACCATATTTGGGGACGATTGAACCAACTAGTTTACGCAGTAAATATTAATAACCGACAACAATTAATTGATAGAATTATACATTTTTGTAATACTATTAGAAACGATCCCCAGAGTATCCGTAATTCAATACGTCAATTAACAATTCGGCAACAAAAATGTGTACAGGCTGCAGGTTCCATTTCGAAAATCTGTTTTGAATTATTTTTATTTTGTTACCATTATTGTATCTTGTCCAGTTCTTATTTATGGTTTATCATAACTATGTACATATTTTTAGTTTTTTTTTAAATTGTTTTTCGTTATTGTTAGTAGTTACTGTTTTTTGTTGTGCAGTGACTCAGTATATCATTTCAATTAAAATGTTTGAAATTTATAACATTTGTTTAAATTAATTACCTTATAATTTGATACTTCATTATGGTTGTTCTATTTTTGGTAAGATTTGATCGTTCACTAAAAATTTAATAAAAGTGCGACAACATTGTCGCATATGTCGTTTTCATTGGCTATTTATGTAGTTTGAAAATCACTTATTACATTTAAAAAATATATATACAGGGTGTAATATTTAATACGAATCCCTAAATTAATTTTTCCAAAGCCAGTCCTGGAATTTTTTAGTTTAGCCAATACCAGTCGAATGCTTGATAGTAGTGTACTGTATCATGCAAAAATTAAAAACATTAAATGAGCCGTATAAACACTACAGTAAAATGAAATAAATGGTCAATTACACAAATCACTCTGTTAATTAATAAAGAAGAGGAGTTGACATTTTTTAGTGGCCACATGATATGCTCCCTGATGGACTCTACATATAGTAGAAGTATGTAAAGTTCCTCATGACTCACCCTGTATATATATATTTATTTATTTATTTAAAATATATTCAATGGTTGAATAGAAGAGGTTTAATCGGTCAATAATTGGCAAATGAAAGTCGTCAACTACTTCATTGATTTACTTGAATACGTTTCGCTTTTATTTTTAAAAGCATCATCACTTCACTACAATTAGGAAAGATCTTAGAATATAAGTAAACAACGAACAGGGTTCATGCTTACAAAAACAATTTGTAGATTTTTTAGATGTTATAAAAACTCTACGACAACAACATTAAAACTTAACAACTAAACGAGAAAAAAGAAACAAAAAACACAAGAAAAACTGTAAAAGAGCACTACTGTTCATTTAATTTTGACCGATGGCTTCATTTGAGTGTTGGTTTAAGCTCTTTCAGTTTTCAAGGGTCAAACCACAATAATATTTTCGACTGTTTTCTATCCGTTGTATGATGTCATAATTTCACATGTGGCTTGTTTTTGTACATGTGTTTATTTGGAATGCAGGGAGGTACGATTAGCGAGGGAATTGGTGACAGATAAGAGACCAACCTTTTTTAAAAAAAGGATTCATTTTTTCCCTTCCTTTTTTTTTTAAAAAAGAAAGAAGAATAGGAATGAAGTTATTGTCTTGTAAGGGGTTTTTTATTTGTTTTGTATGATGAGAGAGTGATATATCTGGCCCAAGTTGTCGATGTCGGTTCTTTTATTTAGGGACGCTGGATGTTTTAGAATTTGGCATTGGTTGAAATGGCATGTTGTGCAAGAGCACAAGATGGTTTAGAAATCCTAATGTCGCTTTTGTGGAACGTTAGTCGACCTTAGTTTGTTTTAGAGGGGCTAATGGAGATTTTGTCTTCTAAAATAACTTTTCTAAGGTTCTGGTGTTTTTTAATGCTATTTTAACAGGTAAGTTATTGAAAAGTTTGTTAAGCTTGTTAGTGATTTGTGAGAAGTACGGGAGCGAAGCATGTTTTGTGGATTGTTCAGGTGTGAGAGGGGACTTATTCATTTGTATTTTGTTAGAAAATTAATTTGTCTAATAATTGTTTCTCTTTCTTTTAGAAATATGATTTTGAAAAAATTTTTTATAGGAAAAATAATTGAATTTTGATAAATTAGAATAGTGACCAATAAAATTACAAAAAACCCTCAATGTCAGGAATGCCAACTTACAGTTAGTAATTTATTTTTGACAATTATATTGCCAAAATTAAAATATTGTTAAATACTCTTTTTTATTTAATAATAATAAAGAAGATTTATTTATTATTTAGAGATACCTAAAAAAATGTAATAAGTATATGGACAATTATATTAAAAATGTGATATTTTACTGGTTGTATAAATGAATTATATGAATTATACAGTGCAGGAAAAAGTTTATGGTCGGTATGGACCTTACGTGAGGTGGAGTGAGAAACAGCTGTTTAGAAAGAGAGAGGTATATTAGGTCCGCCCTTTATATCGCCAAACATGCATGCCTGGAAATAATAAAAAAGGAGAAGTTCAACGTTGCCAAACTTATTGGATTTATTTGACCTGTTGTTTTTTTTGCATTTGAACAATGTTCTAAGATAATCCAATTTGGGCGAAATTGATTTAAATGGCAGTTTACTGTTTTTTTATTGGGAATATGCCACAAGTTTACTTTACAATAAGTGTAATATAACATTTTTGATTTCCACTTCGGAAATCGTTTTATATAAATAAAATTTATTAATGTTTCGTATTTTAAGTATGATTTCCGAATTAAAAATCTAAACATCAAAATAAGCTTATTTTAAAGTCAGTGCCTTATTCTCAATATGAAATAATAAACTGCATACAATAACGCCACATTAAAAAATTTTCATACACAATAATTATTTGGCAACGTCGGTCTGGTTTGGCCGGCCGAGTAACGAGTAGTAGAGGTGGGTCGTGGTAGTTTTATCATTAAGAGCGTAGGCACAAAATTTCGAGCCAACATTTTTTAAATGGATTAATTTTTTGCGAATCCTGAGAAATATAATAAATATTTTTGAAAAATTTAAACGCAGAATGAAACAATACATTATTACCGAGGCCGAAAGTCCCTGAAAACTTCTATAATTTTAATAAATTATAGAGGTGAAAAAAAAATTAGTGTGATTTTTAATTTCAAATATCTCATTCAAAAACCTTTTTGTTTATTTTAAGGGACTTTCGGCCCTCGGTAATAATGTAATCTTTTATTCTGCGTTTAAATTGTTCAAAAATATTTGTTAGTTTTCTCAGGATTCCAAAAAAAAAATGAATGCATTTAAAAATTTAAGTTTTTGTAAACAAGTAACTATGATTGTTTAAAAGTAGTTTTAAGTAAGAGAGTACCTACATAAACAAACATAATGGCTATTATCGTTTATGTGTATATTTATTGAAGTGAAAGAAACTAATGATTTATTTATTATAACTTGAAAAATAAACTAAACAATAAAAATAGGAACTCGTACTTACATTTACATTACACGTTATTATTAAATCGCGAATAGTCTAAATTGACATTCAAAAACATAAGTTTTTCAACTTTACTTCTTATTAACCATATTCTTTTTTTATTTCAAATTAAACCAGATTTTGAACATGTGTTCACATTTACAATACTTAAGGTCGATTCAGACACATCAGTCCCGTTATAGTCTCGGCGCCGAACCGGTCCTGTTTGGTCACAGAACTATCAACTATTTGACAGATGGGAAACTGTTCGTCGCCTGATGAATGTGAATGCCGGCGCCATATTTCTATTAAAGAATATTTTGTATGACGGATTGTTCGGTTCGGCGCCAGGACTGTGACGAGACGTGACTGATGTGTCTGAATCGACCTTAATAGTGGTTAAGTTAGGATATACATGGCGATGGTTTTTCCACCGTTGTAATGGACTCTCGATTCAGGTGTACGTGTAGATGAGCCATATCCAATTAATTGATCAAAAATACACCATGGATTTAAGTCATCTTTATTGGTTTCTTTTTCTTGTACTGGTTAATTTTCAATAGTACAATCTTCTTGTTCGTTAATTATAGAAGTAACCAGCTTTTTAACTTTTTTTTAAATTTTTTTATCTTCATTTTTATCAGAAAACCCTGCACTTTAAATGGTGAATCCATAAATGTACATAATAACAATGTGCCACTCTGTTCTATCCCTTTAAATCTTTTTGCTAAACCCGATATTAGTAATTATACTACGTCGGATACTATGGATGTAAGGTTTGCTAAACCTTATTGCTAAATGTACCGTTTGCTAAAATGTTATTGCAAGATTCTTGCAGGCAGCGTACCATAACAATCACTGAACTACCGTTCAAGTATTTTTGGTCACTCATTGTACTTGTCATTTCTTTAAACGGCCGTAAAATTTGGGAAAGCTAAGAACAAATAATCCACTGTTATTTATTTAGATTTGGTCTAAGTATAAGTCTGTATTATTTAATACCGATGTGGAACGGATTGCCTCTTCTAACTCGGTCATATTTTTTAACATGTAGTAGGCGAAGTTCTACCTAGTTTCCACGTCTTGGATTGGCCGTTTGGGAACTGTTTTATGTTGTAATTAATACTTTAAAAGCCTTTCTGAAGATAAGGTTCTTTTTTTTAATGTGTTTTTTGCAGAATTGTCGAAAATAGGACTTTTTATTTTATCTATTATCAAATCAGTTTTGACATAACATTCCTGAAGTAATGAACCTGACAGTTTTTCGTGTTGGCAGTTTATATCCAGGAATCCACCCTGCAAATTTTTTAAAAGCTGGTTCTTCACCTATGGAAAACGGATGAAACGAGTCTGCATAAGTTTAGTAAATCTTGAAAATCAACCAGTACAAGAAAAAGAGACTGATAAAGTTGATGGTGTATTTTTGATGAATTAATTGGACGTGACTCATCTAAACATACACCTGTATCGAGAGATATAAAAGAAGTCGACATGTATTTGTCTGATGATATATTACCCACAAAAAATTTCGAACGGAGATTGGAACTGTCCAATACCGTGGTGGAAAAATCATCGTCATGTATATCCTAACTTAACCACTATATTCATAAAATATTGTAGTATTGTAACAAAATCTTTTCCTTGTGAACACATGTTTAAAATCTGGTTTAATTTTAAATAAAAGAAGAACACGGTTAACAAGAAAAGTGGAAAAACTTGTTTTTAAATGTCAATTTAGACGATTCGCGATTTAATAATGTGTAATGTAAATGTAAGTACTATTTGTATTGTTTAATTTATTTTTCAAGTTATAAGAAATATATCCTTCGTTAGGTTCTTTCACTTCAATACTTATACACATAAATGATAATACCCAATATGTTTGTGTACTCGCTAATTTGAATACTGGTAAACAACTAGTTAAAAATCAACTAGTTACAGTTTACGAAAAACGGTTCCGATAAAAATTTAAAAACGAAAGGATCCACCTCTAGTTTTTTAGGTATATTAGGATCGGAACCAGAGAATATGTAAAATATCTCTGATCGGAACTATTCGTCTCACGAATGAGCAATGAGTGATAAAAGTATTTATGGAGGGGAGACCAAGGGGAAATATGATTGTTATCTTTGTCTATTCGCTGAAAATATGATTTTATATCTGCGTTAGATATCCTGTTAAATTTTACCATACCGACCATAAACTTTTACCTACACTGTATATTTTGCTTAGATTTTGTGTTTCTGACCTTTTGTTTAAATTATTATTGATCCGGCTAATACAAACCATTTCTAAAAAAATCCTTTTGAATTTGTTACCTTCATAACACAAAATTTTAATATTTGATAACATTATTTATATTTCAACAAATAGAATGTTTTTTACTAGGTGGTACTTACCGTATTCCTTCCAACATTGTGTTAAGATCCTTATCATTTTTATCAGATAGGAATCCATTAAAAATAAGTGGGTGGTCTTGGGGATTTTTGTTTTTTCAAAATAACTTTTCCGATTGATTTTGGATTAAGCAATGTTGTAAAAATCGCCAATAAATTACTAGATTTTAAATATTCCAATTTGCTTTTAAGCACTTCGTCATTTACTCCCATCGCCTTAGAAAAAACTGTTTGCAACATTAAGTTATTATGTTGGCCCAAAAATGTGTGGTGATACTGAATGTTTGGAAATTCGGAATTATTTTTTGTGTTAACGAAGGTCCAATAGTTGATTGTACCAACTGTAGACATATATCCAGTCTGGTGCATGAAATACTCATATAATTGATCGAGAATTTTTTCGGTTTTGTGTTCTGGTCTAATTGAGTCTAAAGATAGAGCGATATCGAACCCTATGTGTATTAAATGGTCTTGAAGGTTCTCTCCAACTGGTAGTTCTTTTATTAAATTAATCCCTACTTCTTCCAGATTTTCTCTCGGTCCTATACCTGACAACATAAGTAGTTGAGGGGAGTTTATAGCACCACTTGACACAATAACCTCTTTGGTCGTTTGAATTGTCAGTGTTTTTCCATTTATTCTTGCTATTACTCCACTTGCTGTCTTTGTTACTGGATCTACTAAAATTTTTTCCACAAATGAGTGAGTCGCTACGTATAAGTTTTTTCTATCTTTATACTTTCCCAAAAAAACTTTAGCAGTATTTTGTCTTTGTCCATTCTGAATACACACATTACCAGTTACAGTTCCTATTGGATCTTCTGGGTTGTATTCTTCTTGAGATTTATATCCTAATAGTTCATTTGCTTCATTCCAAGCATTTATGATTGGTTCTCCTAAAAAGTTAATGTTATTTAAAAACTGAATTTACAACTAAAATATAAAATAAATCAAGAATTGACGATACTTTAGAAACTTTAGGGTAATAGCAAATACAAGGAGAAGGATAAGGCAATATGATGACATGATTGATTGATGATTGACAAAAATGCAGGTCAGCTTAACATTTTTTTAAAAACCCATTTAAGTATTCATTCATTAGGTGTGTTGGATTAAAGAACATTCTAGTTAAAGTACTTCGGAACCTGGTTCAACACAATTACTGTGCAGTTTTTTCTGGTAAGATAAAGATTGCCTTGATGATCACCAACATTATATACAAGAGGCATACGAAGAAGAAGAATCCTGGCGTTATCTTGCAAAGCCAATTCTAATAAAAGACTCAAGTGATTTTGAAGATATATACGTCTTACATACACAACCTCACATATATACACACCTAAAATACTCAAAAAATAAGGTTCCACACTTTCGAACAAATCTGGTTCAAAGATAGTACAGTCGAAATAACCTTACCCTCTAATTCTTCACATCGTTTCTAGGCGATAAAAAAAATGTGACTCGTTAGTTAAAACTTTACTCTGTTGTTGAGGAGTCAAATCTACACGCACACTACAGACGAGCCCTTCGATAATAGCCACTTTCTGTAAGTTTCTTTTTAACTGTTCTCTCACTTAGTTTAACTTTTCAAACTGTTAAGACATGGTATTTGGTTCTACTGGTCTCTTCAATCCACCAGCTTCTGCATTTATTACACGTATCCTCAAATTCTCTATATATGAGACCCATAACTTTGACTGCGACCATCTTTAGCCAAATCAATAATTTGAGAAACGTTCAAAACAGTTAATTACATTGGTAGTGCTTAAAAAAATTTTCATCGCTTGTCAGTTAAAATTACATAACAAATATGCAGAACAAAAGACTACATCAACATGACATTTTGCATACATAATAAAAATATAAAAAAATTACCTAAATTATACTTATTTTTACATTCGGGTATACTCTGCAGTAATCTTTGAAACTGTTCTTTCACGTTGGACCAATCCCAACCAGTATTTCCCATTTCAGCCCATTGATCATAATCTCTTGAATTGCCCTCGATGTACATCATAGCGTTAATAGTACTGCTACCACCTAAAACTTTCCCCCTTGGACATCTACAAACTCCGTCTTTAAACCCCAGGCATGCTGTGTCTGATGGTTCCATCTTATACTGCCAGTCTTCGTCTGTGTCTTGGAGACTCGCGAATGCAGCGGGAATCTAAAATTTAGGTTTAGGCTTAAGTGTTGTTCATTCTGTACCGAATTGAAAGGGGAAAGATACCCTACTATCTGCCCGAGGAGAAGAAACTCCGTTTAATACGGGAACTCTTTCCTCATGTCTCCACCTGAGGAATTTGATATTGATGATATGCGTGAAAAGGCTATTGGTTTCGTAGATGCGGACCCTTTTACTGAGTTGGAACTCGGCGAGGCTGTTGAACAAATGAAGATAGTGGAGAAGAAAGAACGATAGTGGAGTGGCAGAGAGAATGGGCAAATGATAGTGGAAAGGCAAGGTGGACGAAGGAGCTTTTTCTTGATCTAAGGCCGTGGTGGAATTGTAAGTACAGGAAACTAGACTACTTCCTGACGCAGTTTCTGACCGAACATGGTAGTTTTTGCACCTTCACAAATAGAATAGGAAATCTGCCTCTGCAGACTATACTATTTGTGGGCTTCTACTAACATTTTTGACTGCCAGAGATGGGCAGATGAGAGGGGAGATTTCGAGAGGCGAATGGGTTTCGGACTGGATGAAAGAAACATGGTAAACATAATGTTGAGAGGAGAGACAGAGTGGAGAGAAGTACACTGTCTGATTTCTGGGGTGATGAAGAAAACGAAGCAGAAGGTCAGAGGAAGAAATTGAACCAGGTATCTGAAATTTATGGTTATTATTATTTATTAATTTATCATTAGCGATTCCCTGAGTCCATAAAAAACCTAAAGCAATGGTACCACAAACCCATTCCTGCTTTGAATTAAGGCGGAACTCGTAACGTGCCAACAAAATCAACTATTCGATCAGTACCTCTGGGTACCTTCACATTGCGAGATAAGTGGACATGACAAAGCTGACAGCAAAAAATGCAAGCCCGTTAGCAGATATCATAGCTACCTGTGTTCATATTGATTTAAAGCAATATTTTAAGAACAAAATCATGACAAAATGGCAAATAAATTGGAATAATTTAAACTCTACATTAAGAACTATCAGAACACAGATGTAAGAACACAGTGTGATGCCGTTGAAATTTTCTATCTCTAAAGAGAAGAGACCAAGTGATCATATCCAGATTGCTACTTGGACATACAAAGATATCCCATCATTTTATATTAATGCCGGAACCTCCTCCTATGTTTTATGTGTGTGATGTAAACTAACAGTGCAACATATTACAGAACGACAACAACAATTACTCATTACCTTTAAAAAATGTTTAAGTGAAAATAATACATTTCAAATTCTAAATTTTTTACGTGCCATAGGATTGAGTAACCAAATTTAATATTAGAAGAGAATGTACATATATGGGCTATGCTACTAATATGGGCTATCGCAATTAATATGAAATTCACACCACCATCTATACGTCAATAGCTTAACTAGACACTCTTTAGTCTAAAATAATAACTAATAAAGCTTACAGTGACCTAGGTCCAGTGACCGTTGAAACAATCACATATTAGTGTTGACGCTGTTCAAGAAATTTTTCAGGTATGTTTTTTATTTTAATTTTTTTTCGGTGAAAACTAAGAATAAATTTAATATTGTATCACACATCGTAAGCGAAAGGCTTTTTTAAAAAACATTTGTAAGCGAAACATACAATTTTTCCGGTAATCAGGTTTACAACGTAGATGAAACAGGCCTAACCATTGTGCAAAATAAAATTGCGGCAATAATGGTGCGCAAAGGAAAGAGACAAATCGCATCTCCGACTTCGGCTGAGAGAGGATCATTGATCACTTTAATTGCATGTATGAGGGAATTTGATCCCACCCATGTTAATCTTTCCAACAAATAATATGAATGTACAACTCATGAAAAGTACTCCTCCTGGATCGATATTATCCGTTCATCCGTGGTTGGGTGCAGTCTAATTTATTTACACAGTGATTTATATCATATATAGCGAAGAAATCAGGCAATAGTTACGTCATAATATCCGCGTCCCCTCTCAGCAACATTAGCGAACCAGATCCTTCTGGTTTGTAGAAGTTTGTAAGTCCGCAAGTTATTGAATCTGCTATCCTACCAAAAACGCCAGAAGCAAGCGACATCAGTGAGTCCTTCTGGTTTGCAGAAATTTGTAAGTCTATTTGAAATATTGCCAGTGTCGTCGATCAGGAAAAAATCTACAAATCGTGGTAGAAAATCATCGAAATCAACGGTAATAACTTCTTCACATTACCAGGAAGCATTAGACCAGCAAAACAGCAAAAAGAAATTAAATGTACAAGCAGTAAAACGACACATTACGGCTGAGTCCAGAAGGGAGGTGACTAAGAAAACAATTAAGTCAGAGAGGCGGCATAAAAAGTTCTTTTGACAATGATAGTGAGCAGGAATTTCAACCAGCTGATGAAGATATGGATTTGGAAAAGATTCCTGGTGTAACGGATCCGGAAAAATACGGATGTAAATTGTATTTTCTGTGACGGCAAAAATGTTGTGAGGATTATCGGAGTGAAAATGGATTCAGTGTGTTATGTGCAACTTGTGGGCACATATAAATTATTCTGATGCAGAAATAGACGAATATGTGTGTGAATATTGTACATAAAAAATTATAAAATAGCCCATATTTATATCACCTTTCCGTTTCTTACTTAAATGACACCGTGAGTGTTTTTATGACATTACAGAAAAAATATCTTACTAGGCAGAAAAACGGACTAGCACGAAAGAGCAAAACAATTCTACATGCCAATTAAGTAATTTGAACTTTTTCGATCAAAAAATAGACAAGATGTCAGCAATAAACAAAATGCTATCCCATATTTGTACCTTCTCTAACTTTTTGTTACTCTTTCTATTCTATGTAGATACAGTTTAATGCTGATTGTGGTTGAAGTAAATAAAAAAAACGATAATGCCAAGGCATTTCTTGCTAAATACCAATTCCTACAATTGATTATGCAAAGAAAGACTCTGGGGAAGCATTGAGAACAAACGATGGGGACCTCACAGAGTGGTCCTTTGTAGTTTTATTCAACTGTTTCTCGAGGGTTATAATTACCATGATATACAAATAACTAGGATGTACAGATGACCAATGCAAATGATGATGATGTATGAGGGAATTTGATCCCACCCATGTTAATCTTTCCAACAAATAATATGAATGTACAACTCATGAAAAGTACTCCACCTGGATCGATATTATCCGTTCATCCGTGGTTGGGTGCAGTCTAATTTATTTACACAGTGATTTATATCATATATAGCGAAGAAAATCAGGCAATAGTTACGTCATAAATATCCGCGTCCCCTCTCAGCAACATTAGCGAACCAGATCCTTCTGGTTTGTAGAAGTTTGTAAGTCCGCAAGTTATTGAATCTGCTATCCTACCAAAAACGCCAGAAGCAAGCGACATCAGTGAGTCCTTCTGGTTTGCAGAAATTTGTAAGTCTATTTGAAATATTGCCAGTGTCGTCGATCAGGAAAAAATCTACAAATCGTGGTAGAAAATCATCGAAATCAACGGTAATAACTTCTTCACATTACCAGGAAGCATTAGACCAGCAAAACAGCAAAAAGAAATTAAATGTACAAGCAGTAAAACGACACATTACGGCTGAGTCCACAAGGGAGGTGACTAAGAAAACAATTAAGTCAGAGAGGCGGCATAAAAAGTTCTTTTTGACAATGATAGTGAGCAGGAATTTCAACCAGCTGATGAAGATATGGATTTGGAAAAGATTCCTGGTGTAACGGATCCGGAAAATACGGATGTAAATTGTATTTTCTGTGACGGCAAAAATGTTGTGAGGATTATCGGAGTGAAAATGGATTCAGTGTGTTATGTGCAACTTGTGGGCACATATAAATTATTCTGATGCAGAAATAGACGAATATGTGTGTGAATATTGTACATAAAAAATTATAAAATAGCCCATATTTATATCACCTTTCCGTTTCTTACTTAAATGACACCGTGAGTGTTTTTATGACATTACAGAAAAAAATATCTTACTAGGCAGAAAAACGGACTAGCACGAAAGAGCAAAACAATTCTACATGCCAATTAAGTAATTTGAACTTTTTCGATCAAAAAATAGACAAGATGTCAGCAATAAACAAAATGCTATCCCATATTTGTACCTTCTCTAACTTTTTGTTACTCTTTCTATTCTATGTAGATACAGTTTAATGCTGATTGTGGTTGAAGTAAATAAAAAAACGATAATGCCAAGGCATTTCTTGCTAAATACCAATTCCTACAATTGATTATGCAAAGAAAGACTCTGGGGAAGCATTGAGAACAAACGATGGGGACCTCACAGAGTGGTCCTTTGTAGTTTTATTCAACTGTTTCTCGAGGGTTATAATTACCATGATATACAAATAACTAGGATGTACAGATGACCAATGCAAATGACAGATGAAAAAGTAAACTTGCATATAAAATTCGTTAGTAATTCAAAATGGTCGATTTGATCAGGTCTAAACAATATCAGAGTTCCTTGAAATGTGATCCTTTGTGAACCACTAAAAACACGGATACCTCCGCATATACAGGGTGGTCCTTAAGTAATTGTACAAAAAGAAACCTTAGATTCTACACTTTAAAATATTACGATTTAAGTCAAGTTGCTTTAATAAAATGTTGATATTAAGAAAGATACAGGGTGTTAAAGTGGAAATTTAAAATTTTATTTTTCGCTATAACTTTCAAGTTTGTCAACATTTATGTATAAAAATTTACAACTGGGTACTATTAAATATCAGAAATTATAATTTGATATACATTTGATGTAGCTGATAGATGGCGCCACATATGCCACATATGTGGCATACATTTGCACTTAACTTTTTTGCTTTTCAAGTTACCGGTATTTTTAATGAAAAATATTAAAGATACATTATTTTAACAAAAAAAGGTATACTTGTTAATATCTTTAAAACTCAACAGTTTTCGAGATAATCGCATTTTAGAAATCAACTACATAATTCTGATTTATCGCAATTACTCCAAGCAACAAAAGAAAATTAAAGAAAAACATCAATACTTCTGAATTTTGGTATAAAATACCTTTAATAAAGTTAATAGTTAACGATTTATTAAATAAAATAAATATATCAGCAGGATAAAATAATAGGATTTGATAAATAACAGAATAATTGGATTTTACATCAAACATTTTACGTTTTGTATTAAATTAAAGTCGTAATTAAAACATTTTATTTACAAACCAAATTAAAAATAGTTAAACTAAATAATATTAAACTTTTTATCAAAGTAAGTGTTCAATATGTCTACTATTTTCTTTAATTCATTTGTCAATACATTCCATAAAATATCGTCTCATATTAAATAGCATCATTGATTCTAAAGAAACTGATGCAGTATTTATTATAAGTGTTATAAGTATAATAATAAGTAATTTTTTGAAATTTTTATGAGTTAAATAATTATATTAATATATCACCACAAGAATATGACTACGTTCCAACGTTCAGGTAAGTTGTATTTAAATACCGTCTCACTCTGTTTTCTCTGTAATGTTATGGTGTACCATCTTGTAGAAACCTCATATTTCGCCTTAAGTTTATAGTTATTTAAGTTAATTTCTGATATTTAATAGTACCCAGTTGTAAATTTTTATACATAAATGTTGACAAACATGAAAGTTATAGCGAAAAATAAAATTTTAAATTTCCACTTTAACACCCTGTATGTTTTTTATTATCAATATTGTATTAAAGCAAGTTGGCCTAAATCGTAATATTTTAAAGTCTAGAATCTGCGGTTATTTTTTGTACAATTACTTAAGGACCACCCTGTATAAATAAGTATAATGAATATCAATGGACCAAAATATAAGTTGTTTCATATCTATGTGGCATCTATAATGCAATTTCGCATATTTATTATATAAATTTCTATAAAAAATACATACGTCACTTGATGCAGAGGGATATCCTCCAGCTTCCAGCACTAGAACTCTCCATTCGGGATTTTCGGTTAATTTATTTGCCAAAACTGATCCAGCAGATCCAGAACCGACAATGACGAAGTCAAATTCGTCACCATCTTTAATAAATGGACTATAGTTGTCATTGTACACTTGTTTTAAACCGAGTTGGCATTTGGATTCAAGCAAAGTATTAATTAAAGTAAGGAAAAGGTATCCAGACACGCTCTGAAGATTTCCTGGACAGGAATCATGTAATGTGTTTGTTAAATCCATGATAACTAACTAAATTTCTTATATAAGTTTATGATATTTTTCAGTATGTTATGTAAATCTTATCTCACTATTTTTATCATTGAACTATAATAAATATTAGAATTTCTTATTACTAGTCTATTTTTTGTGCACTTGATATGATAAATATTAGATATTTATGTATTGCACGTTAACTTATCAATGATTATATAATCTCTTTATGACAAGAACATGTAAATTATTATTCTGTTTTCACTGGTAATGATTACTAGTAGAATAATTGTTCACAATTCTTTGTATAAAAGACTACATTTGAGCATTATTTTTGTTTTATTTGAATTGCAATGTTTTAATTACCGCATAGTTGTTCTTCGCCCGCCATCTCCTCGGCGAAGATTGACAATCATCTTAGTTATTCTGAATATTTATGTAGATAATGAACATATGCAACAAACACTACACAAACATATAATACTCAAACACACCTTACACAATCACAGAATACACAAACAATAATACAAAAACGCATAAAATCGTCAAAATTTGATATGTCGAGGACATAGACACAAACTCTCAGATTGTTTTCAACTAAAAGCATGGCTGTTCCCAAAAAGATGATACCAAGTAAGTCAACAGTGAATTTTATAATAATATTTCTATTTTTTATTTATTCTTTTTATAACTTCGATACACTCTATTTTAGATTAAATGCTCTCAACATTATATCTTCAGGATTCTCTTATATACTCTCAATTGGCATGCTTCAATTTTCTTTAATAGTTGCCGCGTTCATCGTTGCATGGTTCATAACAACTCCATCATGCAAGATAATGTCAGCAAAATAAAACCTTGCCAGCCTTTTTTTTAAGATGGAAATTTATAAAAACAGTACCAGGTTAACCCATTCCTAGGTATAGCTGGCGTATGTTTTATTCAGGATAGAGGAATGCATCTTAGTCAATTTCCTCTAAGAAGGAGATTCTGTAAAGGGATGCCTTCGTGTTATTCTGTCTACCAAGTAAAACCGCCCTCTCCTTATGGCTCTCGAACGTACCGTACTCCGAAAGTGGGACGACACTTTCGAAACATTTCTTTCTCTTATCTAGATCTTATCTTTGTAGTTGGTCCGGCTGGTATTTCTCTTCTTCTATATTCTTAATGACTCTCCGGATGTAATTGTGTACACTGTTCCATACCTCCTTACTTTTTGTCGCCTTCACGATCGTCTTTCTCACAGTCTCGGGGTTTAAATCTGTTTCTCTATACATTCTGTTTCTCTCCACTGTCTATCTATTACACTGCAGCATTGGATTAGTAACAGTGTCGGAGAATTCGCAGTATAGTAGTCATGTGTAACACTGTGTGATATGGCACTTTTGTGCTGATACTTTACGGTGCGTCATGTGTATTGACACTGCGAAAATAAAGTGTCATAACACAGTAACAGTGTCGTAACACCCCGAGTGTTTCCGGTCCGAGCAATGCAATTCATCGCAATAGTGCGATTTGATACAAGATACATCGAAAAGAGACAGAAGACGAAATATGTACCTTAAAATATTCGAATCTCACCGAAACGACAGTGTCTCTCAACGCTTTCAACTGCGTTGACTATTTTGTATTTTACCTTGTTGCCACGTTTTATATATTTTTACAGTGTGTACAGATAATTTTAAATCTTAAAAAATAATATTGTTCTGAAGCTATTTTCTTGTGGCATTGTAAAATTAATTATTATTTATAACTGGGAATAAGCCACAATTCAAGATAAAAATACGTTTATTGACGTTTCAATTTCCAATTCGGAAATCGTTCTCAAAATACAAATAGTAAATTAAACAAATTTTTGTTTTTTTGTTACATAGTGAAAAAATTCTTCTAATAATTTAATTTTATCTGACTCATTTATATTGACAATTCAGACATACATTATGCATTTTAAAGTAGACGACTTTAAAATGATATTGCCAATATTGTTGAGTTGCGCTCCTGGGACGACTTTACTTATAAGATAGTTCATTCGATTACATGAAATCAACTTTAACTTGAGAATATCCGTCAGAAAAAAATCATAGCATGTAATTCGTCTTTAAAAAGACAAATACATGACATGATGACAGTAAAATTTCTCCTGTTAGTGATTCCATAGTAAATTATGAGGGAAAAACCAGGAAAAAAACCTCATAATACTATCCCGACATTGTAAGTATTTGTTCGTGAATTTAGTTTACCTTCAACAAACATCAAAATTCTGATTTTATATGTTACGTAATTTAAAAAACATAAATAATGTATCCTCTATATGTTACTGACTTACTAATACTGGTATTTTCTTATTAATAACTTCCTCTTTCAATATTGGTAACCAGATCCTACTACATTCTGCCGAGGAATTTGCGACACAATTGGCCTCATTTAGCATAATTAGAGCCGCTTCTTTGATTTTTCTTTTTTTACCATCCGTTTCTTTTAGGACTATATTTGAATTATTCCATTGAACTCTATGTTCATTATCCCATGCGTGTTTACATATTTGAGATCTATCAAATTCTCTATTTTTAATATAAGATTGATGTTCACTTATTCTAACATTTAATGGCCTTGATGATTCACCTAAATAAAACTGATCGCATTCACAAGGTATTTTATAAATGCAATTCTTTGTCCTTTCTTGTTCATTGTTAGGTTTGGTTTTGGACAAAATAGATCTCAACGTGTTTGTTGTTTTGAATGTTGTTGAAATGTTGAATTTATTTCCTATCCTTTTAAGTTTTTCTGATAATCCTTTTATGTACGGTATTGTTATTTTCCTCATATTATTACTTGTGAATGCGATCAGTTTTATTTAGGTGAATCATCAAGGCCATTAAATGTTAGAATAAGTGAACATCAATCTTATATTAAAAATAGAGAATTTGATAGATCTCAAATATGTAAACACGCATGGGATAATGAACATAGAGTTCAATGGAATAATTCAAATATTAGTACTAAAAGAAACGGATGGTAAAAAAAGAAAAATCAAAGAAGCGGCTCTAATTATGCTAAATGAGGCCAATTGTGTCGCAAATTCCTCGGCAGAATGTAGTAGGATCTGGTTACCAATATTGAAAGAGGAAGTTATTAATAAGAAAATACCAGTATTAGTAAGTCAGTAACATATAGAGGATACATTATTTATGTTTTTTAAATTACGTAACATATAAAATCAGAATTTTGATGTTTGTTGAAGGTAAACTAAATTCACGAACAAATACTTACAATGTCGGGATAGTATTATGAGGTTTTTTTCCTGGTTTTTCCCTCATAATTTACTATGGAATCACTAACAGGAGAATTTTACTGTCATCATGTCATGTATTTGTCTTTTTAAAGACGAATTACATGCTATGATTTTTTTCTGACGGATATTCTCAAGTTAAAGTTGATTTCATGTAATCGAATGAACTATCTTATAAGTAAAGTCGTCCCAGGAGCGCAACTCAACAATATTGGCAATATCATTTTAAAGTCGTCTACTTTAAAATGCATAATGTATGTCTGAATTGTCAATATAAATGAGTCAGATAAAATTAAATTATTAGAAGAATTTTTTCACTATGTAACAAAAAAACAAAAATTTGTTTAATTTACTATTTGTATTTTGAGAACGATTTCCGAATTGGAAATTGAAACGTCAATAAACGTATTTTTATCTTGAATTGTGGCTTATTCCCAGTTATAAATAATAATTAACTTAAAAAATAAATTTGAATATATGTGTGTGTATGCAGATAAAATAACTAATAAAGAAAAAAACTGTATTATAAAAAAAAACAAATAAATAAATTTTCAAATCTAGGTCCAAACAACAAAACAAAAAACAAAAAAATTGAAATTAAAATTGTTATTGTTTAAATTATGTTTAAATATTGTTTAAATTTATTATAGTTTAAATAATTATAGTTAACTTAAAAATCAGTGATATGCAACGCTAAAGAAAGAATAAAGATAGCTACATAAAAAAATCTAAATCTAGTTTAACAACAAAACAAAAATTTTAAAGTAAAAAAATATACACCTACCTATTCGTTATTGTTTAAGTTATAACTTAAAAAAAACACTTGAGAGATTTTATCAGTCTTTAATCTCTCTCGCTTTTCGTTGATTATCTGACCGGCTTTAGAAAATATCCTTTTACACGGGACAGATGTAGCCATAATACAAAGCCTAGTTTTCATAATTTAGTATAATTTTCGGTAAATGTGCTTCCTTTGGTGCCACCACAATAGAGGAGCTATCTTTTCTCGGTAAAATGGGCTCTTCTACATATTTGTATACCTCAACAATGGCTGACGCTGTTGGGTTGCTTGGTTGTTGGTGCTGTTGAACTTCCTTGTCAAAATCTTTCCATAAATTTTGAAGTAGATTTTCCTTATACGGTATATTTTGAATTGGTTGTTCAATATTTTCCTCTTCGTTTTCTTTTTGTGTGGGTAATTTTGTGTTGGCTACCTTGCTGTACAAATTCTCTACTGCTTTGAGATATTGTCTTTCGTCTATAAAAGCAAATTTTTTAGATCTGGGTTCTAAGATTGTTGCTTGAGCTATTAAAATATGTTTCTCTATATCTGAAAATCTTTGTTTTAGTTCAAATTGCAGCTTTTTTTACCGTATTTTGAACCTGAGGCATCATTGTATTTATGTCAAATGAATTCATGTGTTTCATTTGATAATATTGTTGACGGCACTTACTTTTTGCTCGGAACTTATGGCAGTTGTAACTAAATTAAAAATTTGAAGAACTTTAATGGACTGTTTAGCAATAGTCCAGTCTTCGTTTTGTAGATTCGCAACAGATTCTGTGGCTGAAATATTTAAAACTGCCAATGTTCATATGATTGCATTTTTCATCTGTAAAATTCTCTTAATCATATCAAATATGGAATTCCATCGCGTAACTACATATTATTTTAATTTTAGTGATGGTATATCCATTCGCTCTGCTGTCGCTTTCAATTGAGCTAATGCATGGCTACTTCGTCGGAAATAGCTTACAATATTTTTTATCGAATTCTTCTTTCTCTCTCTTTCTTTGCCACCTTATGTGATTCTTTGATTATCAGTTTTCTCGAGGCTTATCTATATACAATCGCTCTTATCACTTTGATTTATATCCCACGAAAATATCGCATATTTTTCTCCGTAATTTTTTTCACACTTCTAGCTTTTTCTGCGAATCTCCGACTGCTGTCAAAAAACTGACAGCGTCGTAATATATCTAACTAGTTCATTAATCAAACTACAACAAACACATTTTGAGTTTTACGTCTCATCATCGTTATGTGTCCTTTGTTCTCAAAAAGGTTTTATTTGTGAAAAGATCAACTCTCGGTCAGTCTCGCACAGCTATTAAGTAAATGCAAAACAGCTGTTACAGCTTACGGAAGGTTTCAAACGTTCACCTAGTGTCAATGGCTTACTGTGTTATATGATACAATAGTGTTGACACACTGAGTTGATACAATAAGCTGCGTCAGTGTTGCTGTATCAACACCCAAAAATTTAGTGTGTTACAGATCGTTACAGTATAGGCATTTGTCTGTATCTGTCTTTCTGAACCTATGAAGATACGGCCTAAAACACACATATTCTGTGAGCACTTACTTCAGGAAGTAATCCAGTCGCCTGTGAGCGCAGTTCATCCCAGTCCTTTAGGCTCGGGATCATTATCTTAATCCACTGGGCAACATCTTCCATGTTGGTCCACACTTCTTGCCATATTTTCATTGATCTTTCCCTTTCTCTTTTTTTATGGTTGTTGTTAAATGCTCTCTTCTCTCATAAAGATGTCCGCTTTCTACTGTTAACACATGCAGAGGAACGCAACTCGTGATAGTCCACAAGGCCACCGCAGATACAGCCCTGTATGTGCATGCTACTCGCACCAGACTCGTTCTGTCCACTCTTATCATGAGCCCCTTCCAAACTGGTATCGCCTAAAGGATAATTACTGAACAACACCGTGCAGGGTCCTTCTCCTTTCTGATCATCACTCTCCCAAGCGCAGCCGCACTCTTCCCTGCCTTTCGGGTTGCCACCCGTATATGCTTCCCCTAACCGCCATATTGGTGTAGCGTCACTCCTAGATATTTATCGCATTTCGTTGATGTTAGCTGTGCCCCTGCACAGCTTTGTGCGGGAACACAGCTTTGCACGAGGTCCAGTTCGTGATCTGACATCCAATCAGCTTTTGTATGGCTTGGAGCGTGGACACTAAAATAAGTGCATCTAAATAAGTTGGCCTCCTTTGAGTTTTGGTGTTCCACTCATACCGATTACCTTTTCCGTAAGCGCACTTCATGATCCCGTCATATGCTATGTTTCATAGCGTCGTGCCCAAAACCGATTCCTGTAGGATTTCAGCCGTTACGTCAACAAGCGTGCCTTTCTCAACCATTTCATGTCCAGTCATGTGACCAAAGAAGTATTATGCATTATTGATTTATAATATTAACAATGTTAAATATAAAACATGTGGTTTGATCAACTTTATTAGGTTTCATGTGCCAAAGGTAAATCTAAGTGTGAACAGTAGTGACCTATTTTCTTGTTTCCCATATAATGCATGTTCTACTTCTTATTGGCGACGTGCAAGTACTTGGATGTGATACGAGAAACGATCGTGCGCGGAGTAGCGGAGAAATCTTGCATTTTTTACTGCAAATTTCATAGATTTCATAAATTCATATTGTCAATTGTCATATTTCATATTCGTTTGTTTCTTTACACCTTCTGTCACTGAAGAAAATGGGATTTAGGAAATGCTGTGTTATAAATTGTAAAAATACAACAAAAAATTGTCAATTTAAGTTTTATTCGTTTCCAACTTCGAAGCACAAATTACTACAAAGAGAAAAGTGGATTTATATCATAAAAAAGCATAAGTAACATAACCCAAATTATGCATTATCCTTGCGCCCGATTTTAAAGTCAGTTTGAAATAAATAATAAATAACAGTTCACTTTTAAGTGTAAATTTTAGTTTCATAACACTCACTTAGAGTTCATTTTAACCCAAAAATCAAGTTTAATGTTTAAATTTTATTTTTTTTGAAGTTTACAAAAATGCATAAAGTTTTTCTGAGGATGCATTAAGATATATTCGCTGTCCAAAGTTTACAGGAATTGTTCAAACCAATATGATGATATCATTGGCTTAACCTGCTAATTTACTCATTAGCATTATTTATGGTAATTTATTTTTCTTAATTCTTCCACATAATTCTTCCATTCTTTTTTTACATTTGCCACTACTAAAGCTTTTCCATTTGACTCAGTGCTTGGTTGAAAAGTTATTTGGTGATTTACTTTCTCAAATCCAGTTTTTATTATTGCATCCATATTAACAGTAATGCTGTAATTTAATAATATATTTATTTGTATTTACACTACATACAACGTTTACCCACGTTTACCTTTTAATAACATACCGACATAATCTCAATCTTACTTTTTCTTCTTATTCTTTTTTGGGGCTACGTCCTTGACAGTTATCCGATAACCTCGATCTAACATGAAAGCGCAGTAAATTTTGCTGATTTACGACACCAGGTGTCTCTGTTCCGAACTTGCACGGTCCCAATATGCAATATCAGTGTAATACGTCAATAAAAGATCTGTGATATAGGCCTCTTTAACTCTAGTGTAAGGGATATTAAGAAATGTTATGTATAGATAATAATAGCTAATTTTATACTTAGTATTACTTTGGCAAGTCTAGATCCTTGCCCTTCTTTCCATATTTTCAATGTTTGCGTATGGGAGTCTCATTTGATCACCAGGTCCTAAGAGTCTTAGGCCTGCCGCCATTCTAGCTAATTGGTCAGCAATGCGGTTACCTTTATTGCTATTGTGTCCTTTAATCCACCTCACGATGATGTTATTACCATCCGAAGCTTGATTTAATGACTCGTGACACTCCATTACTAACCCTGATGTGACACGTGGTCTATTGAAGCTTAGTAGCGCTTGTCTGCTATCTGTGCAGATTATTATAGTTTTCTGGGCTATACCTTTTTGAGCTATCTATTTTGCGGTTATGAAGATACTAGCCAGCACTGGCTGAACTACGCTAGCATTTTTGCCCATACCTTACTTTATTCTTAGGTTCAGTGACGTGGAGTATATCCGGCATCCTGAGCCTTCTTCCATTTTGGAGCAATCAATGTACATGCAATGCGCATTTGCCACGTTTGACTCCCTATACTGTCTTGTTTACCGGTTGTGGTACCGCTGAAGTGAACTGTCTAAGAGCGCCTTTACACACTCTGTGAGATTCCAGATTTAAAATGCCCTACCCTACCATTTAAAGGTACATTCCACCAGTTCGTTAAAGTTACTCCTGAAGCAGTTCTCTGAATATTAAACATCGAATCGTGATTATTTCTGCCATGATTGTAATTTTCTGAATTTTATATATGATATCTAGTTATCTATATGGCACAAGATAAACAAAAATAATTTGTTAATTTATATAATATAAAACAGAAAATAACAGACCGCTTCTATGTAAAAGTTTTTGTATCTAATGGGCAATAGTTTTTGGAATATTCTAATACAAATTTCATAAATTATAAGCCACTTATCGTTTTCTTTAATGAAACATGGATATTGTGATGGAATTTATTTAATTGCATTGGAAGATAATAATGCAAGTTATCGCAGAAAATGTCACCCAAATAGTCATCCCAACATGGTGACTAACTATATACCTGTTAGTAGTGAAAGTGAAAGTTTCAGTATAAACAAATTAAAATGATTAAGTAATTAAAATGTTTCACAATTCTTTAATGTAATATACAATGTTAATATTATAATAATTGTTTATAATGCTATGGAAGAATCTATGATTGATTGGATATTATATTATTATTTCTGATAGTGTCCAAACAATGTTAGGAAATATAATTATGGGGAGTATATTTGAGGCAATTAAAGATTAATGAAAAATTTTAAATTCGTAAACTAATTTTAGAAACCAAATTCAGATTTCTGCTTTAATCTGTGCCTGTGCCTTTTAAGAATTGCAAGGCAAAACAGACATTGATAAAGATGTTATTAGAGACATGGGGAATCTAAAATTGCATTCCACAACATATCTCCTCAACTAAACAAAAATCCTTGGCGAATTGGTTTCTGGTACTCATAAAGAATATATCGGAATAAAAGGAAAGACAGTTAAGATTTTTAAGAAGAAATTTTTAACTTTGTTGGATTTTGACAAAAATTTTGTCATGCTTGTTTTTTTAGTATAGATTTATTGGAATATGGTTTTGAAAGGAGTACCTCAACTATACGGGAAAGGCTTCTGGAAGTTGGCTGGAAGGTAAGAAAAGCAAAGAAAAAAAATTTCTAATACAGAAAATGATAAAACGCTTAGCATGGCCCAAAAATTTCCTATCGCAGATTGTTGACAACTGGAAAAAGGTGATTTTCAGTGATGAATCACATTGATTTGTTTTGCTAAATGAAATGGAGGTGACTCTCTGCGACTAGATCATATTCAACCGACTGTAAAATACCCTTCCAAACAGATATTTTTCGGTTTTTTCACAACAAATGGCACTGGTGGAAGCTTGGTTCCTATTAAAGGCATGATGAATTCTGCCAAACATATGAAAATATTACGCAGGATTCTTTCAGGCCGGGAAACATTTAACGAAACATTTCAACATTGCTAGCCACGATCACAATTTGAAATTGGTCCAGACTTTAATATAGGAAAATTAAGTAAAAGTGCTTTATTAGCCTGCTATATTATTTATAACCAGCAATAAACCCCATTGAGAACTTATGGTATATTCTCAAGAAAAGCTTAGCTAAGATAAATGGCACTACAATGTTCAAGAAAAATCCCAAGACGTGTTGGAGAGGTCATTTCTACTAGAGGACACATTTCGTACTAATAAGTAGATTATTCAGTCTACTTATGGTATGTAATGATTTAAAGCTAAGGTTTTAGAAAAAAATTGTTTTTTTATTTGTCCCAATTCATTCGCAGTTAGTTACGTACAGTGCTTTCAGATTTTGCGGTTATCAGTTTTTTTCAAAGTCGATACTAAGAGGAATTTAAAAATTACGTGTAAACATGTGATCCACTAAATCTTCAATAAATCGTTGTAGAATAGAATTCTATATCATATGTTTATTAAAAATATATAAAAGGAAAATTAATTTTTTTTATGCTTTTATAATTCTTCATGTTTCTTCGTCCAGTCTTCCTTAATCATCTCGGCAGCCTTGTGGCCTATCATCATGGAAGGTGCGTGAGTTTGGGCGCTTGTTATCTTTGGCATTATGCTAGCATCCGCAACCCTTAGCTTTTTTATTCCGTGTACCCTCAATCTGGGATCGACTACAGAGGTGCCGTCATCTTTGGGACCCATTCTGCAAGTACTTGTTAGATGGTAAAGATGTGCAGTAAGTTGTCGTAGAGAACATTTCCAATAATCATCAGATCTAAATTCATACGCATCGCACGCAGGGAGGTTCAGTTTTGCTATTTCTGGATTAAATTTTAGTAGAGGTGGTGTTTCGATTATTTTTTCTATATACCTGCAAAATATTAAATAAATAGTATTAATAAAGCGTGGCCACAAAATTACAAAATGTGGATCGAGAAATATAACAGCGGAAGAATTATACCAACAACTTAAAAAGTACATGCATGAGGCTGCAAGTGAAGCTTTGGGGTATAAAGACAAACATGAAACAAAAAATCAAGAATGGTGGTCGGAGAATATGCAAACGTTAGTAAACAAGAAGAAAACGGCTTATCAGAAATGGATGTCAACGAGAAAGGAGGAAGATCACAAGGTATATACGAAATTAAATCGAGATGTAAAAAGAGAAGTAGTGAAAAGTAAAAATGAGATGTGGGATCGAAGATGTGCAGAGGTGGATAGGTATATGGGTGGAACAAGAGTTGGGCAAGCGTGGAAGGTGATAAAGTCTCTCCGGAGGGAAGGAAAGGAAAAATCTAACTTAAAAATTAATAGATCTGAAACAGTGGAAACAGCATATGAGGTCTTATTGACAGAGGATAGACGTAAATTCCAAGGTATCGAAATGGAAGAAATATCTGAACATACACAAATAATTGAGATAACAACCGGAGAGTTAAGCGATGCCCTCAAAAGATCGAAAAACGGTTAAAGCAGCAGGACCTGGAGACATCCCAATTGAGTTGGTAAAGTATGGACCAAAAATATTACACGAGACGATGGTTAAACTATTTAATAAATGCTTAAAAGGACAAAATATCCCTGATGATTGGAATGTTGGATACATCAGCTCAATATACAAAAAAGGGGATAAACGCAATTGCTCTAATTATAGAGGAATAACTGTTACTAGCTCAGTTGGGAGGTTGTACGGTCGAATAATAAAAAAACGAATTGAATCAGAATATGAAGACATAGAGGAACAAAATGGATTTCGGGCAGGAAGATCGTGCATTGATAATATATTCGTTCTGCAGCAGGTAATCGAAAAACGGAAGGCAAGGAATCTATCTACCCACCTATTGTTTGTAGATTTAGAGAAGGCATATGATACGGTACCTTTGAAAAAAACTATTTTATACATTGACGAAAGTAGGTCTCAGTAGAGAGTATGTGGATGCTATCGGAAATATATACAAAAATGCAAGAAGTGTCGTTAAAGAAGGAAACTTTATATCTGAATCATTTCCAATAACCAAGGGGCTTAAACAAGGATGTTGTCTGTCTCCGACCCTGTTTAAAATATATATTCAATCATCGCTAGAGCAGTGGAGAAAACAAGTATCCGGAATGGGAATAGACATAGGCGGTGGTGAATGTCTAACAGCTTTATTTTTCGCAGATGATCAGGTAGTCGTAGCGAATGACGAGGAAGACATGGACTACATGTTTAGAAAACTAAAGAAAGAATATGAAAAATGGGGCCTCAATATGAATATGGCAAAGACAGAGTATCTTAAAATAGGAGATGGTGAAGAAGATCCAGAGTTAGAAATTAGAAACACAAAAACATGCAATGAATATAAATATCTCGGATCTATAATATTTAAAGAAGGCACTACCAAAAGAGACATCGAAAACAGAACACAGCAGGGAAAAAAAGTGGTAAACATTCTAAACTCTCTAGTTTGGTCTAAAGATATTAGACAAGAAACGAAATTGACAATCTATCGAACCTTGGTAGAGCCTATTATGACTTATGGGGCAGAGGTTTGGCAGATAACGCAGAAGGATAGAAAAAGAATAGAAGTAGTAGAAATGGATTTTCTAAGGAGAGCGTGTGGTATATCCAAAAAAGATCACATCAGGAATGAAGATATTAGAAGGAGGACAAATACTGTATATTCCAGTGTAGATAGAATTGAAACGAGACAACTAATGTGGTATGGTCACGTGAAACGAATGAATGAAGATAGATGGCCAAAGAAAGCTTTAAATTACATACCACAACAAAGACGAAGAAGGGGAAGGCCTTCAGTTGCCTGGGAAGAAAATGTACGGCACATAATGAGAGATAGAGCCATCAGAGAAGACGAATGGATGGACAGAAAACGATGGTGGTCGAAATGCGAGAAACGGCAGAGGCTGTAGGAACCTCGCTTATATATATATATATATATATATATATATATATATATATATATATATATATATATATATATATATATATATTAATAAAGCGTTTAATACTTTTAGCATAAATGTGAAGTACGACTTTAAAAACTTAAAAAAATGAAAAGGTTTTCAAAATTATATCACTAAATAGTAAAACTGGAACATAAATTATATAAGTGGATCTCTTTTTCCGCGAAAGAAAGGATGTCAGATGTCGCTATATACGCTGAATTTTAGAAAATAGCTTTAACTTTAAGAGAGGGCTATTTCCTAGATTAGATATTCCTAGATTCCTAGGTTAGATATATGATAATGTTCATGTGATAGGCAGGTAAACGAGAAACATCTCATTCTGGTATTTACTTTGCTCAACCTGTTTTATTATATTACATCAAAATTGTCATACATATAATCGTCAACCTTCTTCGTCGCCAAATTTGCCAATTACTTCAGCTCTGGGTTTGTAAACTAAAGAAACAATAATTAATAAAAGTGTGCAAATACTAGCGTTTGCAGATGATGTTGACATAATTTCAAGGCCAAGAAGAGAAATGATAGTAGCATTCAATCAAATAGAGCTGCAAAAAATAGTGGCTTAGAAATCAATGAGACCAAAACAAAGTATGCCTGCACGTATAAACGCAGAATAAAGGCACCTACACAGTTTAGCAATATGATAGTACAACATTCCTCTCTCCAATGGCGCTACACCCCACATCCAATCCAAGCAATTAGTTTTGATACAAACTAGATGTCACTTAAAAACAATTTTAAAATACACCTAATATTATTATATTTTTACTAAGTACTACCTACCGTATTCCTTCCAACATACAGTTAAGATCTTCATCTTTTTCATCAGATAGAAATCCATTAAAGATAAGGGGGTGGTCTTGAGGATTTTTACTTTTTAACAAAACTTTTCCAACTGATTTTGTATTAAGCAATGTTGGAAAAATCACCAGCAAGTTATTGGTTTTTAGATATTCTAACTTACTTAACAGTACATCGTCATTTACTCCCATCGCATGTGATAGTAGTGTAGGCAACATAGAGTTATCGTGTTGAGCAAAAAGTGAATAATGGAACATAAGGTCAGGAAATTTGGAATTATTTTTTGTATTAATAAAGTTCCAGTAGTTACTTGTGCCAATTGTAGCCAAATGTCCAGTCTGATGCATGAAGTACTCATATAGAATATCCTGCATTCTATCAGGTCTGTGTTCTGGTAGAATTGAGTCCGGAGATAAAACGATATCGAGCCCGATGTGTATTATATGATTCTCGAGGTGTTCTCCAACTGGCAATTCTTTAATCAAGTTAATTCCTACTTCTTCGAGATTTTTTCTTGGCCCTATTCCTGATAACATAAGTAGCTGAGGAGAATTAATAACGCCAGCTGACAGAATAACCTCTTTGGTGGCTTTAACTGTCAATGTTTTTCCATTTATTCTTACTACTACTCCAGCCGCTTCTGTTGTTTCTGGATCTATTAGAATTTTTTCAACAAAAGAGTTAGTCGCTACGTATAAGTTTTTTCTGTTTTTATATTTTCCCAAAAGAACTTTAGCTGTGTTTTGTCGTTGTCCATTCTGGATACACACGTTACCGGTTACTGTTCCTAGTGGGTCTTCTGGATTGTAATCTTCGTGGATTTTATATCCCAATAATTTATTTGCTTCATTTAATGCATTTATGATTGGTTCTCCTAAAAATGAAATATTAATTTATTTAGAAATTTAGTTTTGAGAAGGAGTGGCTTAGAAAGACAATTGTTGAATATGGTGGAAAATCATCGTAAAATATTTTACCTGGGACATATATTGAGACAAAGCTGGATTTTTACCAACCTCGAGAACAAGCTGGTTTCCGCCCTAATTACGGCACAAACGATCACCTGCAGTGCCTAAAAACCCTAATAGAAAAAACCAACGAATATAACCGTCCCTTGGCATTGATATTTGTAGACTTTAAAAAGGCGTTTGATACAGTGGAACTACCGTCCATCTTAAGAGCACTACAAGATTGCAGGATCGACCACAGATATTGTAATATAATTAAAAATATATATGAAAATGCCACAACAACCATAAGTCTATATTCTGCAACTAATAAAATAAAAATAAAAAGGGGAGTCAGGCAAGGTGATACCATGTCACCAAAGCTGTTCATTACCGTTCTTGAGTATGCATTTAAAAAACTAACATGGCAACAGAAAGGAATATCCATCGATGGAGAAAGATTAAACCATCTACGTTTTGCGGACGATATCGTGCTTCTGTCAGATAATCTGGGAGAGATCAAAAACATGCTCCAAGAACTGAATGACATACTACAAGAAGCTGGGCTAGAGATAAATTTCGAGGAAAACCAAAATGATGACCAATATGGTTCCCAGCGAAGAGATACAGATCAATAACAATAAGGTAGAATTAATCGATAAATACACATACTTGGGTCATGAAATTAGAATAACCAGAAACAACCAAACCTGCGAGCTAAATAGACGAATCATGTTGGGATGGGCGGCATATGGACGGATGAGAGACATTTTTAAAACAGATATCCCAATTCACCTGAAAAGGAAGGCATTTAACCAATGCATCTTACCAGTCTTGACCTACAGAGCAGAGACCTTAACTTTAACGAAAGCTACTGCCGAAAAACTGAGGGTAACACAAAGGCGAATGGAGAGATCAATGCTGGGCCTGACCTTGAAAGATCGCGTAAGAAATGAGGAGATACGCCGACGAACTGGCGTAGACGATATTATACTGCGAATCAATAAACAAAAGTGGATGTGGCTGGACATGTTGCTAGAATGGAAGACGGAAGATGGACGAAGAGATTATTGGAGTGGAGACCAAGAGCCGACAAGCGAAGTCGAGGCAGACCACCCACCCGATGGACCGACGACCTAAGGAGAATAGAAACAAACTGGATTGCAGCAGCTAGAGATAGAGGGAACTGGAGACGTTTGGAGGAGGCCTATATCCAACAATGGATGTGAAAATTCGGCTGGATGATGATGATGATATTGAGGGGACCGCAATACTCAATACCAAAACTAATATTTCAATAAAAGGTTGAGGTAAAATGAAGACCTAGTACAGAACAACATTCTTGGCTAAGAAATATAAGGGACTGGTGTGGAATACCAGATGCCGCTACTATATTTAGACAAGGTGAATAGAATGTTCTGCTCGTCTTACCACCATAGAATAGAATTAAGTATTTGATCACCAACCATGGCTTTGCCATGGCACCCAACAAAAAGAAAAAGAAATTGAAATTGGAAGATAAATAAATTTAACATGAAATTTGGAACTGCCGCTAGTGAAACATAGTTTATTCTTCTTCTTCATGTGCCATCTTCGCTACAAAGGTTGGTTATCATAATGGCAATTCTGACCCTGGAGGCTGCTGCTCAGAACATTTGAATAGAACTGTAAGCAAACTATTCCTTAAGGTTTCTCAACCAAAACATTTTTCTACTTCTTCTTATCCCCAATCTTTCCATGCATAATCACTTCTAACATTTGATATTTATCCCGTGTGTAACATATCCATGTGTGTGTATTGTAGTTTACTCATTTTAATAGTCAATATAACTTCTTTTTGTTTGTTATTCCTGTCTAGTACTACTTCATTAGTTATTTTGTCCTTCCAGAAGATTGTTAACATCCTTTGATATGCCTAATTCTCAAATGTCTCCAGTTTGTCTGTCAAAATATTTTCTCTAAGTTCGTCATAACTTGTAATCTATATAAACCTTCTTCTTCTTATTTCTTGTATGTAGGCTTTAAAGCCTGTTTCTTCTTCAATATTAGCCTCCTAAATTGTTCAAATTATCGCACCATCTTTTTCTTGGTCTGCCAATACTGCTTCGTTCATTTGGTGACTTATCTCATGCTACTCGTACTATCCTATCCTCTGCCATTCTAGTAATGTGTTCGTTCCACTCCTGTGTCCGTTTTGTCAACCATCCATTTATGTCTTCTATATTGCATGCTCTTCTTATGTTTTCGCTTCTCTCCCTATCTAACAGACTTTTTCCTGATATTCGTCGAAGTATTTTCATCTCTGTCGTTTCTAGTTGTCGTCTCGTTTTAGATGTGTCAGGTCTTGTCTCCGTCGTGTATGTTAATATAGTTCTAATTGCTGATTTATGGATTCTTGTTTTTGTGTCTTGTCTTAGGTGTTTGTTCTTCCAGATTGTGTCATAAGAGATTTTAAGTTTTGTTGCCGTACTTCTTCTTCAACAGCTCAGCAACTATTTGTATCTATTCCTAGATATCTAAACCCTGCTTCGTGCTTTATTATTTTCCCATCAATTTCGATTTTACATCGTAGTGGGTATTTAGATGTTGTCATACATTTGGTTTTTTCGTACCTACTGTGGGTCTTACACCTTGATTCGGTGCATCGAAGCCTTTGTCCGTTTTACAAAACATAGATATGCTGGTTTATTATACTCGATGGCCTTTTCTGTGATTTGTCTTACAGTACAAATACGGCGTCTACGCAGGATCTTCCGGATCTGAATACTTATTGTTCATCTGATAAAGTTGTTAGTTTATTGATTTTGTTGGTTAGCACTTTTATGTAAGCTTAAGTGCGGTGTTCAGTAGATTTATATCTATAAATTGTTGGGGTCTTCTTTATCTCCTTTCTTGAGCATTGGTATCATTATGCTGTTTCTCCATGCGTCTGGTATCTTTCAGTGCAATATTAGTTTTTGTGTAAGTTTTGTCATCTCAAGGGTTATACTTTCTTAAGTGTTTTAGAAGCTCGTTGGTTATTCGGTCTGGTCTTGGTAACTTTCTATTTTTGAGTGAATGTAAGGCTATTTTTACTTCCTGAAAACTGATTTCTATTTCGTGTCTTAATTCAGGTACGTTATTGTGTTGATTATTATTTTTCTTTTCTTTCAACAGTTCCGTCAGATATCTTACCCATTCGTTTGTTGGTATGTTATTGTATTCCTTCAATTCTGCTATTTCATTCTATCGGTTTCTTATGACTCTCCATATTTGTTTTTATGTACCGTAGAAGTCATTTTCCATTCTTTTGTAAACTGTTCCCAGTGTTCCCATTTTTTATTCTTCTTACTTTTTCTTCTTTTCTTGGTATTCCTGAGTATTTTGATGTTTTGTACTTCGTGTAGGCCTTTTGTTTCTCTTTACATTTCTCTTTTATTTCTCTTCTGAACCATGGTGTATTGTTGTTGTTTCTTTTGTTCAGTATGACTTTGCGTTTTCCTAGAGCTTCTGTTGCTGCTTCTTCAATGTTGTTTTTAATTTTCTCCCAGCTCGCGTTTATATCTTCGGACGTCGTCTATTTGTCAGCTGTATCTTCTGTAGCAGCTACCTTTGGTACATGTCTCTTGTAGACTCGTTCTACAGTGATTCTACGTTGAATTTTTCCTCGCTGATTTCCTGTAGAAAATGTTTTGGTGTTATTTTCATTCTTATTTTTGCTAGTACTAGTTTGTGCTCACTCCCTGCGTCTGCTGAGTTTAAAGTTTGGATATTTAGAATAAGGTTTGGGTGGATTTTTCTATTAGTGACTATAAAATCAATCATAGATTTGTGCCCTCCGGAGTTTTTAAATGTATATTTATATTGAATCTTATGGTTGAAAAGTGTATTATTAATTCTCAGTTCGTTAAAAGCACAGAGTTCTTCATTTGCGTTGACATGGTTTTCATTAAATCTTTGTTTTACTACTGGAACTATTTCATTTTATCCAGGATGGTTTGTAATTGTTCGTAGAATGCCTCTCGTTTCTCCTTAGGTTTACAGTCCTCGGGACTATAGATAGATATGACATTTAATTTTTGGTAATCCATTGTGATGCCCATATGTATTGATTATATATGATTTAAACCAATTTCCATAAATATCGTTTTTAAGTATTTTCCGCTATATAGATAGTGTAAGCTCGTCATGAAACATCCTGTATATTCGACAAATGTTTGTCACAATTGTAACTCGTAAAAAATCTGTGCGAAGATTATGCATATTCTCAACTGTGGGACTTGGCCAAACATATTTGGTACTGACACTTTGAATGCCGTTGAATGAAAATTATCCAAACTTATTAGAAAATTAGCCATTGGAAAATTTACTCTAATCAAAAACAAAGAATTCAAAAAAAAACTTTAACATTGTTTGTTTTCGATATCAGGCGTTTTATGGCCAGAATTCTGTGAAGGAATTAAAAAAAAACGCTCCGAACTGTGGAACGAAAAGCTGTTGGTTCTCCACCGAGACAAGTCTGAAGTAACTCGTTGTTGAATCTACGACAAAAGGACGCGGAAAACAGGACGCGAGACCAAAGGACGCGGAAAAAGGACGCGGAAAAAGGACGCGCGAAAAAAGGAACGCGCGAAAAAAGGACGCGTGGAAAAAGGACGCGTGGAAAAAAAGGACGCATATTATTAATGAATTACTATAAATAGTTTATTTTAATTGACATTAGCCATTACCCCTTTTTATCCCCATATGTTATTACAGAAATGATTCTACCTAACCTAAAATCGGTTACGGTAAGAGTAAAAAGTGAAAAATTATTATATGAAAAAAACTTGCCCTCACATTTTATCGAGGCTTAGGACTAAAATATCTTAAGTAAAATAATATATACTAATATAATGTTGATTCAAGATTTCTGGTATTGAAACAGGTTAGATTCCATATTATCAGAATTATGTAACGGGATTAGAAAAACCAAGTACCAGCCCAGTAAGGGGTCTAATGAGGGTTTAACGCGAACCGGAAGTAGGGAAGAAACGGGGGTAATTGCTATTGTCAATTAAAATAAACTATTTATAGTATTTCATTAATAATATGCGTCCTTTTTTCCACGCGTCCTTTTTTCCACGCGTCCTTTTTTCGAGCGTCCTTTTTTCCGCGTCCTTTTTTATGCGTTCCTTTTTTCCGCGTCCTTTTGTCGGTATACCCTCGTTGTTATACCATATAATTATGTCTTGTTCCTGAATAAAATTTAAACTACATAATTTGAAAGGTGAAACCGCGAAGGATATAGCACTGTTACAAACAATGTAAGATATCGAAGAATGCAGGAAAATTTTAGCAAAATAAATATAAATAAAATTAGAAAAAGTCGTTTTAAAGCGTTCGTCTCCGGGTCGTAGAGTATATTAAAATATATATTTACCTGAGTCATACTTATTGTTACATTCTGGCATAATCTTCGACAAACCCTCAAACTGCTTCTTTACATTGTCCCACTCCCAACCCGTATTTCCCATTTCGGCCCATTCATCATAATCCTTTGAGTTTCCTTTACAAAACAACATGGCATTTATAGTACTTGTACCTCCCAGCACTTTTCCACGAGGACTTTTACATATTCCGTCTTTAAACGCCAAGCACGCCTTTTCTGTTGGTTCCATCTTATACTGCCAGTCTTCGTCTGTTTGGTGGAGACTTGCCAATGCAGCTGGAATCTAGAATAAAAATTAGTATACTTTTATTTACTTGGTATATTGTTATATTATTTAAGTATAATTACTATTATAGTTTTTCAGTATATGTACAGTTCAGTCGGACAAATTTTGTTTTATCATTTAGGTGATGTCAATAAGTAGTGTGAAATTATTGCAAATGCGATTTCCTACAATTTTTTGTATGGCGGATATTTTCCGAGATAAGGGGGAAATAGTGATAAGTATAATTATTGAATTCCAAAAAAAGGAATTCCAGGTTTCCAAAAAAAATGTTGAATGCAAGAATGGGGGGAAGAGACCTATTAAAAGACCGAAAAAAGCGATGGGAGGATAATGTGGACCAGAACGCTAGAAATCTCCTTGGCAGTCTATCGTGGAGGAGAATATCTACTGACTGGAACGGATGAACAAGTTTGAGCAGGGAGGCTAGGACTCGAATTGGGCTGTAGCTCCATATTATGGATAGATGATTATTGAATTCTCTCGTTTGATATTAACTTTTCGACATTGTATATATATATATAATATATATATATATATATATATATATATATATATATATTCGTATGAACTTTACACATTGCAGTTTTTACATAAAGAAAAGGAAGAAAAAAGTGACAATAACAATAATAAATAAGTAAGTAAATAAGTAAACACTGACACAGAACATATAAAATTAAAATTTTTAAAATTAAAGTCGAAGGTTACATCCTCGAAGCCAATTTGTCGCCTTGGGAGTAAGTTGGTGGATTTCTTGAAGGCTGCCAAAGAACTTGGTGGCTGGACACTCGAAGACGATGTGGTTAATTGTTTGTTCAGCGGCGCTGCATTTGTCACATTCCGGGCTGGCATTTATACCCCATTGATTCAGCGATTTGTTACAAATTCCATGACCAACTCGTATTCTATTTAGGTTGCACCATTCACGACGGGGAAGAGAAAAGCCGTCTGGTTTGATTGTGGGGTTTTCTATCAGATTGGAATTTCTGATGTCTGGATTCCATTCGCCCATCCAGTGCTCTTCGGTAGTGAAAACAGCCAATTTTGTAGCAGTTCTAGTAGGTGGATGTCTGGATTTCAGTCTTAACTGCCTTTGGTGTAGTTCAGCGATGTCTGTGTTTATCGGTAGTTCTGGGTTTTGTTGGCATTTTTGAACTAGAGTGTTGAGTGCGGCTAGTCGTCTTGTTGCTGGTGGAGCGATGTTGCTTAAAACTGGAAGCCACTGGGTTGGTGTGGGCTTTATAGTTCCCGTTATGTGCCTCATTGTTTGATTTAACTGGGTATCTATGACTTTTGTGTGATGACTGTTTAGCCAGACAGGAGCGCAATATTCTGCAGTAGGATATACTAAGGACAGCGCGCTCGTTTTATTACCTCTGCATTCGACCCCATGATGTATTTGCTAACTTATGGATAATATTATTGCGGGTCTTAATTTTTGCTGAAGTGTTTTCCAAATGCTTTTTGAATGTTAGGGTACGATCTAGAGTTACGCCGAGGTATTTTGGGTTAGCACTGTGCTTTAGCCTGGTTCCATCGCATTCTATGTTTAGTCTGTAATTTGCCTTGTTGTTGTTTAGGTGGAAAGCTGTTACTTCAGTTTTCGATGGGTTTGGTTGTAGGCCCCATTTCTTAAAGTATCTGTTAACAGTGTTTAGATCTGCTTCTATGGTGGATTCGGCGATGTTTATGTCTTCTTCTTGGGCACCCAAAGCCATGTCATCGGCATAAATAAATTTGCGCGAGGTGGTAGTTGGTACATCTGACGTATAAATATTAAAAAGTAGAGGAGACATAACTGACCCTTGTGGCAAGCCGTTTTGCAGGTTTCTGAAGTTACTATTTTTCCCATTTAGGTGTACTTGGAAAAGTCTGTCACTTAGCATTTGGTTTAACAACCTGTTGAACGCACGGCACGGTAACATCTGGTATATTTTATATAAAAGGCCCTCTTTCCACACTGTGTCGTAGGCGCAGGTCAAGTCTATGAATGCTGCTACTGTTTTCAGTTTCTTTTGGAATCCGTTCTCAATAAATGTTGTTAAGGAGAGGACTTGGTCGCCACAGCTTCTTCCCGGCATGAATCCAGCTTGTTCTTTAGGAATATTTGACTTTGTAAAGTAAAATAGTCTCGTTTGGATTATCCTCTCGAAAATCTTGTAGCAGACGCTTAAAAGAGCGATTGGTCTGTAGCTCTCAGGTAATGCAGGGTCTTTCCAGGTTTAGATATTGCGATGATCTTACTTTTTTTGAAGGATTTTGGAAACTTCTGCTTAGTTAGTATTTGATTGTAGAATTCAAGAAACCACTTTCTGGCATTCGGACCAATGTATTTTATAAATTCAGGATAAATGTTGTCAACTCCTGCGGCTTTTACGACATTTCAATAATTTTAGAGCTTCCTCAAGTTCTTCTGATTCGATGAGCTTCATTATGGGTAGGCTTTGTTGTTGAGCAAGTTTGGCTTCTTTTAACTGAGATCGGACTTCTCTGTTATAATCTTTTTCTATTACTTTTCGACATTAATGTACATAACAAAAATAGAGAGAATTATATTTTATACAATTTTGATCTTTTTGATCCAACAAACCAAAGCCCTATAAGGTCATCCTTTTAAATTAAGTGAAAAAACGATGCAGAAGAACAGGACCAAAATAAATCGATCAATAATACGCAAACCGAAACCGCAGATATTGATGTAAGTGGAGAGCAATTTAAAGATCCAGCATATTGGCCAGAAGTATTGACAGATACTGTGTGACTAATAATTTTTGACATAGGGGAGAGTTGTCCAAAATGGGGACGCTAGTGTATTTTTAGTGATTTACAAGAAGTGAATACTCTAATTAACATTGTTTAAAGTGCAATAGAGTTAGTGATTATTACTTTAACACTAAATAAGTTTTGGCAGACTTATTTTATTTATTACTTGGTCAAAATCTAAGACTATGAAAAAATGTAAATGTCCCCGTTTTAGACGACCGTTCGGTTAAAATGGGACCTCATTAAAAACAATGGATTTTTTTTATTTTTATTTTTTTACCTTTTTTAAACATTTTAATTACAATAGTACCCATTTTAAGTTTATGACAAATACTTATTACACTTGTGAGAGGTAAAACATAGACACAGAACAATTTTAATTAATTTTTTGTGAGTTTTTAAGTGTTACGTCTACAGAAATCGCACAGGAAATAGTCGTCTTCTTCATCTGCATTTGTACATGCGTCGTGGGGCCAACCAGAGCATCTTGAGCACTGAATCCACCCTTCTTTGTTCTTAGAAGCAGAGAAAATCTCACTGCAAAATATACAAGCCTTATCACTGCTCCCTTCTTCAGATGAGGAAGACTCGTTCTGGTTTTCGAATTTCATTTTCTTTAATGTGGGACCAACATCAGTTTTTGGAAGGTTTTCTTTATCGCTACTGTTGCCAACTTTCTTCAGTTTTGTTTTATTTAGCATTTTAGACGTTTTAAACAATTTCTTTTTAGGTTCTTTTTTCATTTTTATTTGTATTTCTTCATCTTCTAGTTCTTTCTTGTAAGGTGAAGACGTCAAAACAAACTGCGGTTTTGATCGATGCTTCGAAATTCGATGCTTTTTGAGTGCGCTCTGTGTCCATCCAACAGAAGTAAGACTGGCTTGTCTGGTTTTGGGTTTGAAAACTTAACAAATTGCTTGAACCAAACTAAAAAGCTTTCTGTTGTAATCCACCCTGTTTCATGGAAGAAAGCAAAGGATCCTGCTGGAGCATCGTTCATTAATGCAGGATTTTCTCTTTTTCGTGGAAATATAAACATCGTGGGCATATATTTTCCAGCAGCACTCATACAGGTCTCGGCTGTCACTAGTGTTTCCCCTTTCAGATGAAGCTAAAGCACCTACTTGTTTCTTCCCCTCAGCGCTACAATTTTTGATGCCTTATTAGGAACCGTCGTGATTCCGGTTTCGTCAACATTATAGATATCATTAGGGGAAATGTTATATTTCTTTAATATATCTTCTAACAGGTCAAAAAAATTATTAACTGCATCTCGATTGAATCCCTTAGGTCGCGCAATCTTAGGCGTAACGACAATCGCCTTATAAACAATGTGTTCTGGGAAAGGCCAGATGGAAGAAAGTCTGTAGGGCGGCCTAGAAAAAGGTGGAAAGATGCAGTCCAAGAAGATCTAGAGAAAATGGGAGTGCGACAATGGGAATTACTGGCATAGGATCGACAAACATGGAAGGCAATAGTAAACGCGGCAAAGATTCACGAAGAGTTGTAGCGCCATGTGATGATGATGATTATGATGATGATCAACCATGCAGGGTCATTAGCGTATTTAGATTAATGTGACAGTTGATAGAATTAGCGAATATACATTAGTTTACAATAATAATAATAATATATGTATGTCTATATATGTATGTTTTAGATCTTTTGAAGAAGTTGACAGCCTTTAAGATAAGAACATATTTTTTGGGTATCTGTATTTTCTTCTAGGGCATCTCTTAGGTAGTTGGGTATGTTATATTTGAGTCGTTCACTGTTATATTTGGGACCCTGTATTAAAAAATGTTTTACCGTTAGAACACTGTTGCACACTTCACTTCTTTTTTCTTTATTTTTCGTAAAATAACTATGTTGATATTTATATTTTGGTTATACCAAATTATAGTTATGTATGTTGTATGAGCTTAGATTTATATTATAGGTATGTATCTATTCGTTGATTTAATAAATATATTTTTATGATTTAAATGTTCAAAATTGTATTTTGGTTAATTTTTCCTAATTTGCGATGTTTTCCTATACACGTTTTCCAAAACTGCTGATAAGGCGGTAAATTTGGTGCTTGCACCCGGGCGGCAAAACCTCCAGGCTCGGCACTGGCCATTGTAATGTATTTAGTACTTACTTATATATAGTTATTTATATAATTATGTTAATTATATGTAATAATTAATCAAATTAAAAAAAAAACTTAATCTTCAAAAAATAAAAAAATATAACCTCAAATAAGACTCACCTACACTACACTCACTTACACTCAAGAAACACCAGAAATTACCACAAAGGAAGAAGTAATGGATTCGACCGTTACTTGATAAACATTAATATTATCCAATAATAAAACACTGAAAACTTTTGTTTTTAACACTTCCACAAAATGTATTATAATTTATTATCACTACAGTGGTTTCGCAAAAAAAACACTATAAATATGGAATCTGACGTTTGTTAACTGTGAAAATCTTTTGATCAAATACATTTTGTTAATTGTTTGTATGCTTATTAAGGTAAAAACTCATGCTAATCAATCATATTTATCATATGAATTACTATGAGGATACTTACATCACTTGATGCTGATGGATATCCTCCTGCTTCTAGCACTAAAACTCTCCATTCGGAATTTTCAGTCAATTTATTCGCAACAACTGATCCTGCAGATCCAGAACCCACCACAATAAAGTCAAACTCGTCACCATCTTTAATTAAGGGACCATAGTTCTCATTGTACACTTCTTTTGAACCCAATTTACATTTGGACTGAAGTAAACTATTGATTAAAGTAAGGAAGAAAAATCCAGAGGCACCCTGCAGGTTTCCCGGACAGGAATCCGATATAGTGCTTGTTAGATCCATGATCCGAGTGGCTAAACCTTGTTATTAAAAAGTTTTTTGAATTATTTTTTGTGATTTAAGAACCTATAAAAATATTACGATTTTTATTTATTTGCTTGTGGTCAGTTGCCCACTATACTGTACTGATTATATCAATTCACTGAATGTAATGGTTCATCATTCTCTCGTGTATAAATGATACTGCCTATATTTTGCTAATGTCATTGTTCAAATTATCTCACATATTTCACTTATCAATCAGATACACGAATAATTAGTGTGTTCTAAGCATTAAAGTATTGGTGTTATCTCAATCGATAAATATTTCCGCACCAATTTATTAATTGCTCATATCAAGAAGCCACCACCACCTGACTCGAAGGAACACGCCCCATTTTTCTTCCGGTGGGGGTATGGGGTGTAGCATTCTACACAGTTGCTGTCTATAACGAACATCGTAAATATTGTATTTTCATTCGGCAAATAATTTAAAAAAAATGGTAGGCATATTGAATAAACCTTTGTGCAGTTTCATTACCTTGTAATTTAGGAACAGCATCCTTACTTATCTAAAAATATTAACTTTTAGAGAACATTTTATCATATTTATTAAGAAAAACTTACCAACGCATTAGCTGATGGAACAAATGGAAAACTTTGACTATCCATAATAATAAAATTTAAAAGATAACTAACTATTTAACTATATAGAACTAACAAAAGAATTAAACAAAGATAATAAAACAATAAAACTATATTAAATAAAATAAAGGCGGATAATACAAATATTTACTACAATATGTTAAATTGTAACAATTCAAATATTATATTTTAAATATACAGGGAAAATTTGATGGGTTTAGTATACACTTCCACTATTTAGAATAATTCTTCTTTTTTCAAAAAAAAGAAGTCTGCAATAGTAGTATACTTGAGCTATTAATACTGAGAAGAAGGAATTGTTGTGTTGTAGATTTCCGATAATGAATCTGTCAAAATATGTCCGAGCTAAGCGAATGGAGTATAGGGTTAACATCGAATCACATTAAACTGAACTACAGATAATAGATACTTCTGTTATTGCTCTCAAGCTATTTCCTTGTGGCATCTTAAACAATTTACTATTTTTATTAAGAATAAGCTACAAGTTTGCTTAAAAATAAGTTTATTTAACTTTCTATTAATTTGTTTCCCCAAAAATAAAAGCGAAACAAAAAATATTATAACTTGCAGTGAGCCCTGCGTTCACCACAAACACTTTTTACCGGCATGTTCCTACTCAGATCTCTGAAGATCAATTAAAAGATTATACGGAGTTTTCAGATCCAATTCTCAGTTCTTCATGATTTCTATAAATTGCCGGTAAATATTTGGCACCCAACTGTCTAGATCGGAGTGACTTCCTTGATCGTCTAGACGAAAGTGTCTACGTGACGGTGTAAATGGGACTCGAGTACTGGCTTCACCAGTACCTCACTAGCTGACTGCCAGACCCAGACCGAATTGCTTGTTCTCTCGATTCGATGATCTTTTCACAGTAAAACAAATCTCCCAGCCGGCGATTTGATTTAATTTCGCTTCTTGGTTATTGTCAATGTAAATAAACACTTATTATTATCATTTTTGAGACGCAATTTTAAAAACGTTTAATAGGAACTTAAGAAACGATTTAAAAATAATGATGCGATTGCTTTTATTCGATGCAATTTAGGCTGTATAAATAAACATTCACAGTATGTCTTCCCGTTCGCAGTTTAACTGTTTCTCTTTCGAAGATCCTGTAACACGCAAATTTAAACCTTAAAAAGGATGAGAAAACAAAGGTGCTACATTATTTTCTGAGCTTATAGGCCTTGGGTGGTCTGGATCTATTTTTTCTAAGATTTCTTCGTTCGAGCGTCTCTTTGTTGACTCTGCGAGTTTCTCACGGGCTATAGGGAAGCCCACCACATCACCGGACGTTTGTAAATAAGTACCAGACTATCTAGCCTATTATGCCATATTTCTCGTAGCTAATGTTATTTATTCATGTCAGTTTGAAAGTTACATACTATGGTTGTGCTTCCTAGATAATTTTGAAAATGTAATCTTTAATGTTCAAATTATTTTGCTAATATACTAAGTGACATTAGAAGTGTTACACACAGAAGGAATAATTTCTTGAACTTAAGAATGAAAGGATAACGTTGTCAAGAATTTGTATTAACCAGTAATCAAAATAAAATTAATAATGTGTTTGGGGACCCCGTAGCTGAATAAACTCCTGTATACGTCTAGGCATTGACAAAATGAGATGATCGATGTCTGCTTGTGTCACCTCGTTCCAAACAACTTGAACTTCATGTATTAACTGTGCCAGAGTCTGTGGAGGACGGTGCAAAGTGGACAGTCTCCTTTTCTCATATCCCATACATGTTTGTTAAGATTTAAATCCCGAGCACGGGGCAGCCACGGCAAAACATTAACGCTAGCTTCTTGGATAACGTCCATAGTCTGACGAGTAATATGGGAGCGCGCGTTGTCTGGCTGAAACAGGACGTCTCGATATCCGTCGAGAAAAGTGGTTTGTAAGATGTCATTAACATAACGCGCAGCTATCATATTGTCTCGAATAAACACAAGTGGTGATGGGCTATCCATAGGCAATAGCCCCCTAAACCATTACTCCAACTGTCCTGTGTACATGCCTCTCAACAGCAAATCCAATATCTCGTCGCTTTCCACGGCAGCCTCTTACCATCCTACGACCATCATGCATTCCTAAACAGAATCGTGATTCATCGCTAAATGCTACATTACCATTCTGCACCATGCTCCTTCTCTGCCCAATTCAAACGTTGATGACAGTGGTCCGCAGTCAAAGGAAGCACTAGTCGTGGGTGGAATGAAACCAGTACAAAGGCTAGAATGCGACGGTATAGTGTACGCATACTAACAGGTCTACCTACTACTCCAAACCATTGGTCAGCAATTTGACGCATAGTAGCAAAACGGTCTCGCAGAGCCAGTAATCTAAAGAACCTATCTTGACGCTCTGTGGTACGCCTCTGTTGACCAGTTGGTCTTCTTCGTATTCCTCTATCTTCGTTTGTCCACACACGACAGACACGCATTGCCGTACAATTAACACGACGCCCAATTTCGCGATACAACAAACCCATATCTCCATACGCAATAATTTTACCCCTGTCAAAATCGCTAAAACGGTGGTGATATGGATGTCTTTGAACTCAAAGCATTTTCTTATACTGAATACAATAAGGCGGAGGAATAATACCTAAAATTTCTATACGAACCGGTTTTCGCAAATCGGTCTCTTCATAAAAAAATTTAAAGATAAAACTTTATTTTTACAAAAAGGAGAAAAGACAAAACATTGGTATTGTTCTCATATTATGTTTAAAATATAGAAATTTTGTTGCCAAAAAATTAAATTCAAAAAATTATTCCTTCTGGGTGTAACATTTCTAATGCCACTGAGTATATTAAAAACAAAAATTCGTGGCAGTTGATAAGCGGGTAAAAGTAAAGAGCACTTAAAAAGTGCTACACAAGGTGAATGGAGAGACTACTAATTTTTGAGTAGTAAAGAGAAGGAGAGAGAAAGAAAGAGAGGAGAAAGAAAAACGTGAATAAAACAGACAATCAAGACCAGTATTTGTTTTTAACCTTTAATGGTTTTAATTATAATAATTAAGTGGTAATAAATAAAACCCTATCCTACATTATCAATTAAACATTATTGGAAATTATATTAAAGGGTATCAGTTACAAATATTTTAATATTAATTTACAGCTCTTCTCGTTCTCGTTTCAACCAATCCTTAGATATAATATCGCCAGCCTTATGTCCTATCATCATAGTTGGAGCATGCGTATTCCCACTAACCACATGTGGCATGATACTAGCATCAACTACCCTTAAGTTTTTTATCCCATGCACCTTAAGGTTTGGATCTACAACAGAAGTGCCATCATCTGTTGGTCCCATTTTGCAAGAACTGGTTGGATGGTAAACGGTGGTAGCCAAATGTCTTAAACTGCACTTCCAGTATTCTTCCGATCTGAATTTGTATTCGTTGCAATCTAGGCCTTCGTACTGGATAATTTGAGCACCGAACTTTTGTATTTCTGGAGATTCAATCAACTTTTCGAGAAACCTAAAACATAAAGCTTCTTTAGAAGTAGTTTGAACTGAATGAATAACGTTTTGGTTTCGAAGAAGCGATTATCGTACACCAGTTCGACATACGTATTTCGACTTGAAGCTGAGAACTTTGGAACTGAATATTCATATAAAAGAAAAAAAGATCTTTCAGAACGCAGTGTGGTAAGATCTCTGAGCCTAAAAGGACTTGTTTAAAAGCTACATTGTACAGCCTCCAGTGTCAAAAGAAGTTCTTAAAAAGAGTTGAAGAGCAGTACAAAAAAGACACTGAGGTACGATTAAACACGACATGTTTGCGAAATAAATTAATATTGGTTATATAAATAGATAACGGAACTAAAATAATGATAATGATATAAATAAAAATTGTAATACCTAATTCCCTCGAGCATGACGTGTAGGTCATCATCCTGTTCATCTGTGAAATACCCTGCATCAATGATGGGTTTATCTTCAGGAAATTTGCTCTTTAAAGTTATTCGGCCAGTTGATTTTGGATTTAGTAGAGTGGTGTAAAGAGCTAGCAAATTACCAGATTTGAGTGAGTCTAGTTTACTTTTCACAATACTTTCCTTTAAACCTGCTCCCTGGCAAACTGTTGGCAATAAAAGTGCATCATTTTGTGGAAAAAGTGTGTGATGATATTGAATATTTGGGTAAATTGAGTCGTTTCTGGTGTTGATGAATCCCAGTGATTTATGACTCCGACTGTACTGAACAACCCTGTTCTATCGTTGAAATAGTTAAAAATTATATTCTGAAGGTTTTCAACTTGATGCTCAGGTAGCATTGAATTTGGTGACAACGAGATATCGAATCCGTAGTGCATGATATGATCTTGCAAGTATTTTCCCACCGGTAAATCTTTGGCAACATATATTCCTAGATCTTCCAGATGCGTTCTAGGTCCTATACCAGATAACATTAGTAGTTGTGCTGAATTAATAGTGCCGCCTGACAAAATAATCTCTTTGTTGCTCTTTAAATTCAATATTTTGCTACCAATCTTTATTTTAACTCCATATGCTGTCATTGTTTTAGGATCTATCAAAATTTTTTGAACGAAAGAATGAAGAGAAATCAATAAATTTTGTCTTTTTTTAAAATTTCCCAAAAATGCTTTTGCCGCATTATTACGCATTCCATCCTTGATGCACACTGTTGTTTCTATGGATCCTATTGGATCTTCTGGGCTTTGTTTTTCGTGGTGTCTGTATCCTTGTTGTTTGTATGCTTTAATAATCGCGTTTTTTATTGGGTCTCCTAAAAACAATAAAACAATTTAAACACAATACAACAAATTTTAGAGTTAAAGGCATTGACACTAATTATTGAAGATATTGTTTAACTTGTTGATTGTATATATTCATATAAATCTTACAAATTTCGTTTCGGTATACTCTGTATTAGAAAGCATATTTTCGCAGCATATTTTCTCAAGTGTAACAGTGACATGTGTTATCAACTCTGCAAGAGCCTTGTAGAAAGAAGTTTTACGTCAGCCTGCCTGCTACGCTACTAATCTTCATCCAAACAGCGTTCGATGACCTACGACGCACTAGTCTCAAAGCTGATGGAATATATGTAATCAAAAATCGAGTCACAGGTGTGATATCAAGAAATACAGATTGGGTTTTAATTTTTAGTGTTAAAATAACTGTAAATAAAAAAAAAACTAAAATAAATAAAAATAAAATAACAGTTCAATGGTGTCAGAAGCAGGATATTTAAATAAATTCTGTGAAAAATGCCTACCAAAGTTAGTGATTTAAAAATAAGGGTTTTATGCCCTAAATTTGAGAATACCGAACTGAATTCTGTTGGGAAAAGGTGTTTTAGTCCAACTTCTGAAGAACACCCTGCAAGAAGAGCGTTTTAATCCGGAAACTTATATGTTCGAGAACAGGGATGCTGCTGTGATTTCATCGATTATATAATTAGTTTCAGTGATATTACATTACAGATTTGTATTGCCGATTCGTATTCTACTTGAAAAACTGTACAAACCCTCTTAAAATTTAGATTAATTGCGTCAAATAATAATTGATGTAGCTACCCAAATACCTGCAGAATAGATAATTGATTAGCTATTGCCAGGAAGCAAACGTTGCCCAATTTGAGCATTTATTACATTGAAGGTATTGGCGTCAATTGTGAGAGGCTCACTAAAAACAAGCACACCGAAATGTGAATGGCAGAGGCACTTGCTAAAAACAAACATCTCAATAAGTAAGCGCAAGCGGACTCACTTAAAACAAGCACCAGAAGAAAACAAAAAACTACTACATCTACGTCGTCATTTCTCGGTTATGATAAACGGAGTTTTTAAGTAGTCAACGAACAACCTTAACCTCGTATTAGTTTAATTGGTTTTGTAATTTGAGCAATATCTTTCAGTCTACTGTCGTATTATTAGATAAACTTTTAAAAAATACTAATTTTGTACCGAGAAATTTGACCGTTTGCGGACTTCTGATCTGTATTTGCTTTTCTGCGATCACAGCGTCATCTATCGCGAATCGACAAGAATCTCAGATAGAAATCTGCAATCCATTCAAGATTTTAAAGATTGAGAGTCGTAATTTGATAGATTTTTGAAAAATAATATTAAATATATGTTTTATGGTATTAATTTGGAAGTGTATTTCTTGAGATATCAGACCGATTCCATAATTTTATTAGAGTATCAGGGTAAATCGTTTTTTCCGATTATAGTGCCATCTACCAGCAATTCGAAAAAAATATCTGGAATAAAATTTACTTATTTTTTAATAACGAATCTAAATATCCAATAAAGAATGGGGTTTCTCGTTTAAGATTTTAAAGTTCCCTCGCCCCAGCTACGGGGGTCGTAGGTCGTGTTAATTGTCATTTGATAGTGATTTGTCAAAATGTTCAACGAGTTTTAAATGTATTTATTATTTAAATGAATTTATTTTTTCGATCCTGAGAAAATTAATAAGTATATTTGAAAATTTTTTCAAAAATACTCAATAGTTTTCTTAGGATTCGAAAAAAATAAATACATTTAAAACGCATTGAACATTTTGACAGGCGACATTTTGTGCCTATGCCCTTAAAATGTGTTTTTCAATTTTTCGAACCGATGTAAAGTTCGCTAAACATTCGACCGTCCCCCTTCTTTTGGCACACCCGGTATATAATTTTTTTTTGATGTCTATTGTAAACATTTTTGATACTTTTTGCAAACTTTCTGTATAGTGTTAGCATTTTTAGGGTTCTACATGTCTTTTTATTAAATGAATTTGTTTCACCCGCATATTTTTATATCTTTATGTAAAACTGGTTTATTCATTATTATTTCGAATAAACTGTTAATATTTTTAAGAAAGATTTTCTTACCAGCGTCATATTTGTGCGAACAAATTGCTGACTCATCAATTTTTGCAAAATGTTTTTTTACATCCTTCCAACTCCACCCGGTATTACCAAGCTCTGCCCATTGGTCGTAATCCCTTTGGTTGCCTTTGGTAAATAACATCGCATTTAAGGTGCTGCTGCCACCTAAGACTTTTCCCCTCGTCCATCTGCATCTGCCGTCTTTGAAGGATAAACATGCCTTTTCGGAAGGTTCAATTTTGTATTGCCAATCCTCTTCGGTCTCTTGTAAGCTATATAATAGAATGGGGATCTACAAAGAGGATCCGATAAAATTATATGAACAAATTCATGATATTAGGTAAAATATAAGACAAGAAGTGACTGGAAAGAGGCAAATATTTGTTATTAAAAATATAAAAGATTGGACTAGTTTGACTGCACTATTTCGAGCTGCACAAGATAGACATTACGTCGTTCAGATTGTTGCCAATCTTTAGTGAGGCGTACTATAAGAAAAAGTAGCAATCTTGTATGATTTACAACAATAAATAAAATCTTGTACAGATGTATATAGCTTTTAATAACATCCTTGTTTAAGTATGTAAGTATATTTAGGTCACTGGTGTGATCAAAGTTTAATTTTCTTTTACTTTACTCTTTTACTTTTATTATGATATATGCTTGGATTAGATAAACTTTGCTAAGTTGACTGAATTGTTAAGAATAAGAAACAGCAAATATCAAATAAGAAATAGCAAAAGTTAAGCAAATATAGTGAGGAACAAGATCTATGCGAAATTTTAAAGACCAACTTGCTGATAATCCGTTATTGATACCCATTGTAACACAGCCCCTAGAGAGACATTACAGAGTTGTACTAACCTTTATCCAACATTCAAATAAAATTACCGAAGCAGTGTTGAATTTTGAATTATTAGTTTGTTTAAATGTTTTTACAAATTGAACGGATCAATGGTTTTTAGCATTAAACAATCTCGCAATATACTATTAAAAAAATACTTGTGTTTATCTGTTTTCTAAAGTTAGGACTGGCAAAATAAAATATATTTTTCAGTTACGAAAATAATAGACATTTTGTTTTGTGGGTTCGTCAATGAACACTAATATTATTGATATACACAAAAAAAAGTAAAACTTGTTCCAAATCATCATCAATAAATATTTTTGTGAAATGTTATCAAAAATATGATGTCTTTGTTTATAACATTTAAAAATAATTTAGAGAAATTCCTGCGGTTGATCTAAATACAAATTTACAAACAATTTTATATTTCCGGTAATGACTAAGTCCTTAATATAATAGCCCAGCGAAATAAGCATTTTTTCATGACACTCGTCCGGCCAGGCTAACGACAGTTGTTTTGAGTAGTACGGACCGACCTCTGTAACAAAAACCTATATGTTTCCTGCAGTCGATTTTTTGGACTAAATGTACGCAAAAAGTACATACAAGTTCAAAAAGAAACGTTGAAATACATAAAAAAGGAACAGAGATACAGTTAACAGCGCCTTCCCCCTCCCTTCAACTCCGAGTGTTTCAAAGCCGACCGATTTTACATATATTTTGAAGCTTTGCGAAGGATTCCATTAAAGGGCAATAATTTAAAATTTAGTACTTTAAAAACTATAAAGTACATTCTTTCAAATAGCGCTAATTAGATTTCTTAATTGTTATAAACAAAGGTGCTATGAATTAAATAAAAAAAGAGGCTAACTTTGTACCAAATTATTTTAGGACAAATTTTTTTTAATTAACTTTGTGAAAAATTCAAGCTTTTTAAATATGTTAAAAAAATATTTTTACAGTCAATGGTTAAAAAGTTATTCTAATTGTTTATAAGCAAAAAATCGACATGTTTTTGCAAATTATTTTGCAATATTTAAAATTAATTTTCTTAATTTTTTTTAATATAAATATATAAAACAAGTCTTTTTCTACCAGAAACAACCCTTACATTTAATCAAACTGTATAAATTTCTGACTTATATTGTTGCAAAAAATGTTAATTTGGGATAAACAAATAAAATAACTTTTAAATATTGGACCGATCACTTTGAAATTTTGACACTATTTTAAGCACTACAAGACACATCATCCATGAAATATAAATATTATAAGTTTATTTTCAAAAAAGTTATTAACATTTATAAAAACCGAAACTATTGACTTATTTTGCAACTTTCGAAGCAACCAATAAGGATAGAAACATTTTGAAAACGCCATTTTGAAGGTTTTTATATAACTTATAAGTTTCCTTTCTTCTAAAATTTATTTAAATTTCTTCACTTTTTGCTGATAGACGAAAAAAGCAACAATTTTCCGTTTTTTGACCTTCATTTGTCAATAACTAATTAAGTCCAAAAAATCGACTGCAGGAAACATATAGGATTTTGTTACAGAGGTCAATACTACTCAAAACATACTCTCGTTTGCCTGGCCGGACGAGTGTGAAAAACGGTACTTTTTTTGCTTATTTCCCTGGCCTATAAGTACATTTTCGTAGAATAATTAAATCGAGCGGGATCATTGTCACAATATTTAAAGTCATTCTTAAGCAATATATTTTGTGGTTCTTTCAGCCAGAGTTTGTCGAAAAAAAAGTGTTGTGATATATTTAGTATTTATCAAAGAAAAATATGTGGCGTTCATGGGAAAGTGATCTGCGTTTACCTGACGAAGCTGAGCTGAGCAAAATATAGTGTTAGATGTCTTTGATGGACTTTCTAAAAAAAATGACCAAATATGAAGCTGTTAAGCAAACAGCGGTTTTAACAAAGGTTTCTTGTGCAATAAGGTACCGTTTAATAAAGACAGGTTCAAAAAGTAGAACAATAAGAAAAGATTTGGGAAACTCGAAAAAAATTCAACTTACCTCTTGGAACCTATTAGTGAGACAATATATAATATGTATGCAGCTAAAGTTATGCCTAACCTGTACAATATCATGGAGGAATGGAGGAAAAATGGAGGAATGAATATATCGAAAAAATTTCACAATACCGCAGTGAGTGTCGAAAATTTTATTATCTGGACGAGACTTGGTTTGATTCTCACGAAACGATAAATAAAGCCTGGACAAACGGTACAAGAAAAAGGTCAAATAGATGTATCCCATTCTAGAGGCAAGCGAATTTGCATATTACATTGCGGAGGACAACATGGATGGGTGAACGATGCGTTATTTTTGAGTTGCAAAAGTATTAAAGACAGTTCTCTAAACTACCACCAAGACATCGAAGGGACGCTTTTTGAATCGTGGTTTGAGAATACATTACCCTAAATTTAAAACAAAATAGCGTGATTGTTATGGACAATGCATCATATCACTCCAGATGCATTTTAAAAAATTCCAACCAAACAGAGTAGGAAATTCAAGAATTTTTAATAGCGAAGACCTATATTTTATATTACACCAAAGATTAACTAATCCAGGTTCTTCATACAAAAGTCGTAACTAAAGAACATATTGTAGATAAATTAGCCACTAACAATGTACATATGGTTTTAAGATTACTTCCATAGTACTGTGTGTTGAATCCCATACAATTGCTATGGGCTCAGTTAAAAAACCATGTCCAGAGGAACAACACATCTCCAAAAGATGCCCAAACTAATAAAAACAGAGTTCAACAATTTCAGTGCTCAAAACTGGCAAAATGCAGTAGAACATGTAAAGAAGATTGAACAAGATTACATGAAAAATGTCCCAGCCTTGAAGAAAATTTTTATTAATTTGGCTGAGAGTGATAAAGAGAATGATAATGACGATGACTTGGAATAACTGGAAGATCCCAAATGAATGTGAATTTCCGAAGTGGCTAGTATACCATTTAATTTATAATAGTAAAAAAACCAATGGGTAACTTTTTGTGGCATCGCATGTGACATGTGGTGCTACGGCCGTATACTAAAAATAAGTTGGGTGCATAAAATTACAAATGAAGAGGTAATACGCAGAATAAATAACGATCCAGAAGTTATCCTGAATATAAAAAAGAGAAAACTTGAATATTTAGGCCACCTGATGAGAGGACAAAAGTACACATTCCTACAAAATATAATGCAAGGAAAAATCCAAGGACGCAGAAAATCCAGGCTGTAGAAAGAATGTCCTATAGTAAAATTCCTTAAGCGATGCAGGAAGATGTAAATATTAAATCGTGTCCGAACCGGTATGAGCTGCTGACAACGTCGGCAGATGAAATAAAGATGGACATTTCGGTTAGTTTTTAAATATTTTTGAAGGACTGTTACTTGCATTTATGCATAAAATATTCATTAATTTTATAAATCGGATTATTTTTTCACTTACTATGTATTCAGCATGTATTCAGTAATACATAAATTAATTTACTATGCAATAAACACGAATATTTGGGAAAAGAAAAAAGAAAAAAAGAAAAAGTGTTATAATTATACTGTTAACTTATCGGAACGGAGACTCATTTGGAACATCTTTAACAATTATCTGTTAAATTTATCTTTGTTTATATGCCCTGCATCGCTTAATGAAATAAGGTATAGATGAGAAATTTAAGAGAGTGGTTTGGCTGTACCACTAACGAATTATTCAAAACAGCAGTTAATAAAATTAGAATCGCCATAATGATAACCAATCTCCGATAGGAGAGGCACTCAAAGAAGAAGATGTGACATTTAAGTAAATAAAAACTATTTTTGAAGTTATATTTCTTTAGGCGCGATTGGGAAAAATTAATGAGAGTGATTTTTTATAAAATTTACAGTATGAAGTACGCGCGTATTGACAGCATGAAGATAGCTGAAGAAACAACATTAAGCATCATGAAATAAATAAAATTAGTAAAGTTAACATCCAAGCTACATCAGTGTCGGTCGAAGATTCACAAGGCCCGATTATTCTATCTGCTGTTTACTGTCCACCGAATAAAATAATTAAAGCTGATCATTTTACTGAATACTTTAAGATGCTCGGACACCGTTTCATTACTGCTGGAGATTTTAATGCCAAACATCATAAATGGAGTTCATGAATCATAACCTCACGTGGACGAGAATTATTAAAAAGTATTAATGAGAATCATTTAATTCCTTTCTCTACTGGAGAGCCTACGTATTGGCCCACCGATAGACAAAAAATTCCTGATCTTATTGATTTCGCTATAGTAAAAGGAATATCACATACCTATCTCCAAATTTCTCCTTCATTTGACCTCTCATCAGATCATTCCCCTTTCTTCATAGATCTACATAGCCAAATTCATAACTGTCCTAAATACCTAACACTCTCTAATAAAAGAACAAACTGGAACAGATATAGAGAAGAAATAAAAACAACCATTAACCTAAACTTGCCTCTTAAAAGTGATAGCGACATAGAAAATGCTGTTGCTCACCTAACTACAGTTATTCAGCAAGCTGCTTGGACGTCTACCCCAGAATTTACTCACAAACACAACTCTGAGTCCTATCCTGCTCACATAAATTCACTCATATTGGAAAAAAGAAAACTGCGAAAGAAGTGGCAGCTCACTAGACATCCAGAAGATAAAGCAAATCTTAATAGAGCTTGCAGACTACTCAAAAGAAAACTGATCCAACATAAAGACAATGGAATCAACAGATATTTAAAGAACCTCTCACCTGCAGATGATACAAACTATTCGCTGTGGAAACTAACAAAAAAACTTAAACACAACGATCAAATGAATATGCCAATCAGGAAACAAAATGGCACTTGGGCTAAAACTGACATAGATAAAGCATATACTTTTGCAAATCATCTATGCGAGGTATTTCAACCGCATCAGAGGGAAGTCTCAGTTGAAGAAGAGCAGGGTATTCATGAAGTCGTAAATGCACCATATCAAATGGCTCCACCTATTAAATCTATTAGGAAATCGGAGATCAAAGAAATAATTAATAATCTGGAAAATAAAAAGTCACCTGGATATGACTTAATATCTAGTTTAGTACTAAAAAATCTACCCAACGAAGGCGTAAGTTTAATTACTTACATATTTAATTCAATATTAAAAACAGGTTATTTTCCACTCCAATGGAAAGTTGCTCAAATTATTCTTATTCCAAAACCTAATAAAGATCACACGGAAGTATCTTCATATCGCCCAATTAGCTTGTTGCCTATTATATCCAAAGTATTTGAAAGGCTTTTTCTGAGAAGACTGGAGATTATTTTATATGACAGTAATGTTTTACCGAATTATCAATTTGGGTTTAGGAAACAACATGGTACTATCGAGCAAATTCATAGGGTGGTAAAAACTATCAGAAATTCGCTCGAACAAAAAAATTACTGTACTGCTGCATTTCTAGATGTCTCTCAAGCATTCGACAAAGTTTGGCATGTAGGTCTTATCTCTAAAATTAAATCCATATTTCCTCATCCCATAAGCTCACTTGTAAGATCCTACCTGACAGATCGATTCTTTCAAGTCAAAAGAGGTGGGGAAATCACTAACCTGTTTCCAATTTGTTCCGGAGTTCCACAAGGAAGCATACTAGGACCCACCCTCTACTTAATATACACATCAGATCTCCCAACGACGACCAATACAACAATCGCTACATATGCTGATGACACAGTTATCATGGCTTCAAATTCTACAGCAACTGAAGCATCCCAGGTATTACAAAACCACCTACTTAAACTAGAGAGCTGGCTTAAACTGTGGCGAGTCCAAGTTAACAGTTTAAAATCAACACAAATAACGTTTACTTTAAAAAAAGATGTCGCGCCACCAGTTTCTATAAACAACACTCCACTACCAGTTAATACCGTCGTTAAATACTTAGGAATTCATTTGGATAGCAAACTTAATTGGGGTATTCACATCTGGAAGAAACGCCTTCAACTCAGCTTAATCTACAGGAAAATGTATTGGTACATGAGTCGAAAATCTAATCTAAGCCTGCGAGAACAAACTTCTAATATATAAATGTATTTTAAAAACGGTATGGCAATATGCAGCACAAATCTGGGGTACAGCAAGTAATACCAACATACAAAAACTTCAACGATTCCAATCGAAAGTACTGCGCCAGATCTGCAATGCCCCTTGGTACATTACAAACTACAGATTACACCACGATTTACAGTTACCAACAGTTAGCGAAGCAATATCTGCCGTAAACGCCGTCTACAAAACCAGACTAAAGGGTGGTCTGGTAAATAGCTGGGGGTCTTTGTTACAATAAAGTATCAATATCGAATTACCAGTAGGTCGGTTTTTAAAATTTCGCATAGATCTTGTCCCTCACTATAGCAGTAAACAATGGGTACAACAAACATATAATAAATAACTAAATTTTAAATCAAAAACTATATAAGAAAGCCTTGAAACTAGTATTTCTACCTCCAGAGAAAAAGCTCAGTACCTTTTGCTCTATTACATATACACGAAAAATATGAACAAAAATAGCCAAATACATAAAAAAGAAGGGAATAACACCAGCTTTTATTATATTAAGAACAACAAGAGCCAAAAAAAGCATACAGTGGTGTATACAAACTTGAATGTGGCGACTGCTCAAAACTGACATCGGTTATACTTGTAGAACTTTTAAAAAACGTATAGCAGAATACAAAAGGGCTTGCAATAATAGAAAACAAGGTTCTACATATACACTTCACCTTCATAATCATTATTTTATTGACAAATTTCAAATTTTTTACATTCAAAATAAAGGCCTTATGCTATTTTTATTAGAATCTATGGAAATTAACAAATTACAAAATACAGACATAATTTTGAATGATCTAGAGATAAACAGTTCTCCCGTCCTCAGCTTATACAGTTAAAGACTATAAAGTGTAAACGTATACCAAAAATAGTTTACTTAAGAAAGACACTCTGCCGAAACAGGTGTAGTGATAATTTATAATAAATTTTGTGGAACTGGTAAAAACAAAAGTTTTCAGTGATTTATTGTTAGATCAAATGAATTTCAATAAAGTAACTGTCGAATCCATGACTTATTTATTAAGAAATAAGTTTGAAAGAAACGCTAATAATAAAAGAAGAACCAGTAAAGTAATTGCAGATGAGCAATAAAGGGATGAGGAATAAAAAACGTAACTACTACACTTTGATACTTACATCACTTGTAGCTGAAGGATATCCTCCTGCCTCTAGTACCAACACTCTCCAGTTAGGATTTTCACTTAATCTGTTAGCTACCACAGACCCTGCAGATCCACTTCCTATCACTATAAAATCAAATTCATCTCCATCTTTCAGATTTGGTGAATAATCTTCCTGATAATTATCCTTCGATCCTAGATTACACTTGGACCTCAACAAACCGTTAATTAGAGTTAAGAGAAGATATCCAGGTACGTTGTTTAGGTTTCCTGGACAGGAATCATTAAAAGGACGTACAGAGTCCATGTTAATCGAAATAAATTAGTAATAATGTTAACTTCTAAAAGATATTTGTGTTAACCTTTAGCTGTCATTTGTAATGTATAAATAATTTCAATCAAAATACAAATCTCTTATAACAGTTCCGGTTTGTTAGAAAAATATTCTTTTTACACCATATTAATATCGTCGTACGAGGGTCTGTTTGTAAGTTTTTAGATAGACCAGTAAAAAGTTTTTATTGTATAAAGTATAAGTTTTTTTTGTCCCACTTCCTTTACAGGATTGTATGTTTTCCATTGTTATTGGATGTTAAATTATTACTGCATCTCTTTCAGCTTCCACACATTTCTTCGAAACGCATGATTAAAAGTTATATATGGTCAGTTGTCTTATATGTTGTCGAAGCTATACTTTCTCGTGTTTTTACTTAAAGATCCTTTTTGTGTGGAAGATCATCCCATTCTGGGTTTGATTTTAGAGTTTCTTATGTGACTTCACTGTTTCCACTACTTTTAAGGTTGGTGGTTGGTTACCATTTAAATAACCAGTGGATCCATTCTTCTCTCTTTTTGATTGTCCTTCTTATATTTCTAATTTCAATACTCCTTAAGTCTTCTTCCAATTGTTGACTACATTTCAGTTTAGGTGTACCACTGGTTATGTACCTGGTGATATCCATTTAGTTATAACTCTTAACGGCACTTCTTTTTTCTCATTATGTGTCTATATCGTCCAATTTTCTGTGCTTTTATTGCTTTAACTATGTTCTATTGGCCTATCCGTTCTTATATTTTGTGATTCATCTATTGCCTTGCATCCCCTGTGTTTTCAGTCTTTGGTCCCATTATGTTTCTCATAATATTCGTCTTAAAAACGTTGAGTTACTCTTCTTCTCTTGCTGTTAGTGTAAATTTCTCTGAAGTATATACCATTGTTTGATCGTATGGTTGTTTTGTAGATTTTTATTTTGTGTTTTGGCTAATCTTCTTATCTCTAAACATTTTTTTAGTTCTCTAGAACGCTTTATTTCCCACTTGAATTCTTCTTTTCATATCTTTACTTTCATTTCTTCTGTTGACAATACCAAATATTGTCATTTGTGTCTTCTTTTTCTTGCTTGTTCATGTATCCTGTTTTATTTTCATTTATTTCTAGTTATCTCAGTTTGGCTTCGTTGCCTTTTTCTTGAAAGGTTTCTTTTAATTACCTTTTATCTATTGCTTCTATGGTTATATCGTCCGCATATCCTATTTTTTGTATTGTATTCTTCTTTATAGTTCCTGCGTTTGACAGTTTTTTTATTTTCTTGTATAGTAATAGAATAAAATAGTAGTTTAGAACGATTTAGACTGGAATGTTTTATTCCATTTTTTATTTTTATTATTACTGTTTTATTCTCTTGTAAGTTTTGGATAATTTTTCTTCTGTTTAGTTTGTCAAATGCCTGTTTAAAGTCCAGTAAATGTATATGTGTTTCTCTGTCGTGCACGTATGTTTTCTTAACACTTGTATTAGCGTATCGATAGCATCAGTACGCTCATTCAGTAAATTAATTGCTCGGTAGTTTTTACATATTTTGTGATTTCCTTGTTTCCTTACTCCATATAAGTATTCTGTATTAGTTGATAAATCTTTCTGTATAGTGCATCCCCTCCGTATTTTATAAGTTCTGCACATATTTCATCGTCTAGCACTGTTTTCGCGTTTTTTAGTTTGCATATTTTATCTTTCACTTCTGTATAGGTCAATTCTTCTTCATCTTGTTCCATATTCATTATTGTTTCTCTTTCTTCTGTATCCGTTTTTTGATATATTTCTTTGAAATACTTCTGCAGTTTTTCTCCTTCAATAGCTACAACAGCTGTCTGTTTTCGGTTACCCAGTTTTAAGTATTATTAATACTATTTCGAATTGTGTCTTTTATTTTCTGTTTCTATCTCGTTCATAATTTCTTCTATTTTTTTTATTTTTCTTCGATTCAAATAATTTCTTTGTCTGTTTTCTTTGATCTTTGTATATTTCGTGTTCCTCTTCTTTGCTTGTGCTTAACCATTTCAATTTTGTCTTATATTTTTCTTTCACTGCTAGATTGCGCTCATCGTGAAACCAATTATTTGTTCTTTCATTTTGGACTTTGCCAACCACTTTCTCCGCTGCTTGGTTTATTTTTTGTTTGATTTTTCCACTGTTCCTGTGCTTTTCGTATTTCAATCTTCGTTGTTTTTATTTTACATTTTGTAATCACTAGCAAAATCCTCTCAAACGAGAGAGGAGAAAGGCTCATAGAATTCTGCCAAGAAAAGAATATGGTAATTGCCAATACTTGGTTTCAGCTTCCTAAGAGAAGACTATATACATGGACGTCTCCTTTACATACAGAAAACCATATTGTCAGAAACCAGATAGACTTTATACTCGTAAATAGCAGATATAAAATCAACCTCAGTTAAAACTTATCCTGGAGCAGATGTTAGCTCAGACCACAATCCGTTAGTTGCTGACGCGAAAATAAAATTAAAAAGAATTGAACTAAGAAAACAAAAAACCAAAAATTGATTTAAGAATGCTAAAAAACGAAGAAATAAAAAACGAATTAAAAAATAATGTGAATGTTAATATGCAAAAAACACTAACTGACAACAAACAAATTATGGATGTAAATAAAAAGTAGTATAATATAAAAAAATACGTTACTGAAACCAGCTCAAGAAAGTTTGATACAACATTGGTCAGAGGCTAAAAAACAGTGAATGACAGAAGAAATTCTATTACAGATGGAAGAAAGAAGGAGATATAAAGGAAAGATCTACAGAAGTATAAAGAAATACAACGAATAGGAAAAAATCAAAAGAGCTAAGGAAATCTATTTGATGAAACAATGTAAAGAGATAGAGGAACTAGAAACAAAATATGATATGAGAAATATGCACAAAAAAATAAGAGAAGTGACTGGAATGGGTTGAAATAGACAGCAAGGACACATAACAGACAAAAAAGGAGTACTACTGATAGATTTACCAGAGAAATGAAGACGATGGGAGTACGTTAGAGAACTTTTCCAAGATGAATTAAATCCTTTAGAGAGACAGAAGATCACGATAAATGAAATAAAATATGCTATCAAAAACTCTAAAGACAATAGGGCAGCTGGATTAGATGAAATACCAGTAGAACTGTTAAGACTAGTGGAAAAGGATAACTTGGAAGTATTGGCCGAATTATTTACCAGGGTGTACGATACGGGAATAATACCACAAGAGTGGCTGAAGACAGCATTTATAACCATCCCTAAAAAACAAGCAGCAAAAAAGTGCTATGATTATCGAACACTGGGTCTCATGAGTCATACTTTAAAAGTAGTGCTGAAAGTAATACATAAGAGAATATACGAAAAGCTAGAGGTGGATATTAGCGAGACGCAGTTCGGGTTCCGAAATGGAATGAGTACTCGAGAACATTGCAATCAACATATTGATTCTTATAACGTTGATCTACACTTGTGATTTGTTCACTACGAAAAAGCTTTCGATAAAGTACGACATGGAAAAACTAATATCAATATTTATGAACAAGCGCATTGTCAGTAAAATCATAAATATAGTGCAAACATTATATTGGAACCAAAGTGAGTTCAAATTGATGGGTAACACTCAGAAGAAATGAAGATTTGTAGAGGAGTTAGACGGGGATGTGTTTTATCGCTACTTTTGTTTAACTTACATTCTGAAGAAATTTTCCAAAACACGCTCAATAATATCAAAACGGGAGTTACCGTTAACGGAAAATTAATTAACAACTTACGATATGCAGACGACACTGTGATCATAGCAACGAGTATAGAGGATCTACAACATCTTATCGAAAGATTAAATAGTGCTGATGTGGGAATTACTATAAATGCTAAAAAATACTCTGTTATTAAAAGTCGATGCTAATTCATACAAAGCCTGCGATTTTACTAATTTCCTTTTTAAAGTACTTAACAGAAAATTGCAGGAAAATGTTCATTAAGTTCATGATGTTACCAAATCTCGCTACATGTATATCACACCTCGTATGACATTTATTTAAAATGTACATACGTAAAAAATATGACTTTTTAGGTTTATATTATATAACTGAAGATTTATTTAATAGAACTAAAAAAATATTAAAAAAAAAGAATATGACATAATCTTTTTGAACATGTGTATTATAATAACACGAGTACAAATTAAGTATTTAACCGTTCTTTTGACTTAAGCTTCTTGATGTTGATCTTGAAACGTGTATTATTTGAATTTGAAGAACGTAAAGATGAAAACAATCAAAGCAGAATCATTTCATTCAAGGTGATAAGATGTTTGGAATTTGATTTGAAAAATTGTCGATACTGACAATTTTGTACGGATATAAGTTTTTAAGACAGCCTTTATAATAATAAGACAAATACTTACGCCTTCTTTTTCCTATAAACCATTAGTTCTACAGCGCGCATCGGTTTTACTACAGCCACGTGGCTAATTCTACATCTTCTAACTATTATATTAGACCTCGAAACTTCGGAAAACTGTTGTACATAAGCTTCTACGCCAACAGCCGGATGGAACTTTTTAGTTTTTAGATTGGAAGTTATTATTTTTTTATTGTTGTTATTTTATTTTATTTTTTTAGTTAGATAGATTATCTCCAAAAAGTCATAAATCGTGTAACAATTTAAGATAAAAATATCATTCAAATATTCCATCTGTTACCAAAAAGTTAATTTAACAAAGTACGAGTACTTGAATGTTGTTGTACAGCCTGTGATAAAACAATAAATGTAGGGTAAATGAACGTGAACCACGGCGATACCGTGTAATGTTCCGTGTTACCACCGAATTACGTGAAAATTTGGATTTCGTTTCTACTTACCCTCCATTCCACTTTTGGACTTGTGCCGTTGGTTGCTTTTTATTTTTTGTGATTGAAAACTACCACTACTAGAAAAAAATCGTATAATTGTAAATTAAAGCGGTTAATTGATTCAAATCATCTTTTAATGA